TTTCCAGTAACCAACAACAACGGGTCTTTGTGTATATGGAAAAGGCAAGTACAATGAAACAAACAATGAAAAGGGTGTTTATTGTGTGTGTGCGCTAATAAGGAATTGAATAGGTTTCTTTGGTCAGACAATGCAACTTGGGGCATCATCATCATCTCTTTGGGTTCAAGTCCCAGCCTGTATCAAGTGGTCGCTGCGTCGCTCTGCACTAGCCAAGTGTGCTGGAAAAGCTTCTTGGAACGCGTCCAGGGCTCTATAGGCCTGCGTTTGAGTTGAGGATGGGTCGTTGGAAGAGCATGGTCACCGTGTTGAGGTAAAAGGGGATTTGCAACAGCTTGTGAATGTGTTTAACCAACACGGTCTTCTCGTGATAGGCTCGTTCTTTCCCTTGAGGATTTCTTTTCATGAGGTGGGAAATGATTGGAAGGATTGGGGATCATTCTTTCTTTGGAGAGGATGGATGAGAACAACTATGAGCCTGGGCTCTACGTAAGTGATGTCCTTCCTTGCCATGGATCGAACTGGCCTTGCGTGATTCGTGCAGTGCCTTCTCAAGAACAAGGGATCGCCCGACGTTGCTCGTATGGTGGTGATTTGGTTTGTGAATTCCTTCGGATTTGCTTTCTTTCTTGGAGAGGATCACCTAACGGTATACCAAATCGTCATCATCCCCGGTATCAGATGGTCTAACTTGCCTGCTTTCTTATTTGTAGAGACGGCAATTACGATGATCACCACATTCACAACAATGACGATTACGATGATCACCCCATCTACAACAATGACAAGGATGACGACAACGAGGTTCAAAAGGAAGCCTGCAAGATCCCATTCTTTTCAACTTGTGTATTTTTGGATGTTTGGTGTGACGGATGAGATTGAGGACTTGTGACGAGTACGAGTAGGAATGATGACGGAGGACGACTACGAGGATGGTGGTGGCAATGTACAGTACATAGCAAGATAGCTAGATGAAATAAAGCATTGTTTATTTATTACACGCTTGTTGGAGGTTGCTAGCTTGTGGATTACATACTATTGCTTCGAAGATGGAATAATAAAGGCGGTCCGGTTATCGGTCATGCAAGAAGTACATGGCTTTTGTGATACAATGAGGAGGAGTGGGAAGTGGGATGAGCTTGAGAAGAGAAAAAGTGAAGAGATCCCTCCATTGAGTTTCAGCTACAGCTCAATCAACTTGGATTATTTTTGAAAGCGGAAACATGCACATGAAAGAGCATTGGCTGTATATAGCAGGTTTCTTTATTGAGAGATGAAATGGATTGACAAGTAAAATGGGGATAGAAATTTCAAATTGGGAAACTATGTTTGCACAAAAGCGTCTCCCTTACTGTGCGATGTTGATTCTTTGCTATGAGCCCAGCTAGTAACCGCTTTCGCCGTCGTCGTATTCGTTCTCAATGTACTTCGACTCATCCACGTCACAAATGGGTCGAGGGTGGTTATCGTTGCCTACAAAAGTATCCGCATTTGGTTTTAGCATATGGCTTTCAATTGCAATGTTTCTTGTATACTTTTGTATATTTTGCAGTGACCAACTTTATGGCAGTCTTTCAAAGGGGATTCGTTGCACTGGTATTGTAAATCTTCAAAGGTATACATATCAACGTATTGAACAGCCGAGACATTGCTGATAACACCAGCAGCGAGGACAGCGAGGACACTAAGAAAAGTAGACTTCATTTTGGATAAGACAATGAAATTTCGTAGTGCTCTACCCGGTGTCATTTTATATTCCTGTGATCGGCTGCTGTTAGTCTCAACATGGAAACATTGCTCATGCATGTAGATGCAAAAAACATCCTTCAAGGATAACGTACCACAGCCACAGCAAAATCGTATGTAGCTCCCACTATACATTAACCACATACTCCTCCGATAGACACCTTTGGGAATATAGCCGTTACTTGCACACCTACTTGATACCTGGGATTGTAAATCAGATGTCGCATGAAGCAGCATTGTTGTAGAAACGCTGTGGGTCTTTTAGCTGATGTAGGCGTTTTAACCCCTTATGCATAATTTGAAGTTGCTCCTAAGTGTTCATCGATTGATGCATATGAAAAGGATCCATGTTAATGCGTTGTGACCTAAGAAATGTAGCTGAGTATACGCAGTAACATCATGCAGGGGAGGACTACTCCCTGTGTCCATCTTTCACTAGATGCTCTACATTAAGCAGTGGCATGATGCCCCAAAACTTTCAAGAAGGTAACATTTGCATGGTTGTACATTTTTCGCTAGTAGCGAAGAAAACCTACGCTGTTGTCGCTGTATATCCACTGCCAATCCGTTGGTCCATCCTTGTCATTATTCCAATAACAGATGGTGCAAAGTAGATGTGTAATAAGCTGCTGTCATTGACAAACATAAACAAAGGGGTCCAATAACGCATGTGCCTGGTAAAGGATACAAGTGAAACGTATTCAATCAATCGACCAATAATCATTCTTGTGGCTCAAGGTGTAAAGAGGTGACTCTTTGGAATAGATGGCCATGCTAACATACAATAAAGGAGTGCATCGTATGCCCATCCACTTGATCGAGAGCCACTACCATCATTGTAAAGATCAAAAAAGAGCCCTTCCTTGTAAATCTTGCAAAACCGATGATGTACGTTGTACGTAAGATCCAATGTAACAAACATGTAGGGTGACAAGGGTGGTTTCTATGCAGGCCATTTCTATCATCTTATGCCATCATTGCCATCTTTTATTTAATCACACTTTTAGACTATAATTTGTACAATATCACATAGCTGGCCAAAGCATCTTCGTGTGCATGAGGAGGAGAAAATAGCGCTGCATGTTTTCTATGCTGGGTATATGTCAACCACACAGCCCTGTGCAACCTATCTTTTATGCATAATCCATAATGTTGGCGTACCTGTACTTTCTACATCTTCCACCGACGACATACGCGAAACGACGCAGCATGCTCGGCTTGCTTCCATTCGACCAGCTTTTCGACATCATCTCTCGGTTGCGACGCAATGACGTGTTGGAATGCATGTGTGTTTCGCGACAATGGCACCAAACAGTTCCTGATTATGCAAGCGAATGCTTCCGTCAAGTGAAACTCGATACAAAAAGAGACGATCTAGACTACAGCGGATTACTGGAACGGGTCGGTTGCTATGTCAACGTGGTTGTCTTCGAGAACTTCCCTGCTTGGAAAGGAAAAGCCTCCAAGGTTGCATCGCTTCTCCCAATCTTATGCCCCAACATCCACACACTACGTAAGTAAATGAGGACGTGGTTCTTTTGCATGTATGGGAATTGATCTTTGACTGCGCAGACCTTTATCACAGCTTCATTGATAAACGTTTTGGGACGTATTTGGGAAAGTATCTGACACAATTACCTCGGCTCATCCATTTGGCAATCACGCGTCCTGCTGGTGCACCATCCCCATCATCAAAATTCATTCGTGCTATTCTCGCTTATTCACCACGCTTGGTATCGATCAGCCTTACGCGGGATGCGCGTCCTGGAGCATTGCCACGTGATCTATCTTTGTTACATGCTCGGCTATCATTCTCTATCAACCTTCAGCATTTGGATATGGCTGATTTCTTCATTCACATTCATTCTCTCGAGCCAGTGTTGAGGAATTGCCCGAATCTAAGAAGCTTGGTAGCGTATATGGGAGCCCAAGATATACAACAGGAAATGGCAATTTTGGAACGATGGTGTCCAAGGATACGGCATCTTTATTTTCCATCAAGGCATGCCAAGGAGCCCATACACATAACACCAGCCTACTATGCCGAAGACGACAATGACGATGACGATGACGGTGTAACAACAGCCTCCAAAGCTATCTTGTTGCGAAATTTATGGATTCAATGTGAAATGGCGCAGCACTTTTTGGACCAAAAACAAATCAAGTATCTACATTTGGATTACTATTGTCTAGTTGGATACATTCCGGCACCACCTACTTCTGTTGATACCCTTATCAGAAAATAGCAGCACACTTGAATCGGTGGATTTGGAATTCGATACTGAGACCTTGCATACGTTCATCAAATCATTTGTATCCATGGGCAACCTGAAATCAGTTCGGCTTACTTTCAATTGTCTTGGTGCTGGATTCAGGGATTATCAAGCAGCCATTGCTATGTTGGAGGAATTGGGCAGAGTGGCATCATCACATGCAGGAATCAAGTCCGTTTCTCTCGCAGTTACTTTTACCAGCTTGAATTCAGCGCTCATGTCCGTTATGGCACAAATACCACATCTCAGGCAGATTGAGGTTTATACACCAGTGATAGATTCATCCCTTTTTGCTTTGCTTTGCAAACATGCATCGGATTTGGAAACAATGAAATTATGGGGGTGTCCTTTGAACCTGACCGAAGACATGTTTTTCTTATTGGCGAGGAAACGGTTGCATCACCTTCATTTCAGGTCATCATCCCTCCAACCGAGTACCATGAGTGGAAAGGGGTTAAGACATTTGATTGATCATTGTGAAGGTTCCTTGGATACAATGGCTATCATGGGCACTATACAACCGGATGATGGCGGTGACTGCATTGATTATGCACGTCGAATATTGGGATCACGCTTCAAACGTTCACGACATAGAAGACTCTGGAGATTCATATAGTAGTATTTCCCGCCGTATAATAATAAAATGACTATCTTAAATCACCCCAAAAAAAGGGATGTGAGTGTTATTATCGAATACGACCCTTTGTTCAAGATCACAATGGATCGATCAGACCCTTTTTCTTTCTTCCTTCTTTCCTTTATGACGACATTGGCTAGTGGCTATACTACTGCAACCTTGCATAAAGCTTTCTATAGTGCGATGCATATACTCACAGACGACGAGATCCCATTCATGAAGAAGGAGTGTCTTACATGGAAATTGAGAAATGATGGGCCAACGTAATGTCTTTGAGGTGGCGAGTTATATACATAGCGAGCCAAAACATGGAGTTTCTAGCACCATCCTTTATTCAAACCACGATTCCCCAATGCCAGGTGAGGCTTGACTGCTGATACGTGATATCAAAGGTGATCCATCATTTCTTGCTGTCTATCAAACACGCATACCGATATTATGAGTAGGTTGGCAACAATGGTAGGTCACCTTCTTGGTAATAAGAGGAATGTGCATTAGGCATACAAGTGATTGATTTCCTTGATTGATCTTATCAACTTGTGTGCATCGACAACATTACACGTAGGCTCTTAGACGTAATCCTGGTATATGCGCCCCATCACTTTATCAGCTCATGCATCAATTTATCAAAGCATTATCCCCAACAGACAAAAATAACCCACGCCCAGCATGCACAATAAAAGGATGTTGTCGCCGCCCATCATTCTACTACACGTCTCTTTCCTCTGTCATACTTTTTTGACTGCTTACAAGGTCCAACGTCCAAGGTTTGTGTGTTTCTTTCTTTCAACCTGTGAACAAGCGCTGATCTTTGTGGTCATTCATAGTGCTTTATTATTATCCTACTCTCATTGTCATTGTATGGCGATATTGCATCCTTATAATGAGGTAAAGCTTGATCATATTGTATTGCTTGATGAGCCATTACTCATACACGCTACCTTGTTACTTTCAATGTAGCTATCTCCCTGTATCCGAAAAAAGTTGGTTTCGGTGCCATGGTCTACGTCGGGTGCTAAAGTTGACATGGTACAAGTAGCAAGGTCCATTGAGTGGAAGACTCCTCAGTGCAGCTAATCAACGAAAGGCAAGCAACACAACAAAAATGTGAGGGTCAACGCTTATATTGTTTTGCGTATATTGCAGATACCATTTAATGGTGAACAGGATCCATCTTGCACGTGGTAACCATGGAGATTTCTGTGACAGTCTCAAGCGCCTTTTATGCTTCAAGGTTGGTGGGATCTTACCAACGCAAGTGGAAGATGTCATATTCAAGTACGGCTGCGCCCTCAATTACGAGCAGTAGGTATTGTCAATTTTGAACTTTACTCGTGGTACAATGGATCCCATCTGCTAAACAGCCAAAACAGTCAACAGACAACTTATATTGCAAGTACCACAACAAGGGGAACGTATTGCATATGCGGCCGGTTCAAGAGCGCTAACAAAAAGTACACCAAAAAGAGCTGTAACTACTTTACACAGCATACCCCTGCCCGTGCATTGGAACTCTACGAGCAATTAACACGAGGCCAACAAGAGCAGCCAGCTCTAGCAATTGAATATTTGGGTCATGCTTCCTTTCAAGTGCAACAGCAGCAAGGTGCGCGTTCTGTTGTACATCAGCAGCATGGTGCATTCCATGAGCAGCTCATTGCGCTATCAATGGATCATCCGCAGCCCTTTGCGCAGGTACAGCAGCTGCCATTTTCCCCTCAAGAACCGCAATGTGAGCCCAATGTACCTCATTTCCATGTGCATCCTTTTATGGACAATAAAGCACATCTTCAACAGCCATCCTTCTGCAAGTGGTGATATTCAAATGACGGGTATAAATACACAGCAGCCATCCTTTGGAGCTGATTGGGGTGATGATTCTCAAGTGGATCCTTTGATGGACGTGAATACACAGTAACAGCCATTGGGTATCTATTCACATCAAGTGCAAGCCTTTGATGATAAAATCGCAGTTGCAGCCATTGGATGTCTATCCACTCAAATGCAACCTTTCTTGGCTATGTACCAGCGCACAGCAGCAGCATCCATTGCTCAAGATAGCGATCATGGTAATGATTATAGTCAATTTGTTTTCGATTTTGGCCACCCACCTACTTCTCCACAATCTCAAATGGGCGCAGAATCAGATGATGAGAAGAATCAGCAGCGGCTTATTGACACAAGTTATATTGATTTACGTCCAAGGGGAAATGACAATGACAATAAACATACTTTCTATAAAAGTTGTGGTGGATAATAAGGATGGCTTGTCTTGGAGGATGCTAGCACGCATGTGATTACAATGAAATGATTTTTATTCCATCGTTCGCTCACTACTATAGCAGAGGGTCATATTTCATTATGTGTGAACAAGATTGGATTCATGTCATTGTCATCACGCAGCAGTAGGAGGTTCATTGTATTTGACCACAATCGGAATAGCGTTTGTCTCCCCGATAGCACTTTTCTTCTTCCTCCACCACCTCCTCCACTATGAGCAGCACACCAGAAAACTTGACTTCGGACGGCAAGGTCACCAAACGCATTATCAAGGAAGGTCTCGGTGCTGTTCCCAAAAGCAAGAGTCAAGTGAGTGGTAGGTAAATACAAAGGAACCCAAACGTGTGGGGACACGCAATGCTCAATGGCACGATGCATAGTCCATTACGACGCGTACCTGGTCAAGGGAAATACAAAGTTTGATTCTTCACGCGATCGCAAGGTGCCCTTTGAATTCAAGCTTGAAGGAGGTACGTCAATGGAACATACGTGATAGGGTAAAAGAGAGAGGCTAATATTGGGTTTGACAGGTCAAGTGATCAAAGCATGGGAGATCGCTGTTCCTACCATGAAAGTTGGAGAGGTTGCTGAAATCGTTTGCGACTATGAATATGGTATGTGTGCTTGTATGGTGGGAATGGGACGACATGTTCAACGTAGCAAATGGGCTATAGGCTATGGTGCAAAAGGAAGGAACCCATTGGTACCACCAAAAGCAAGCTTACGTTTTGAAGTCGAATTACTTGGCACATGGGAGGTAGGGTTGACATGATATGGGTTATCCTCAAAGTTATGCTAAATTGGGTGTGGACATAGCCTGCTGCTTCGGCAAAACAACGTTTGGAAATGGCAGCATCAAAGAAACAAGAAGGCAATGATCTGTTCAAAAAGGGGGATGTCGAACATGCATTACTCGCATACAAAAAGGTAAAAAGCGGATTGCAATCTTCAATGTTTGATTGACATGGTATCTAGGGGCGGGAATACATTATTGATCTATGGGATTGTGAACCTGAAGAGACTGTCCTTTGTCGAGAGCTGGTGATTGCCCTTCAATCCAACGTTGCAATGTGCTATTTGAAACTACGTCAATGGGACAACTCGATCGAAGTTTGTAAAAAGGTAAGAGTGGTGGAGAATGGATAATGGTTGACTTTGGACGTTTATTGATAATGTAATACCAGGTACTAGATCGTGATCCATGCAATGTCAAGGCTTGCTTCCGAATTGGCCAAGCATGTATAGAGACAGCGAGATACGAAGAAGGATTGGAATTTGTAAAACTTGGATTACAGGTACAGTGCAATGGAATCGAATGATAGAGAAAAGGCATGTTGATATTGTTATTGTAGGCACACCCTGAGGATACCAATCTCATAGCAATGGAGAAAGCGATCAACAAGAGGATCAATGATTACGATCGATCGTCCAAGGCAGTTTATCGAAAGATGTTTTCTTGAATAGCACAGCTTACTCCTCCTCCTCCTCCTTGTACTCAAATGAAAATAAATAGCATGTTGCAAAAGTAAATGCGGCGTCGATTCATGCAAGTGGTGATTGTTCGCTATCGTTCGTTACACGCAATCAAATTATTGGGCACTTCTGAGTTTGGGTATTCACCCGTCTCTCCTCTTTCTTCTACCCATGTTTCCACCACCCCAACTACTACTACGACGTGCTTCCTTGCCAACAGCTCGACGCGTAGCAGCAACAGCAACACGACAAGTGCGATTCTTTACCAACCCACACGGCTACGATGCACTTGTTTTGGGAGCATACAACAATCTCAACTTAACAGCAACTCAAGGCATTTCCGACTCAACGCGTAATCAGATACTCGAGCAGTTGTCCTCTTCCAATTTGACAAAGAAAGACGATGTCCGTTTATTGTACAATGTTGGAGGCATAAAACAATTGGCAGTGGTGTCTTTGGGAGAGAAGCCTGAAAGCAACATGAGTCAAGACGTTGCCCTTGAAACAGCACGCCGTTCAGTAAGTGGAAGGGTGGGCGATGATGTCAATGATGATGTATACTTATTAAACGCAGTAGACAGCGATTGGTATTCAAGCCTTGAAGAAGCATTATTCGGAAGGAGATAATCAACACATTGGCGTGGACGTCTCCATTCATGCACATGGAGCAGCAGAAGGCGCCGTACTAGCCCAGTATGCATTCGACAAGCTGAAGACCAAACAGGGACCAAATCTACGTGTCGGGCCTTTTGGACAATCCACAGATTCATCCAATCTTTCGTGGGAAACTGGATTGGTGTATGGCAATTCGCAAAATTTGGCACGACGTCTCATGGCAGCACCAGCCAATTTGATGACACCAAAGACATTCGCAGAGGAAATGGCTTATCTCTTGGCAGGTCTGGAGAACGTCGAGGTGATGGTACATGATCATGATTGGGCAGTGCGACAAAAGATGAATGCTTTCTTATCAGTGGCTCAAGGAAGGTATGTTTTATGATACGCATCTTTGCAGCAAGGGATATCGATTGATCACATGCATCATTGCTTATTAGTCAAGAGCCATTACGTTTCCTCGAGATTCATTACAATGGTGGTGATGGACCGCTTTATGGATTGGTTGGCAAAGGTATGGGTATGAAAGGGACACAATGATTGGGTAACATATGATGATTGACATTGGTGGTGATTTATGATGTAGGTATTACATTTGATTCGTGAGTAGATCGACACCTTCTTGTTGACATTAGTTGACAGCTCATTAACTATATTCGGGTTGTGTAGCGGCGGCATTTCTCTCAAGCCCTCCAATAACATGGCGTTGATGAAAGGCGATATGGGTGGGGCGGCTACAGTTGCTGCAGGTAAGTAGTACAAAGGAGAGACAACTTTGATCGTGCCACCACCTAAAATATCATGAAACGTTAGCTCTTTATGGTATTTGCAAGTTACAGTTGCCTGTGAACGTGGTCGCAATGATTCCTTTGTGCGAGAACATGCCATCTGGAAAGGCAACCAAGCCGGGCGACGTTGTTCGAGCCATGAATGGGAAATCGATTGAGATCATCAATACAGATGCAGAAGGAAGATTGATCCTGGTAAGGCGTAGCACATTTTGCTTACTTTGGCTGGTGGGGGCTATGGATGGATGAATGGCTGATAGTTGAGTTGCCTTTATTATCTTGCAGGCCGATGCACTTTATTATCTCAGCTCAACGTACGCGCCAAAGACGATTATCGACGTGGCGACCCTTACTGGAGCCATGGATGTTGCCCTTGGACAGGCATTTGCAGGCGTGTTTACCAATTCCGATGAATTATGGACAAGACTAGAGACGGCAGGAAAGACTACGGCGGATCCTTTTTGGCGTATGCCATTGCATGATGATTATCTCAAAGGAATGAAAGAGTCTTTGGTGGCGGATCTCGTTAATTCAGCTGGACGATCAGGTGGATCTTGTAGTGCTGCTGCCTTTTTGAAAGAGTTTGTGGCTGGACAACCAGAGATACAATGGGCTCATATCGACATTGCTGGTGTGATGGAATCATCGGCAACGGAAGGATATCATATCAAAGGAATGAGTGGTAAGTTAAAAGAGTAGACAATGTGTGCTTTTTATTTACACTAAAACAATGTGATTCAGGTCGACCCACACGTTCTTTGCTTGATTATTTGCGCTGTGCTGAATAAAAGTGTGCTATCTTTTTTGGAACTCAGTATGAAAAAGAGGAACGCGATGATCTTTGTTGTTGGTGAACTCTCTTTCTGATACCCCTCGCACGCTCATGTCACCTACATTTGATATTGCAAGATACCCAACTATTGAAACTATACGCCTATTAGCCTCCTTGTTGGAACGCATGTGTGTAGCCAATGATCAGCTATCTCGAGTCGTCTCTACCAGTCGCAACAGCAAAGACCTTGGTCGTCGGGCTTCTTCTGCCTCTCTCGTCGCCGCTTCTTCACAAGCAGATGCCACTCCTCTAACCGACATTACGCATTGCACTCGCTTCCATGCTCGCACTCTTCCCAACATTGACATTTTTTCCTACTTGTCTCGCATCTTGAAGTATTGTCCTTGTTCCAATGAATGCTTCCTCAGCTTGTTGGTGTACTTTGACCGCATGTCCAAGAACTCCTTGTCGCGTACAGGCAGACCTTTCACCATTGACTCATACAACATCCATCGACTCCTTATTACCGGTATCATGGTATCGAGCAAATTCTTCAGCGATGTCTACTATACCAACACGAGATATGCAAAGGTAGGATCATGTCGTACAACCAGGGTGTGTGTGTGTGTGTGCGTATGTGTGGATTGTGCAGCAGGTGGTGGATTGATGACATGATAAATTACTCTTTAGGTTGGCGGACTATCAGTGGGTGAACTTAACAACCTCGAATTGGAGTTCCTTGCATTGAACGACTTTAACTTGTCCGTACCGATCAGTGAACTACAGCGATATGGAGATCAATTGATCAAAGTCGGCTTTATGGAACAAGAAATGCTCAAGAGTCTCATGTACGAGAAGCCTTCATCTTACAACAACAACAATCCTGGGGCAGTGCGACATGCTCGTTCCACCTCTTTGGGCTCATCCACTGCCATGCGTCATCATTCGGATAACACTATTGATCGGCTTTGCGACATGACAACTGGTTTAACTATGGATGATCATCGTCGTGCCATTTTCGATTCGTTGCCACAGCAACCACCACAACAACAACAACAGCAACCTGGATACACAGCCTATACAAGTCAACAACCTTTGCTTACAAAGATGTCATCAAATGGAAGCTTACGATCAGGAGGAGTTCGAAGAATGACGAGCTTGGGAAATATGAATATGCATTATCCTCAATCACCACATGCTGGATACAACACTCCCATGTCCAACCATGATAGCCCTATCGCATTAGCTGGAGACGATGATGATTATCGCCGCACAAATCAATACACGACATCCTCGTCAGCTATATTTCAACGTGGTGCATCACCTGATAGACGGCAACAACGACATAGTATGGTGGTTGGTGATGTGTGGCGTCAATCGACTTGTTCACCTCCTCCACAACAATACGTACGACAACGCCATGGTAGCATGGGATTGGTTGCAGGTCGAAGCAATAGTCCTGATACGTCCATTTGGCAACCGTTGCCAGCGCAACACAATCAGCATCGTTTACCACGTCATTCACGTTCAAGCATCAACCTTTATCAGCAAGCGAACTTTCGAAAGTCAACACCACCAGGTCTTGTTGATCCCACTGCTGCTGCTGCTGCCATGTCATATGGATCTTATTATTCGTACAATGCTCATCCGCATCCACTTGGTATTCCTACACCTCCACCTTCTTCATCACCGATTCACCATCATACCAAGCAACAGCAGCAACAACAACAACAGACGACTTGCCCATATCAATCCGTGTCATCATCATCACCATCCTCCTCCTCCTCGTACTCTGCAGCGGGTCATTTCCCATCACAATCTTCCATGTATTTATAATTTATGCGGTTGTGATGTATCCTGTTTCACCTTTATCTACCCATACGCGATACCATCCCCTCTATATTATAGCCCTCTCGCTCTCTCTATTGTTATATTATTGTTTGTGTGTATATAGTTAAACTTTATCATTTTCCACATATATTGATTTCTGGATTCACATGACTGGTGCTGCATGCAAATAGCAGTTATATCTCGCATCACCTTGATGGATGAAACACTCTATGCACAAAACGAGCTATGCCACGAAAAAGAGACGAACGTGCGTGTGAGATAATATCACGGTAAAAGTTACACACGTAAAAAGACAGCCGACACCCCTGCCGGCTGCATACAAAAGAGGCAAAGGTGCCATACTCCGATCCATATATAATCCCACCTGTTGCACCTTCTTTTCTCTTTCACTGCTTTCTTTATTTACTATTGAAAACAAAAAAAAATGTCTGCTGCTGTTCGCGCTTTCTCTTCAATCAAGGTACTTTGAACACTCTTCCAATCATCTACCCTCATGGACATGATCCACTCTTGCCATATCCCTTCCATCCTCCGCTTTTATGCAGCTCTTGTATGTACACTATCCGCTCATCATCATGCTATTTATGCAACAATAGGGTGCTGCCACTACCCATCGTGTCGCCTTCAATAAGGTTGCTTCTCGTGCATATGCTTCACAAGCCAAGGTAAATGAATCAATCTTTTCTTTTTCTATCCACAAAAGCAACGACAGCTTTGTTGACACAACATCGCGTATGCATGTTGATCCAAATAGAGTCTCAAGGAGAGATTTGCCGAGTTGATTCCAGAAAAGCAAGCTGAAGTCAAGGAATTCCGTAAAGCCTATGGAAACAAGGCACTTGGAGAAGTGACGGTTGACCAAGCTTATGGTGGTATGCGTGGTATCAAGGGTCTTATTTGGGAAGGCTCTGTCTTGGATCCTGAAGAAGGCATCCGTTTCCGTGGATTGACCATTCCAGAATGCCAACAAAAGTTGCCAAAGGCACATGAGGGTGGTGAACCATTACCAGAAGGTCTTTATTGGTTGTTGTTGACAGGCGAAGTACCCACTGCTGAACAAGTCAAGGGTGTATCAGCCGAATGGGCGGCACGTTCAGCTATCCCCAGCTTTGTTGAAGAGCTCATTGATCGATGCCCCAAGACACTCCACCCCATGTCCCAATTTTCTTTGGCCGTGAATGCCTTACAACATGAATCACACTTTGCCAAGGCGTATGCTGAAGGTATCCACAAGTCCACCTATTGGGACCCTATCTTTGAAGACACCATGGATCTTATTGCCAAGCTGCCCAATATCGCTGGTCGTATCTATCGCAATGTTTACAAGGACGGCAAAGTAGCTTCCATTGATATGGATAAGGATTACTCATACAACCTTGCCAAGGTGTTGGGTTTCAGTGACAACAACGAATTTGTTGACTTGATGCGATTGTACCTTACGATTCACTCGGACCATGAAGGTGGCAACGTTTCAGCTCATACGTAAGTGGCAGTTTTTGGGGCGGTTGAGAAAGGAAATTACGGGTGGGGTGGGTGTTGGGTTCTTTGTGTTGCCATTGTTGTTGACGCTTGCATCTTTGTATATAGCACACATTTGGTAGGTTCAGCTCTATCCGATCCCTATCTATCACTTGCTGCCGGCCTTAATGGCCTTGCTGGTCCACTCCATGGTTTAGCCAATCAAGAAGTGTTACGTTGGACCCTCAAGCTCAAGGATACCATTGGTATTGACGCTAGTGATGAGCAAATTACAAAGTACTTGTGGGACACCCTTAACAGCGGCCAAGTCGTTCCTGGTTATGGTCATGCTGTTTTACGCAAAACGGATCCTCGTTACACTGCTCAACGTGAATTTGCGCTCAAGCATCTCCCCGACGATCCACTCTTTGGTCTCGTATCCAAGTTGTATCACATCATCGTAAGTACATTGTTGTTGTTGGATGAAGGATTGGGAAAATATGGGAAGTGATTGATTCACCCTATTATTTCTTCTTCTTCAGCCTGGTGTCCTTACTGAACATGGCAAGACCAAGAACCCTTGGCCCAATGTTGATGCCCACTCGGGTGTGCTTTTGCAATACTATGGCCTCGTTGAGCAAGACTTTTACACTGTATTGTTTGGCGTTAGCAGAGGAATTGGCGTTTTGGCTCAACTTTGCTGGGACAGAGCACTTGGAATGCCCTTGGAACGTCCAAAGTCATACAGCACTGCCTATCTCAAGAAAATGTTTGGTGCCAATTAAGCAAGTGGATGACCATGGTTTAGCGTTATCTATCTCATTTTCGCACTAGACATTTCCCCACACACGTCAAAAAGCTGTACATTTCCAAAGATTATCAATAAAAGTGATCCGTGTGTCACCTCTCGCAATCTCATTGTTACACCATTTTGTAAGACCATGTGGCTGATAACCAGCAATATACGCGCTATAGCTTTCTCAGGGCCCATAGCTCTCTCGCATCTATGGTATACTTAGCGTAAATAGCTTTTGCCACAGACGGTCAATACTATGATCGATCCTTTGGATGATTCCTTTGTTCGATTAAAAGAGATCTCCCACAAAAAAAAAGCGTTTTGATGTGAAACCATTATAGCCGATCGACGTCATGTATGAGAGTAAGGCACAAAATACCACCTTGTCAAAAAGTTTCTCTTTCTGGATGAGTTGCTAAAATGATGCAGAATGATCTTATCGAAAGCTAGTGACAAAGGCTTATGGATCAGGTGACAAGTATGGAAGTGGCACCTCGGGAACACACATCCTGCAACATCCCGTGTGGTACGAAAATGGTATTCCGCACCCGTGGTATTTTTCGCTTCCTCTACCCACATCATCTTTTCTATCTCCCTATCACCTTGCTTTTTGGAAAAAATATCGGCTGCATACAGTTATTTCATTACCATTTGAGCCATTTGCTCGTAAGACAACATGGACTTTCTCTATCTCTTATCTTTTACCTCAAGGAGCAAGGTCCTCTGAGCTGATTTCCTTTAGGAGAACGCGTCGTCGTCGGTCAATCAATCGAAGCGTAGTATAATACGTCAATAGCAATGTCGCTTGCATCATAAGAAAATGAACAACGTACGTTGCTATCGCCTTAATGTGTGTATTACTTGACTTGATGATTGCTATTTTACCCACACTAGCACACATTCATTATCCACAGCAGCTGCTATTCACACCAAAAACGGATCCAGCCATCTGCTCAATGCTTTGATCCAATAGCATCACGTGATGACTAGAAGCTTGGGTGAGTGTGCTGCATTGTAGGTTGCACACGTTCTCACACACGGCACTTGAGCTTACCCAATACCAGGATCAATCACCTTACATGTATGACAAGCATAAACAATGGAGCTGTCAACCATTTTAACTCACGCAGAGCAGCATTGTTCACACAAAAAGAACATTCAAATAAAGAACAATGAACGTCAACCATCACCCTTTATGGATAAAGAAACGGGTGGGACCCTTTATCAACAATGGAGTCCATGTCAAAAATGGAGCCACCTTGATCCGGTGAAGCCATAGCCTTTTGCATTGTGTTCATCATTAAGCTATGGGAGGCCATTGTGTACGTATGTATCAGGCAGCACCAAGTTGCATACTCTGATGTCATTGCTAGTCATCATTGAGCATACATGTAATCGAAAGCAGCAAGCCAACTCGGCATTCTTCAAGTTTCACCGTGAACCCTCCTCCTTTATTTACATGATGAGATTCATTGTTATGGTTTACGTAAAATGATAATGCTGCACGCCATCACGCGTGATGAAAATTTACATATTTGGTACGCAGCGCCCTTCACCTTCTTTGCCCTTTTCTTCCCCACTTTTAAAATCACTTTCTATTCCACGATGCCTGAAAAGAATACGAACATGAATCTTCTTATGGAATTTCTTCAAGACAATGGTGTCATTTGGGACAAGGAACTTGTTGAAGTATTGCCAGCATGCATGAATCCAGACCTTTCAGACACGACCTATGCCTGTTATGCCATCAAGGATTGCAAAGAGGGAGACGTCAGTGAGTAAACCTACATGCAATACAAAAGTTGACATGGATGGACTTACTTTGAATGCATGCATGTATTATAGTTGCATGGATCCCAAGATCATCACTTCTTTCGTCGAAAACAACGGCGATTGCTGATATGATCATGGAAGAGGGCCTTGCTTCAACTCTACGACCTGAGTGCTCTCTTGCTCTTGCTTTAATGTACGAGCTTCTGGCGGATGATGAATCACCTTGGAAAGGATACTTGCAATCTTTGCCGACCAACATTATGACACCAACGACATGGAATGCAAAAGACAAAGACTTGCTACGTGGGACTGAAGTAGAAAATACAAACAAAGCTTGCACGGTAAGAGGATGGTCTCCTTTATGAAGAAGCCAATGATGAGCTAACTTTATAGGCAAGATACACGTTTGGGATGACTACCAAAAGATCCAGCGTCGCTTTCCTTCTTATTCCTATAGCAAGTACTGGACCAATGTCATTCTTGTACGCTCCCATATGCTTCGCGTCGACGATTATCATCACCTTGCAATGGTGCCATTTATGAATTTGCTGATGAAGCATGATGATGATCATCACAAGGGTCAAGCTCGTTTGGACGTGAGTGATGGTGCTGGCGTGTGTCAAAGCTGTGGCAAGAACCAAATTGGAAATTGTCCCTCTTGTTCGGTTCCTTACGTGAAGAGCGGTGGTGATCAACAACAACTACACCTTGATGATTTGGAAGCCCTTGAAGAAGCAGGCGTCAACTTTTACAACCAGCATACATCAAAGGATCAAGACATCTATTATCGTGTGGTGCTTACTCGTGGCGTGAAAAAAGGCGACATGATTCGATATGATTATGGACCCTATTCATCGGCTGAAATGCTTACTCGCTTTGGCTTTTGCTACACCGACAATGATCTTGAGCATGAAAAGTTTTCCGTGTCGAGAGAAATGATCTTCGCTGTATGTGTGGACACCGTACGAGATGTCATGCGTGGAAAGCAGAGAATGACTACAGTGGCGACGAAGCGAGCGAGTGATCATGTGCGTGAAAGATTTCGATTCTATTGCAGCAAGATCCAGTATTTGAGCCTTGCATTTACCAGCAACTACAGCATCCTTGCATCCATTTTCGGCACCAACAGCTACATCCTTCCAGCAATCCATGATCGCTATACAGCAATAAATGGGTGTTATCCCGATGATCTTCTTGTGTTGCTCCACATTGTATTTGCAAACGATGCCTTGTTCAACAGCTATCAAGCGAACATCTTTGTGGCGGTTGGGGATATGCGAAAATATCTGGGATTGATTCATGGGCAAGAAGAAGGCCATCATGCTATCAATGGAAAACGGGTGCGACCTGATCCTCAAGTTGAGCATTTGCAACGTTTGGTATTTACTGCCTGCCATCGACTTTCCTCACGCCGACGTGCCTGTTATGACGAACCAGGAGCCTACTTACCCATCCCACCTGAAATGGATGCATATCGACGTGACCACGAGGTATGTTTTATGGTGGATTTTATTATATGAAAGAAGTGAAATTGACTTTTTGTATCATGGCTATAGCAATTGGAACGAGAAGAATACTATGCTCTTACATGCCGTATCAATGAGAAGCGTATCATCCAGAAATCCATGGAGCATTATCGTCACCTGATCGATGTGTGCCTTGAGGATGAGGATGCATTGAACTATAGCAACAAGAAATACCGATCGAATTAGGAGGAAACGATAAGAAGATGTTGATGAAATAAAGGCGTACATAGCTTCATTTGAGCCAAAAAGGATGCTTCTGAGTGTGTGCCTGGTGGTATGCAGCACCTGAGTTTTAATGGGCGAACGCTGATTGCTGTCGCACGTCACCTTAAACGCGCGTACTGGTCCGTTGTGTGCTTCTTGCCTCTCCCTCTTCTTTTTGAATACCAGTTGACACTACCAAACGCGCGCCATGGTATGGGATGTTTATTCTTTTGCAGCAAATGACGATCTCCTAGCAACAAACAACAGTCTCCATTGACACCTACCGCTATTGTGTTTCTAGTTTCGAAATCAATACGACAATGACGTTTCGACCTGGTCACCACAAGGCCGCATCCATCAAGTTGAGTATGCTGTTGAAGCTGTCAAGCAAGGTTCAGCTGCTATTGGCTTGAGGAGTAACGAATACGCTATCTTGTTGGGTCTCAAGGTGAGCAAACAACAGCATCCATTGTTTGGGACATCATCACTCAATGCATATGTATAATGGATATTAGCGTTCATCGGGTGATTTGGCATCGTACCAGAAAAAGTTAATCAAGGTGGATGATCATATGGGTATTGCTATTGCTGGTTTGACATCAGACGCTCGTGTCTTAAGGTAAGGTATATCAACACGCTACAAGAAGGGTTGATGATTGATGATCCGACTACAGCAATTTCATGCGTACCGAAGCAATGCGTTCCAAGATGTTGTACGATCGACCCCTTCCTGTTCAAAGAATCGTTACTACCATTGCAGACAGTGAGTGACAAAACGATGCACATGCATGAATGGCTTGGCTTGAAAAGCTAACAATGATACACGTCATCAGAGGCTCAAATCAATACACAGCAATATGGCCGTCGACCTTATGGTGTGGGATTATTGGTTGCTGGTTACGATGTAAGATTACGATGGATTACGGATATACGAAATCGGATTGATATCTTACGATGTTGTTGTTGTATAGGAAACGGGTCCACACTTGTTTGAGGCATCTCCTTCCGGTACTTGCTTTGAATACTTTGCCATGTCGATTGGTGCTCGTTCTCAATCTGCCAAGACCTATCTCGAAAAGAGCTATGAGCAATTTGCTGAAGGTAAGCAAGGAGGGTGATCATGGATGGTGAGTGGCGATTGACATTTCGTTTTATAGCTTCTTTGGAAGAACTTGTGCGACACGGCTTGTTGGCATTGCGTGATACTTTGCAACAGGATAAAGAACTCAACATTCACAACACTTCACTCGCTATTGTTGGCAAGGACAAGAAATTCCAAATCATCGAAGGAGAGGATCTGCAGCCATATCTTGAAATGTTGGGTGACGAATCGGCAAGATCTCGACGCAGTGGTACCACAGCAGCACAGCAATCGACTACTACTACTACTACAGAAAACAGTGATGTTGCACCTATGGATACTGATGCATGATTGCAATAAATCCACAACCACATACCAATCATTTGTACGACTTGCATTCAAAAGGATCTTTATTTCTTCTTGTCATTTCAAGGGCCCACGTGATTCTTTAAGAGGAAGGTTGGGATTAGTGGTAATGGGGTCTCTTTAAGCTGGATATAGGTGGTTGTGGGATGCTCTTGGGTGTTGGCTTACATTATCAACAATCGAGTTGCGAATCTCGCTGAATAAAGTGGCACATTGCGTGTATGTGGGTTGGATTTGATTGATGTTTGCTGTGACGATAATGGACGTATGGATGATGGAATAAGAGTGGTCAGTGTTAGCTGTCACGCATGATTGCGATGTATGCTGCATGCATTGAAAGGTAACACGATCTTTTTATTTCCCACATGCTCATTGCATGAAAAGTACGATCTCTTTCTCTTTTAAAGATGCTGACTCCACCTCGTCTATTAACCTTGATCCAAAGCTATCCTTCGACAGTGACCAATTTATTCAATGGGACACCAACACTTGCCTTGCACGCTTGCCGTTGGGTGATTGGGGCAACGTAACTGCTTTATCACTCAACATCATTGAACGCTACCCTGCTCTCTGCGACTCTGATGATGCCTATCAATTATTGAGTGAAGCTCTCTTACAGTATCCAAAAAAAGTGATCAAGAAGCTCTCCGATCATACGGCAAGGCTGTAAACACGTACTTGAACACTGAAGCGGTCAAGAGATATTTCAAGGCCGTTTTCGTTCTCAAATGGAATGCTGTTCATCTTCAAGAAGCGGTTGATGAGCAGATGAAGATCGATGATTTGAAGGCGACTTTGTTGATGACACTAAAAATCAGCCAAAAGTTTGACAATGAGCTGCGCAAACTCCAATAGTTATACCCCCTCCCCCATATGCATTTATACATAATATCACTTGCTCTGATCCAATAAAAGGAAGACATAAATTGACAACAAAAGTATTGTTTTTTTTATTCTTGTCACGCACGATTAGACAACATGTTTAAGCACGGGCGAGGCGGGCGTTGCGAGCCAATTGACGAGCGTTAAGACGAGCAACCTTCTTGCCAGCGGCGGCAGGAACAGACTCTTCCTTCTCGGTGAGGATGACTTCAATGTGGGAAGGAGAGCTCATGAAGGGGTTGCTTTAAAAAGAAAAAAGACACATTAGATCACACATGTCATAGCAACCTTGTCACCCTCTCAACAACTTACATTCTACCATGAGCACGGTAAGTGCGACGACGGTGCTTGGGGGCTTGGTTGACGATGATGCTGGAAATGTAAAGTTCCTCAACGTTCAAACCCTTAGCTTCGGCGTTGGATTCAGCGTTCTTGAGCAAGTCAGTGACGAACTTGATAGACTTGACGGGCCAGCGACCTTGGGTAGTCTTGAATTGCTTGACTTGGGAAGTACGACCAACACCACCGTTGAAGTGACGGAAAGGAATAGCTTCCTTGTGCTCGTTGACGTTCTTCAAGTAAGAGTAAGCCTTGCTCAACTTCAAGCCCTGGATAGCAGCGGCAACTTCGTGGGTGTTCTTGAACTATAGTAGTAAAAACCTGTCAGCCTATACATGGATACCTTTGGAATGTGTGCTTTTCTCGATACTTGCGTGAACACGAAGGTAAGAACCACGGGACTTGGCAGCTATATCGAATAATACAAATGTCAGATGCATTGGGCCCTGTAGAATAGATCATTGAACGTACCCTTGGATTCGTTGGAGGGAGTGGCAGCGTATCTCACCATGATGCCTATAATCAATAATCCATTCATCAATTCATCCATCGCTTTCATCCATTCATCCTTTCATCCATTCATCCTTTCATCCATTCATCCATTCATTCATCCCATCATGTTGATCATTGTTCCCATGTTGCTTACCTCGGTCGTATACGCGATTAGAGAGAGGGAGTACTAACAATTGCCCAACCTGCTGATTACCTAGTGCTCCCCCGTTCCCCTCCCCCCGAATATCCAACCAATCACGTGTCATCAAAATATCCCGCCACCACCACCACTACTACTCTTCTTGAAATAGAACTCGAGCTGTGTGTGTGTGTGTGTACTCAAAAACATGTCAATCTCTATTAGAAAAGGTAACAAAACTATACAAGATACTTTTTGGGGGAAAAGGAAGGTGGATGCGAGGGAATGTACAAGGGGAAGGATAAATGCAAGAGTGGATGATGATAATGTTTGTGTGTGTGTGTGAGTGTGATGAGAGATGCTGTTTTTAACTAATGAATTGACATGATTCGGATAAATGATCGTTCGAGCCACAATATCGACATGCATCCTATACATAGAGACATTAGTTTCCAATCCATGGTACATAAAGATGGCTATATTACCTTGCAATCAGAGCTAGCATGACCAAGACCGCCACAATTGCCACAGCGCATTCGAATGGAATTTTGCCAAAGGTGGCGTGCATTGTATTGCTGAGAGCGCATTTCTTCTCGATATCCAGCAAAAAGATCTTGGTTGCCAAAGCCTGCCATGACACCTGATCCAATTCCTCCGCCTCCTCCTCCCATACCGCTGCTATTGGCTCCAATGGATGCGGGCGAGGGTGGTGGTGGCCCACATTTGATAGGTGATAAGCCGTCATGTTGTTGCATAGCCGAAACTTTGGCTTCCAAGGCCGAAATGTGTCGTCTCGCTTCTTCCATATCAGCTCGTCGACGCGTTTCATATAATTGTGCCATTTGCTCCTCACGCTCTCGAGATAATGCCATCATTTCTGCATATTGCCTTGATACCATTCCCATCTCTTGTCGCATGGCAGTCACCGCTTGCATCAATTGCTCATTTTCCTGCCGTAAACTTGTAACCAAGGCAACCAATTGATCATGCGATAGACTCGAAACTTGATCTGATGAATCATTGCTGAGACCAGGGGGTTGAAGTTGTTGTGCTGATGATGGCTCTGGTTGCCTTTGCTGTTCCTGATATGTGTCTCTTGGCGTAGCTGCCTCAACAAGAGGAATCGATTCTTGTGTTGGTGGCTGTGGCGATGATGAAGAAGAAGGAACATTGACTGCTTCAGCTGGCCTGGAAGATTCTGGTTGTTTGGATGACATGGTAGATGTAACTGTAGCAATGGAGGGTGAATTTTCAGGTATAGTCGTAGGCGTTGTTGGTGTCGATGGTGTGATTGTTTCCGATTTGCTCTCCAAAGCTGCTTCACGATGGTTGTTGTTGTTGTCCTTTTTGCGTTTTGAAGATGTCACAGTCATCCATCCATCCTCCTCTTGTTGATCCTCAATTGATGGTGATTCCTGCTCTTCCTTTGTGGTATCATCCTTGGAATCATTCGTATCCACAATGACATCTTGTTGGCTCTCCTCCTGCTGCTGATCCAATTTCTCTTGTTCTCCTATACATATATACCTTCCAATGAGTACTGCAATCTCATATCATTTTCTCGTCCCTTTACCTTTATCATCCATCGACTGCTTTTCTTGATCATCCGATATACCATTCGCCGGTAGATGCTTTGTCGTTTCAACTGCTGGCTTGGGTGATGAACAAGTTGATGGTGCACGGCTGCTTTCATTGGCTGAAATGGATGTAGCATCATTGGTGATGGCTGGCTGCGATGATGATGATGACGATGCTGCTGCTGCTGCTGCTCCTTTCTTTTTCTTCTTTTTCTTCTTGTTCTTCTTTTTGCTGCTGGAAGATGTGGATTGAGCGTCTTGCGAATCATTGAGTTTCATCGATTGAAGAAGCATATTTTGTCGCTTGAGAGCCAAATTCTCGCCTTGGATACGCATTCCCTCCTTCAAAAAGAGCTTCCCCAATACACCAGCCAATTCACGCCGACCTGTTTGGACACCATCCTCAAATTCATTGAGTAATAATTGACGTTGGCGCACCAGATCCTTGTGTGACTCGAGAAAACGCTTGACCTCCTTTTCAATCGTGACAGCCTCCATGACTTCCCCTTCTTGCATAAGAGCTTCAATGCAAACAAGGCAAAATTTGCAAAACAGTGGCTCTGGAAAGATCTTTTGGGTGACCTCATACTTGAAATATTGTCGCAAAGCATTGTATCCATTCTCTGCTCGCTTGACACGCTTCTTGAAATCCTTTTGAGCAAGTTTCTCTAGTCGTCCAGCTACTGTTGCTTTGGCTTCTGCAGTGAAATTGTTGACAACGGCATTGGCATCCTGCCGAAATTCTCGAATACGACGATCCATCTCTGTCTGAATACGGCGAACGGCGACATTGACATCATCAGCAGGGTGTAATCCACGTAAGGATGCTGATACAGCTTTGCAATTCTCCATGTGACGTTCATCCTGTTGCTCATGAGATGCCATCCGATCCGCCATTTTTTGAATAGTTGGCACCACGAGATCCCATAACTTTTGAATCAAGGCTTGTAATGCATCCAATCGTGGCATTGCAAATTCATTGTGAAATCGCTCAACGCATCCCGCCAATTGATCAAAGTAATCTCGTACAGCGTTATCCATAGCAGCGACATCGGGCCGTTTCTTCTTGTAGACAAGCATAGCACGATCCCAATGTTCCTGAAAACTCGTTGGTAGATGTTGTGCGTCGGCAAATCGATCCACACTGTCTTTTGATCTACGACCCATCAATGCATTGCGCTCTCGTTCCAAATCAAGTAAGCGTTGAAGAAATTCACTGAGATGACGCCATGAATGGTCAAGAGCACGCTCCAAATCGTTCATAGCGGATGTCGTCACTGCTGCAAGTTTCTCATTGTAAATGGCACGCTCAGTCTCCAGCTCTGATGGTGAACGTGCTGATGGCCGAGTGTGTGCACACGTGGGTTGAGAATGTGACATGAGGATATCGCCTGTAAGATTCTTGAGTAGATGAAATCCTTCAGCTGGTAGACATAATGATTGTCGTTCAATAATCAAAGGGTCGAGTAGCTGTGAAGGCTCCTTTGGATCATCCGATAAAGGTATCGCGTCAGGATATGGGTTGAACTGAACGGGTTCAAAGATAGGTGGTAAGGCTGATAAGCTGCTAGGTAACGTCTGCCATAGTGTGCATGCTGATATGATCTCTTCGGTCAATGTCGCATCGCTGCTCGATTCAGACTGTGTCTCCAATAGCTTTTCAAAGCGTTCTGACAACTTTGGCGATCTTTCCTTTTGCTTCGAAGGCGTTGTTCCATTCAACAGGTTGATCTGGTACTTGCCGGCCAATAGACGTTCTGGGTCCTCCATGGTCACATCTTCCTGCGTTTTCGCACTCCATATGAAATGCTTCTTGTAGACATACTGAGACCATTCACGACAATACAAGCACCGTGTCTCACTATCGCATGCCCTGAACCGACTCAATTCCTTGGATATTGCACTGTGCTGAATGCGAAGAACCTCAATGGGCGTCTCCATGGTGTCAATCGGTGTGGGATTGGATCCTGAAGAAAAAGCTGCAAAGATACGAGGAGCCCGCAGAATGAAGATCAATTTACCGAAAGGGCGCTTTGCTGTTGCTGCTGCTGCACCTGACCACAAATCTTACATTCCCCTTTTCTATTTATTCTCTTTTATTGTTGTTGTTGCCCATCATACATCCTTTACTTTCTTTATCAAGATACCCTCCAAATCTATAGACAATGAAAATAAAGATTCTTGCGTTGCTATGATACTACAAGTGCTCTTGGCTACATGAATTAAACCATTCTACATGTACAATATGGGACAATGAATCTATGTAACCCCTTAACAATGCTGCATGCTGGTCACAGCTCGACATCTCGTTACTATGTATCATGCAGGAGAAGAGCACTACAAAGAAATAGAAACGCATGATGTGTATACATAAAGCGTTAATCAATTTATTCATCAAAGTGATAATTGCATTCATTATGGATAGGGTAGACGCATCAAAAGTGCCATAAAAGTATAGTGGGCGAGCCATTTATTGCTTTTCATTACAATACTTTGCAGCGTTTTGTCCAGCTGTTCTACCATAAACCACGCATTCCAAAAGCGAGTTACCAGCAAGTCGATTTTTGCCATGTACACCACTTGTTACTTCACCAGCAGCGTAAAGACCTACATACAATAGTGGTGAATGACATGTAATGGATGCACGACCTTTGGATTCCTTACCTGGTATAGGCTGCTTGGTATGTTCAGAAAGCACAGCAGCATCCGTATTAATAGCGAGCCCACCCATAGTGTAATGAACACAAGGCGTGATTTGGGCCACCCAATAATTGACTTCGGGTCCTTGTGCGAGTGGATTGGGAAAGATCGTTTTTCCAAAGGCATCAGGCACCGAAGACACGGTTGTATCGGTGGTCTTTTTTCCATCCACATGCAAATCATAGCGTGCAAATTCGTCATTCAAGATGGTAGCACTCACACCCAAGTGTTCTGCAAGATGATCAATGCTTGAACATTTCACAAAGAATCCTCGCTTGGCATAAAACTCGGCTGTTGAAGGGCCAAATTGTTCAATCATGGTATCAGTAAGCACGAGCCATACGACATTGCTCGATTGATCTAGAATCGATTGTGTCACAGCGTCACGACGACCCAACTCATTGGTAAAACGATGTCCATCCGTATTGAGCAACACACCGCCATAGGCACGTAACGCTTCAGGTGCAAGGAATTTGGTACCAGCTTTGGGGTTATTGGGGTCAACAAAACCAGTAGGATGGATTTGGATTTGATCCTGTTATTATATCAAAACATGCGTCAATGACCAATAAATGTGCTCTTTTATAATAACAACGTACCATGTCCTTGGTAGCTGCACCCACGGCCACACCAAGACGAATACCATCACCATTAGCCCAAGGACCATTTGTGGTTGCAATGTTGAGCAAGTTGGGTGCATATTGGCTGAGTAGTGTTTGAGTGCCATCAGGTTGATCCAAAGGTTGTGTTTGACCACCAAATCCTCCACATGTTAATATCACTGCATTTGCTGGGAGCATCTCATTGTGGTTTAACTCCACACCAGTAATCGCACCAGTGTTAGGATCGGTTTCCAAGCGTGATACACGGCTTTGTGTACGTACACTGGCATTGTCAAGTTGCTCAAATCGTTGCTTGAGTGCTTGTATTAGCCGCCATCCCACTGGTACAGGGCTACCATTTGGCTTGGGTGGACATCGATGCGTACGTGGATATGTGTGTCCTCCACACTGAGAAACCAATGATAAATCCAATGTTGTATCTTGTTGCTTGAGCCATTGTAAAGCGTCGACACTCTCATGCACAAGCTTATGAACCATCGATTCGTTCGAAAGACCACCACCCGATTCAAGCGTATCACGTTCAAATGCTTCCCAAGAATCACCCGTTTCAGTCATCCCATTGATGCCAGAAGTTGCTTTTGCCGAGTTGCCTCTGTAAAAGAAGATTCCATCAGGTCAACTATCACCACCATCACCCTATGTAATCATCCATACCCAATATTGTTTTCCTTATCCACAAGAATGACATGCATAGCAGCATTGGTTGTTGCTGCTTCAATAGCTGCTGATAGACCAGCGAGACCACCACCCACAATGATTGTTGTCTTTTGAGCCATGTCGGGTAAAATGTATTTTCGAATAGCAAAGCCAAAAAGCATCAACAAGAGAGAGGAGGCAGTTAAATAAAATTGCATGAAAGGGAAAAAGAACAATCATACGACTATCTTCTATAAACTATTCTGGTAGCCAACTGAAACCGGAACACTTTTTGGGATGACAAAAACTCCGTTCACGATGGATGATGATCATCACCATTTTTCCTCGCTCCACACGTCCATGCCTTCGGTCCACCTTTCACGCATACGGGTCAATAGCTGATCCTTTTCTACATAGCGTTGTCGTAACCAAGCAGCCAGCTGCTCGTCGTCTTTTGGTAATTCTTCAATCGGATATCGTCGCACATTGACGTGGAACTCGTATTCATCTCCAAGCTCTCGAACATGTACACGCACCATGTCAGGTGCCACATTGAACTCTGTTGTATTGTCCTGCAGTCGATGGTTGTAGCAGATGGTAAAATCTAGTATGGAAATGAGTGAGCGAGCATCCATGCATGAAAAAAAATGCAGCGAGGAAAGTTACCATAAACGTATTTCACATGAGAAAATCGAAATGCATTGATGCACGTAACAAAGCCCTTGGTGCGTGGTAGAAGCACGTTACACATGATTGTAAATCCACGTTCCTTTTCAAATGCTTGACACTATGATTGTTCGATCAGCATCCTCCCTCTCTTTGATAGTACTTGAATCGAATAAAAAAACCCACCTCGCGTAATTTGATTGGAGAGAATCGCGTTCCTTCGACAAAGCTCGTAATCCATACAGGTGTCTGTAATCGCTTGATGTTGGAAAAAGTGTTTTGTATCCTGCGTTGATCCCGTAACCAATTGCGTCGAACAAACAAAAAGTCGGCAAGCTGCATTGTGGCGTAAATGGATGCGTGAGACAACAACAATCGAGATTGGACGCCACACATCCCAAAACTTACCCACATGCCCCATCCAAAGAACGGTAACTGAAGATCGTTGATTAGCCTTCTTCTTTGTTGACATCCACACTTCCTCCAAATAGCTTACCCATTTCAATGAATCCTTGACAAAATACTTAAGAGTTATCCATAAGTATCAACCCAATCCTCGTAATAATCATTACTTACTTTACAATTGCTGAGCATTCCTCGACGAATAGCCACCGAATGCAATAAATAAAAATCGGTCCAAGAACGATGGTTGCTGATGACAATGGCTGATTCCTTGTCAGGGAGACGATCACCTGAATAGGTTATCCTTGCCTTTTGACGACGCTTGAAACATGATCCCACGTGAGTTGTTTCGTCCAATCTCCATCAATGCATATACTCACTTCAAATATATACTACACACAAAGGCAACCCACATGTTAGTCATTGGCAGCCTATCCCAAACAAATAAATGGCCCTTTCTTTACCTGCATAGCCGTCCACATAGTGCCCACAAGCCTCGAGTTTATGCGCACAAGTAACTTTTCCGAGAATGGCCGCAATAGAAAAGACGTTACTTGCACCACCTGCAATGTGCCTGCCATGCTAGTTGTTGAACTCAAAAGTTAGCTTCCTCCTCTCCCCCGGTGATCGCTTCCCTATAACAGAGGACATGTCGACGTACCCGAACAAGAACACAACAGCCGACACGGCATTGACCGCTTCCGAAATGGATCGAATTGGGCTCATGCGACAATGTGGAGTCAGGCTTTGAGACGATCGCCTTGCTGTTGATTTGACAAGAAAAGAAAAAGCTTAGCTTCGGTGCTGCTGTTGGCGGGAATACCGGTTGACGGGGTTCCACAAGGACATTGTTGTTGGTTGTTCGTCGGCGAAACAATGAGTGTCATGGTAATGAATCCTTGTAGTCATCATTGTTCTTGGATCTAATATGCACGTTTTATGAGCCGTCTTGATGCAAATAGTAAATAAGATTCCCAAAAGAGCTGGCTAGGAGATGAATCAACAACATCCATCATCAAGAATCAACGTGGACATGCGTATACATACACTGCTTTCTCTTTCCAAGGACAAAGACCTCTTTTCTTCAGTAAGTGTTATTCATATCTACATACCCTATTCATGTCTAAGCCTGCTATGACAATGAAAACCAGCATTTCATACCCAGAATCAATATGTCTGGCAAGTGAGACAAAAGCCATCCGTATCCACTGGAGCACTATCCGCAATGCCCTCAACGATGCAAGACGAAGAGGTTGTGATGGCGTGCCTACAATCAACGAGAAGAAAAAAGATGAAGAATGGGGACCTGATGATGATGATGATGATCTCATGTTGCTCAAACGTCGGGTACTGGTGAATTTATCCAGGAGTTTGCTCTTGTATGGTGCTCCTTGTCATCGCATTGTAAGCTACATACATACCTTGCATGTATCCATAGGCCCATCTCTATTAACACAAGGATGATTTTATATGTAGGAACAATCATTGGAACAAGCAGCACATGTACTTGGCCTTGAAGCTGCTTTCTTTTTCATCCCAGGCATCATGATGATATGTTTTGGTGATATGCAACCACGCACACTACTTGTACGATGTCCACAAGGATTCGACATGGGAAAGCTGGCCAAAGTGACAGGGATCGCCAACGCTATATGCCACAAGAAGCTCTCATTGCAAGAATGTATTGACAAACTGGAGGATGTCGCTCAAGCATCACCTACTTGGGGTCCTTTGGCTATTCTGATGGCACACACAGTATCGAGTCTGCTGACAACGCCCGTCATGTTTAATGGATCATGGATGGATACAGCTGTGAGTGGGGGTCTTGGGCTCATGGTTGGCATGCTCACTCTGGTGGCTGGAAAATACGCATCCTATTGCAACATCTTTGAAATATCCACGTCCATCCTCGTGGCGTTCGTTGCCAAGGCACTCAATCCATGGATTTGTTTTACTGGTGTATCACTCTCAGCCACAGCGACTTTGTTACCAGGATACATTTTAACCATGTCCATTGTATGTAAGCAAAAAGCTCTAGGCATTGACATGTGAATTAACTTGATGATGTACATAGATGGAGCTTTCTGCCAAACACGTGATTACAGGCACCATCCGTTTCATTTATGCATTGATTTACGCTTTATTCATTGGATACGGGCTTGAGATTGGCACGAGTATCTATGATGCATTGGACCCCTCATCGTCACCAACCGATTTCGACACCTGTACAGGTAGCATGCCACCCTGGATTTACGTTGGCATGTTTCCATTTGTGGCAATTAGCATGGCAACAACACTAGGAGCGACTCTACAACAATGGCCATCCATGGTTTTTTGTTCCGCTGTTGGATTTGGTACAACATTAATTGCAAGCAAGGTGATCACCAATTATCAAATCGTGGGTACGATTAGCGCGTTTAGCGTGGGTCTTTTCGGCAATCTCTATCTCAAAGTCACTGGCGATTTGGCACTCGTTCCATTGTCATGTGGCATTGTTTTGCTCGTTCCTGGTAGCGTTGGTATCCAAGGTGCATACTTTTTGATACGTCAAGATGATCAAGGTACATCTTTTGCCATTCAAATGGTTGTTGCCTCTCTTGGAATTGCCGTTGGACTATTCACAGCCACCTTGTTGGTGTATCCAAAGGGAAAGCGAAGATACCTTTATTTGTCATACTAGCAGTAGAATGCCGTGTTGAACATAGCAAGGTTGTAGTACATAAAGAAACCTGTTGTATGTTGTTTTTATCCCTGAGTATACCTTATCATGAGAAAAAGTGAGAGAGAAAGAAAAGTTTGCACACGTCGATGTGAATAGAAAATGCGTTGAGTCGATAAAAGTATAGCAACCAAGATTGGTTGTGGGATAATGCGGTTGGATGAGATTGTGTGTATTCTGCAAAATGGCTGTTCGTCATGCAAGGTCTCCTATATACATTCGGCTTTTGATGATTCATTGCCATTGCTATCGCAAGAATAAAGTATGTCATGAGTGTTTTATAATATGCTCTGATAATTTACGCAACGTGCTGTGATACATATGATTTGATGTCAAAGTGCCATCGCTTTCAAAGATCAGCGATAAGAGGGGTGGGATGCACGTGACCATTCATGCTTCAAGATCCGATAAAAGCATCCGGCGATTTGGAGCATGGTGACACGAAATGATTTCGGCAGGAATGCAAAATGCGTGCCTTAAATGTGCGGAACATTACTTTCATCAGTGGAGCCATGCGTGTGTGTGTGTGTGTATCACATTTCTTTCCGAAGCACTCTCATTATTCTCTGCTACTGTTGTTGCCATGGCAAAAGATACATCTCGTCCCAAAGCTATCAACATCATTCGCCCCAACCATTCATTATCTACCACCGCCAACAATAAGCGTTCCACACCGACACCACCCCTCAAGCCGCATATATCATCTTCTTCCAATGCAAGAAAACCCAAGGTTACTACTTCCGCAAAGATCTCATTTGACCATGGCATTGGTGCATCAGGAAGCAAGCCGCAACTCAACATTTACCGTCCCCCATCGCGATCACCACAAGGACCCCAAGTACTTGCACCACAACCTCGCGTATCTGTAACCACTACACCTAACTCAAATAGAGGTATTGGTGGTAATGTAGTGCATAGCCAGCGAACCAAGGCATCATTACAACAAGAGGCAGTTCCTCGTTCGCTTACAACGCCCATCCTTGCATCCAACTCTACGCCTGTATCCATTGCTGATCGATTTCAACGTCGCACTACACCAACACCGCCATCACCACAGCAACAACAACAACAACACCTTGGTGAAACATCATCACCTCCATCATTATCATCCCAGCCAAGTTTAATGACTCGTTCTCGTACGCTTCATACCGTGAATGCTGTTCTTACCACTACATCCGATGAAGAAAGCGAAACAGACGAGGAGGAGGATGTGGATCCAAATGAGAGTGCCAGCAGCAGCAGTACAAATGATGATGAGGAGGATGAGGATGATCCTATGATTAATGAGGCACGCGTAAATAGAAAGGTATCTCAAACACAAAAGGAGTTGCATGATTTCCCCACTGATGCGTTTCAAATGTAGATTGCCGATTTGGAGATATCCAATCGATCTCTGCTTGCCGTCAACGAATTATTGGAAATCACAGTGCGTCGACAAGCATCCCAAGTAGCCAAATTAAAGAAACAATTAGCGAAGTAAGTGAAGATGCAATGTAATGCATGGTTGAAAAATGGATATTGATGCAGGAGATAGTGAAGGACCTTTGGACATCAAACCATTGCCTTTGCCATCAACAACAACCGAGGTGAGTGCGCTGTATTCTACTTGTCGACAGGGCGATTTTCCCACATGCAAACCTGTGAGGACCATGTAAATACAGGAAGACCAAGAGGGAGACGACAATGATGACGATGACGACGACTGGGAAAAGGATCCAACGTTTCACCGCATGTACCAACTTACAGAGAGCATGATTCAGTTGGGTCAAGAGTCTTTACGTTTTCAATATAAGGGTGCCCGTGTTTTATCCCACTATAATCAAGGTATGATGTTTGTAGATACGTAGCTTTATTGAATGACTCATTTGGATGATGCATTTGTAGATGAAGAGGACGAGGAAGAGCAGGTTGAGGATAATGATTGTGAACCAAGTACACGACCACCAGCAACGAATCAACAAGTGGATCAATCCACAAAGCAACATAGCAACAACGTTCATTCTCCATGGCAACCAAAGTAAATGATACATGCCTATATAGTAGAAGATTGCAATACAAGGATCTATTTTACATCTACATCAAATTTCAGGTGATTGGTCTTCGGTTTCTAGTTCCATCATCATTGCTTCTCCAAATCGGTCTGGGTCTGTGAGCATCATGTTGAGCAATCGCTTCTTGAGCTCGAATTCATCATCACCCGCCTTGTGTTTCTATAATCGTATCGTTGGGGGTGAGTTTTCAAGAATAAGAAACATGGATGAAAAGAGGTCGCTTACATGTTCGAGATTGTCTATTGCGTCCACAGCATCTTGATTACGTAGCTCCAATTCGCTTTGCAAGAGTGTGTGCTCCTAATCGATAAATGAGTAAAACGCCCTCTTTGTATGTATCCCAGAATAAAACTTACGGCTGGTATCCAAGAGGGCCGGTCTCGTGAATCCGAATTATCATAGCACAATGCGTCCCACATATTCTCCTTGCAGTCATCCCTAAAGTAATCATTTAGCACAAGAGGATGATACCAGAAAAGAAGAAATTTCAACTTGCAATAGCTTCGCCGCATCGAGACTTGCACCAATCGTGTCGGCCCATTGGTTTTTCCACTTCTTTTCAAATTGCAATAAGGTGCTGACTTTGTTCAGGATGGACTCTTCGTGAAAGGATCGCCGCCTGGATGATGTGGATGGTTGATCAAGGTAAGCTAGCATGAAAAGAATGATCATACGTTAATACGGCGGGAGAGATCCATAGCATTTGACTACTACTCACGTCGTCTTAACAAGAGTTCGATTTGATGCAATAGCTCCTCGTCATCCGCATGATCGGAATAGTGCTGCTGATCGTTTTTATTCCCTTGACATTTTTTCTATAAAACAAGTCTTAGTGAATAGGACTACTTGGCTCACATCATCTTCATACTTGCCATTTGCTCTTGATGTTTTTCCTTGCACTCCTTGAGATCCTCCAACAATGCGAGTACAGTACAGCGTTTCAGGTGCCAATCTTCTTTTCCTGCTTCACAAGCATAGTATGCCAGGTGCTGAATTGCTTGTTGTCGTAAAAGGTGTGTTGCGATCTACTCAACGGCTATGAATGACTTGATTTGATATCCAATAAGGGACACTTACAGCTTCCAGGCCATCCCAGTAATCATACAATTGCCTTTTATGAGCTTCGTTTTGTTCCAATAGGAGAGGTTCACGAATGGTCAAATCAGCGAGTCTTGAAAGTGTTGGATGGATACGTTTTTGCAACTGATGCTTCTGGTTGTAGACATTGGATTTCACCTCGGCTTGGTACCCGGCTGTAGTGTTCCTACACAACAGGTATGAGCATCTTGTAGCTTGCTACTCGAGGAATAGGCTTACCTTAATATGTCCATGATTTGAGGTAGGTGATTGAGCTTTTTGAAATCATTTTCCAAGCTGGCAATTCGAGTCTGATGTGCATCACATGCAGCTTGTGCTTTGGCATACTCGAGCTCGATTCGTTGGAAGCTACAATTTGGCATTGTTTCAATAAAAGAATCATGTACGAGTTTTCCATGGACGTACTTGTCGACTTGGTGTTCAATATCGTTCATCCTCTCTTGAGCCTAAAGATCCATCATCAGCCCAATGATAACACAATGTCAAGGGAAACCTACCGAACCATCCTCGCTTGGTGAGTTGAGAATCGATAATTGACTACGCAAGTCCTTGAGCGATAGGTCCATCTTTGTTGCTATGCGATCATCCAATTCAAGAAATTCATGCAAGGAAGATAGCACAGCTATTGAAAGGATGTGAGATCATCTATTCCATCATGAATGCCACACACCCTCCTTCTTTACCATCATTTTCATCGGATGAAGGATGAATCAAAGACCGTGCCATTGCTGCAGTGGTCGAAAGTGATTGATCATAAAAGATGCTTTGCTCATCCACGTGGCGGCTTTCATCACAGAGGCGTTTTTCAATGTCGACCAATGATTCCTTGAGCGTGGCTAGTTTTTCCTCCAATGCATGACACGTCTGCCTGAATAAAACGTCAAAATACACGTTTATCATCGTCCTTATCATTGTCTTACTGTAGCTTTTCATTTTGATCTTCAAGGACAGAGGCGGCTCGAGCAAACGGGTTGGGTGGAGTTGCTCTGAAAGCAAGAGAGGTAAGACCTGTAAGCGACACGGTGGCGTGTTCATTGCAAGGCAACTTACTTTACTGGAATGGATAGTTCTTCTTCCCAGGGGTCGTCCACATTAGAGATCTTGCGCTTGTCACCCGATCGATCGGCAGTAGTGGTGGTCATTCCAAGAAGAGAGAACAAAGAAGAGGAGAAAGGTACGACGTGGAATTGGATATTGCGTGTGACAGGACTTGCAAGCGCGCATGATATCTTTTTCTCTCCCTCTCCCTTATACCACCCACCACAATGAACTATCAGCAGCCGCCAAGGATTGGACGTCGTGCAGAGAAACTGGATGCTCTCAATGGCAAGTTTGTCAATTCGTTGGTTCAAGGACTCGAGTACGTTGATTTGGGGGAGGAGGCACGACATTTGGCGGGCAGTGTTGCTTATGAATCTCATTTGGATAGACCCTACTCGCTGGACGAATCAATACCCAATCTTGACCAAGAGACCAAAGACGAACTACAAGTAGCGCATGCACAAGTGCTTGATTATTTACAGGAGCATATGACAGTAAGTCAAGTCGTTACCACGCATGGATTTTTATTCTTAATCATGATGCTCTCTTCTAGAACATGTTTGATCGTGTCAAGTCCGAACGAAATGTAGTGGAAAAGTTAAACGAGCTTGAGCAAATGATACTGGAAGCAGGTACCAATAGCGGTCAAAGGTAAATGGAGTATGGAATGGGGGTATTGGATGTGTAGGTAGCTCACGTGACGCGAATAGAATCCTCCCGGATCCAGAAAGCGTGGTGCGTGCATTACGGATAAAGATCAAGATGCGGGAATTGGAGCGTTTAATATCAGAGGAGAGCAAGGTAAGATGGTTATGGCACTCTTTTTATGACGATGGGCTTACATGCCTGTTTTTTTTACTAGCTTCAAGATGAAAATTGTCAATTGATGGATGAGGTGGCCCAAAAAGTTGCTAGACTTGAAGAAGGAAATCAAAAGCTGGAAAAAGAAGCGGAACGCAATGAACAGGTAAGTAAATGAATCTTACACATGTTCTCTTGTGCTAAATAACATGGTATAGACTGCAAGATTCCTCATTGATTTACCCATTGAACAACAATTTGATCCAATATTCGATAGATTAGAACATAGTGAGAGCGTGTAAATTTTCTACGACTGTAAATACATTATTCGTCCTTTATATCCCATGCAAGCATTTGATTCTATTGAATGGATGGATGGATGGATGGGTGGTGGGTACAATGGGGCCAATTTTCTTTTTGTGTGTTGTGTAACCATGAACAGGGAAGCGATGCATGAGAGTGTGTAATTACAAGGTGTGAGTGAGTATGAGTGTGAGAGGAAGGTATACTAAAGTAGCTCATTGTTGGGGATGTTGGTTGGGCTATTGTTACTCAAAGGGGAAGAGCTTGCATCATTGACGGTAGTGTCATCGGTGGTGGGTGAACCTGTTTGTTGTTGTCTTTTCTTTTTCTTCTTTTTGGATTCGTTGCGTACACCCTTTTTGAGGATGCGTCGTGTCACAGCATTCCTGTATCCTTGTTGCAACTTTTCGGCCAAAATGTCCACATGGCATAAATCAACATTGTGCTCGATACAATATTCGGTAATTGCATCACGTAGTGCTTGGTTCTATAATAGAGGTTGGTCACTTTTACCTTGATCCATAGTTCCATTGCCTACATACCTCATAGACCGTAAGGACACTTTGCTCTTGACTCCCTCCCAAAGATAGATTGACACGATAAACAATGCTTTTGGGTGATGGTGATGAAGATCCACTCTCTTTCTTTTCTTCGTCCTTTTCATCCTTTTGCACGGCATCTGATTGCATTGGTTGTGGTTGTTGTGGTGGCGATGGCGAGGGTGGTGATGGTGAAGGTGTCGGCGTTGTTTGCTTACTTGGTTCTTCACGTCCCTTTGATTGGCTCGTACTAATACGTTCAGGTACCAAAGGTGTCATGGTGCCAGTTGTGGAATCAGGTAGGCGTTGAGACAAGGTTGATGTGGTGCTCATCAAATCCTCACTCGTGTCAAGCAATGAATTGTTATCAACAATAGTCCTTGTAGGTTGTAGTATTCCATCGCCACCACCATCCGTTTCACTATGGCTATCACTGCTTTCGGGTGCCTGTTGTTGCTGGTGATGAGATTCGGTGGCTGTGGTGGATGAGGGTGCATTTAAATCGGACATGTCTTGCCAAATACTACTGAGTTCCATGCCAGCTGGTTGTCGAGGTGATTTGTAGATGGTTGGATCTTCCACAGTTTTCTTAACCGTATCACTGGTGTCGATAAGAAAGTCAAATTCAGGAGTGGATGTTGATGATGGCTGAGTAACGCGTTGTTGTGGTGATTGTTGTTGTTCATTCGGACGTAGTGGTTGATCAAAATCAATGGGCTCATTCCAACGGCCAGCATAAGTAGTGGGTGGTGTATCTACTCGACGATTGTTGGTCCTTGTGTGCGAAGGAGTAGGTCGTGGAGATTTGGGTCGATTTTGTACATTCGCAGGCTTTGTTGGAGGTGCTATTCATACGCAATGATGAGTATCACATTGGCTACAAGTTATCACGTAGTTCCTTTTTTACCTTTGCTTGGCAATGTTCTCGATGCAAATTGAGGGGAAGTGTTGATTGTTACACCATCATCTTCATCCCAATCGATCACCTCCTCATCATCCGAACATAATTCAGGTGGAAATGGCTTTTTGGTGCTTGGTGGTGGTTGCTGTAATTGTTGTGATGGTGATTGCTGTTGTCGTTGATGTGGTGATTGTGAAGCAGCTTTTTGAATTGTGGGCCATTCAGCAGCTGATAAAGGAGCAGGAGTGCTTCTTTCTGCATGCGATGATTGAAGGCGAGGACTGGGCATAGCAGCTGGTCTTTCTTGGGGTGGTGCCTTTGGATTCAACACACGCCATTCGCCATTGGATGACTTTTCCCAATACACATTACTTTTTTGGCGCTCAAGAACATCATGCGCGTATCCTTGTACCCGCAAATCATCCCATGCAACGTAGTTTTTAGGTGTTCCCCATCCATCGTTCTCCATCGTTTTGACCTTGCCTGCTACAGGACGTCGACGAGAAGCTTGAGTAATGGTGGTCTCCAATGCCTTTTGTTGCCATGTATTTTCATATTGCTCCAAAGTATGTGGCTTCCAAGATTGCTCCTGCTGATCCTGTACTTGCCCAGAAGCTTTTTGTGCCCATGGAACAGTTGTTGTCGAGCCCCATCCTCCTAGATCCACCTCCTGCTGCTTCTTTCTGTTGCTGGCTGATAAAGATGGCCATTCATTCATCATAGGAGGCAATTGCGTTGTCAAAGGTTGTGGCTGTGGTTGTTGCGGTTGTGGCGTTACTTCATCCGGTACTTGATACATGCTCTTGTTGTTCCGCTGAACATCCTCAGGTCTCATATGCACTTGGTACACTTCCTCTTCCTCCTCGTCATTGTCATATCGTTCCTCATCCTCATCTTCCTCATCTTCTTCTTCATAAGAGTCATCGTTGCTATACTCTTGCTCCTCAAATTCAAATGCTGACTCTTCCTCTTGTTGAGCTGGTGATTCTGAATGTACTGGCGAGAGTGGCTTCATTCTTTCAGTGTAGGGTGCATTTGAAGATGGTTGTTGAATAGCATGTTGTTGGCGAATAGAGCCTGGGATATGTTGCGTGATGGCAGCTTCGTTTGCTGTGGCCCATAAACCAGGTGTGGTTGGCCTTTGTCCTCCTCCTCCACCACCAACACCACTTGATGCCTTGAGTGCTGCAACACGCGATGAACGCTTGCTTATACCCTCTATTGATAAAGTCGTTAAATTAACCTCTCCATTTGTCGATCTTCCAATGACACTTACCATTTCCAGATGGGTATCCATTGACGTCATTTGCAAATCCAATATCTTGGTTCCATGGTTGGTCTTCATTCTAAGTAAAAAGTTGTTAGCCATTGAACCAATAAATCAATTTCCATTTTCTTACCTGTGCTCTATCAAGAGCATTTTCCAATGTCGATACATCCATATTGAGAATACGTGCCAGGGATACGATATGAGCACCCGAAAGATAACGTGATTCGGGAAGAGACATCAATTCAGGCTCTGATGACATGTCGGTGTTGACCATGGCGTCGATATTGCTCTCATCCAAAGTAATCACGATGGCTGCATCATTACGGACGTTGCTGATATTGCCGGGACGCTCAATAGCAAAATCCTTGATGGGCGACTTTGCAATGTTTCTATATCCAACGAGTCGAACATGGCGTAAATGCTTGCTGCATTGACAACAAAGCTGGTATATAGCACGTGGTGAAATGTTGCCGCATTGCTCAATGTGGATGTGGTTGATCGTATTTCTCGAAGGTCCTTTGCATAAATGGTGTAGGATGCTTTCTGTAATATCGGGGCAAGCAATGAGATGCAGCGTTGTGAGGCGATTGGCACGTTCAACCAAGGGAACCAAAGAATCATCATTGATAGAATGGCAATTTTTGAGACCAAGTGTCGTGAGAGATGGACAACGCGATGCCAATGCATTGATGATATCTTCAGGGACGTTGAGATTCTCGATCAAAAGCTGCTTCAGGTTGAGTGGTTCAATATCCAAATCCTGTGTCATTCGTGTGGCTGTGATTGGTATCTTCAATGATGCTGGATCAGCTCGAATCTCAAGCTTGCAAAGTGATGGACACGAGGTGACTACTGAAACGATGGTGTTTGCTGATATCCATGTAGTGCCATGCAACGTCAATTCGGTCAAATTGGGAAATGAGTCCAATACACCTTGTACATCAGCCTCTGTCAAATGCGTTGCTTGTGTCAAGATCAATTTGCGTAAATCGAGCTTGCCCGAGCATAATGAAATCAATGATACGCGCTCCATGCCTGCCAATGAGACTTGTAAACTTTCCAGCGCGAGTGCACGTTCACTAATCACCTTTGCAAACTGGGGACTGATTGGGAAACGGCCATCCAATCGTAATTCTTTGAGCTTTGACAACAGGCTGCGTTGGATGAAGACGCCTTGAAATGATGGATTGCTGCCAACAAGCGTAAGCGATTCGAGGTCTGTCAATATCGTATCCAATGTCCCAAGCATCATAGGCTCTAAACCCCATCCATAGATCTTGTAGGATCGAATCTTCTCGCATTGTTGAGCCATGTTGTGAATAAGAAAAGACCTTGTCAGGATGCGAACGTGGTTGTATGAATGGCGTTCTAGCTCTGAATCCATGATGGGTCGAAAAACTGTTTGGTGTTCTTCGTCGCGTAGACATAGCGAGAGTCGTTTGACCACCAGTGCCGACTTTTTATGGTTCTTGACGGACTCGGCAAACAACCGGAATGACTCTGGATCGCGAAGTTCAGGTGCTTCCCATAGCACATCGGTAGCTGCCTTGAGCCACCTCGGGTGTATTAGACATGCTGTATATAAAGCCTTCTGCGTCGGTAAGAATCGACATATACGCTCCATGGCAGAATTGGGTAGCCCCAAAAAGGGACGAGAATCCCAATCGAATGACGACAGCCATTGCTCATTCGTCGGCATAGCCACAAGTATTTGAAATGGAAATGAGAATGTTGTGTATGTGAGGGGAGTTGAAAGAGGTGGTTTGAGTTGTGTGAAGAAAGACAATGAATTCTTGTAGGCAAGCAAAGCACGTATCTAAATCTTTTTTAAATCCCCTCTCGCATCATTCTTTGTTTCATTTGATCCCTAAGCGTGCCAGACCATCGCATCGTCCCCTTACAATGATCAACCCCCCCCTCATCATCATTGAAATTGATCCCTCTCGTAAATAGCACGTGATCGCTGTCAATACACCCATCATTCATGCATACAATGCATCGTATACGTATATGTAAACAGCTTTTTTTACTAGTTGGCTAAAAATCTACTACTTTAACAACCATTGGCATGTCCTATTATGCGAATTGGATCAGTAAATAGAAGACATCGAGTCGTCTCATTGATTTACCTTGTACGTTTAAGAAGAGCCATATTCATCCTTGCAATCATAAGCATCATCACCTTGCTTGCGGGTCTTTGCCATACAGCATGATTGAAAACCAGGAACACTTGCAGGGCTAAATAGTTTACATTCATTGTCGCTTGCTTGACCAACCAGGTTGCAGCAGGCAAGGGTAAATTGGTCGTCGTCTTGACAACTGCAGTTGGGAAGGGGAGAGGAAGAAGAATCATCCGCAGAGACCACATTATTGGCCACTAAAACGAAAGCACCGAGAGCGAGTAGAATTGACTTGACCATGATTAAAAGATGAAAAAGAAAGAGGAATGAATCGTCTTTTGCCACCTTGCAGCAATGGGATTTTTATATACTGCTAGAAATAAAGAGGAATGATGCTCCTTCTCCTCTCTTCGTTTAAGGAGCATTATGCAGTATGTAGCAACAACCAGCAGCAGCGGCAATCCTGTTATGCAGCAGCAAGCAAATGTGCCCTTTGTCTTTCTCTGTTGATGTGGTGCCACTCCCTCCCTGATTATGGAATCCATCGAAAGCTGCAAAAGCAAACTCCTGATTTAGGAAAAGAAATGCAGCCCGGAGTGAAAAAGAAGGTTCAGTGCGTATACATCAAGGGGGAAAAAGATCATCATTCACCGGTGGAATAGCAGCACAAGGAAAGTGTACTATACCACAATGACTGCAAACGTCCCCTCCTTCTCCTCTTGACTGATACATGCTCATTCCCGCTCTCCTAATCATAGCCAAACCTTCTCCTGATCAAAATGTACGTTGGGATAGACACCTCCTTTCTCCTCAAAGAGTAGCATTTGCCAAGAGTCAACACTACATACATACCACCATGCGACAAAAGGGTATATATTTCATGATCCACAAACGTCAAGACGACTGCTATGTATGTATATCTATTTACGGATGACCTTTTTCTGCAACGTGCTGCAGACCATGTGGCCAATTGTACATCATAGACCATCATAAACAATCCCATTTAGAAATAAAAAATGCCCTTTGTCATCATCAGCACACGTACGTAGTTAACAATGAGCCATCCTATTTGAGACCAGGGAAATGCAAGTTGGAGATCCACTATGTCTGTGTTGTTGGGCCATACGTAGCAACCATGTCATTCTTCATATGCAGCTATGTACTACTTTGAGGGTTAGGAGCTGTTCTCTCTCACTCTTGCTCCCCCCCCTGAGATGCCAAAACCCGGGTCCATTTTGTACTTTTGAAGATGATTTTGCCATAAAGCTTTTACTTTTTTTAATTACAATTGCGCAAATGGGGGATTTCGTATGTACATCGAGTATATCAGAGATGGTAATAACAAATAGTAGGCATCATTGGATAAGGAGATGGGAGGGTGATGTTGATGATGATGATGCAGAAAACAAGTGAACGCCATACATAGAATCAAATAAAAAAGGTGTTTGTCGTATACAATTTCAAGTACCCATCCTTTTTCTTTCAGCTTGTGTGTTTTTCCATAGATCAATTCGTTCACGTAGCTTGCGTTTCAAGTCAAATTGTCGATGTAGCATAATTCGTAAATCATTTTGCCGATCTGTCAAACGCACCAATTTGGATTCGAGAAATCGTCGTAATTGTTCCAATTCTTTATCAGAGCTATCACCTTGATATGCTTCTATGGGTATGAGGTTGCTCAGATTCAACGTTGCAACTACAAAAAAAAAGTGAGTGAATGACTAACTACGATCATCATCATTGTACTTACCATGAGGAGAGTTATCGACCAAGAATGTCCTACTTAGATCACGACCAAGAGCACACAAATCCTTGATGTACATGACTTCGTTGGTTGCCCTTGATCGCATACGAATACATGTCCTCCTCGTCAAGATGTGGCTATCATTTCATATAAAGAGTGGGTGAGTATCCAATGAAGAAAAAAAATCGAATGTTGAAATGGCTGCTTACGTGATGAGTTTGTTGTCTGGGTCAAGTACAGATCGTACCATGCTTGCATAATCGTCATCACCTGCTGTCCATACGACCACTTCAAAGGTGCCGGACGCCCATATTAAAAACTCGGTAACGCCGGGTCGTAATATACCAGCTGTCAATACGCTTCGTTTGTCTTCAGCATACACCACATAATCGGGATCCAAAGGCGCTTCTCGTTGTCCTCGGTAAGTATGCAACAACGTCTCATCCAAATCAAGCACTAAGAATCACATAGCTTGTTAGCATCCTGTTACTGCCAATGCACTTGTTTTCTATCTACCTAGTGTCGGTCGTGAGTCTGTTTTCTTCGGCAGATGAGGTTTCATTCCTTTGAGTCGTGCGTGCATCGAAGGCCATCGAGCCATGAGCGCATCCAAAGTGGAGCATTCACCACTAGCAACAATGACGACCGTCAATAAAGCCGTATCATAGCAACAACATGCTACACTTACTCGTCTAGTTGTTCCACCAAGTTTTCGATTTTGTAAGATAGCTCGGCAGATGTCTCTCGGGATCGACAAATGTTCAAGAGGGGTAGATCGTCTGAAGTCGGCTCGACGTTTTCATTTTCCTTGTCAATGCGTTTTGCTCTTCTAGGAGACCTTCGTACGCTTTTCAATGTGCTGCGTGTTTTGCCGTTCTTGTTGAATTGTGCTTGGTAACGAGTTTGTACCATGGAATAGAACTTTTTTTTGTCGAGGGGGACGCTTTCAACCGGTTGATAAAAGAAAGGCGTGGATGATGGAGGTGATAAGGCGAAAGTAAAGACAATGAAAAGGAAGGATGTGTATAGAAGAGCACAACCCAAGGCTGCTTTTAAAGACACAGGGAGAGAGAGAAAGAAAGAAAGAAAGAGAACAATGAATATAAGAGAGAAAAGGGAGCGGTGTAGTAGGACACTCTCACACAAAAGCGCCCACTCTCTTCCCATTCCCACCAATAACATTCAACGTCGGGATCCAAGTGTATGCCAAATGACCTGGGTTTACATCGTTGTGCACTGACCGATACCATCGGCATTATCCTCCATGCATTACAAGCCATAATTAGGATCATTCTTCTTTCAATAATACTTTATCATCATAAAATCCCACTTTTCAAATCACGTTGAGAGCATATTTTATGGGTTGGATGATAATACTGGTGGTGGCGGGAGGTTGTGTTTACGACTATTCTTGGTTACGATCTCAATACGGGCCGTGCACGAAGAAGAAAGGTACATTATTCTTGGTTTGAAAAAAGATGCTGCAATGGGTCCTCTTTCATGGTTGCTACGAGCTACCCCTGCTTCCAAATGCGTAGCATACATTCACACAATACGTACTTGTTCCTTGATTTTATGCGTGCCAAACACCTTTTTTTTATATTGGGACAAGCTGTAGTGCCGACTTGTTGCATTGCGACGAGATTTGATATGCATGTATCATAGCAACAGCAATTGCCATAGCAACTTGGGCTCATAACAACATGGATAGCAGCTCTTTGTACTATACATCATCCACACCCCTCATTTATTCTCTGCAACAGTACGTGATTTTCAGCTAAATAGTTGTATGCAGCGAGTTTATTCCAAACGCTCCACCAAATGTAAAGCCTCTCGTTGTAAAGGTGCATCACTGGGGTCTATGGCTGGTTGTAGAATAGGCGCTAATATACGATTCATCACCACACTGGCGAGAGATTTGATTGTTTCTTTGGGTAGATGTCGTCGCCATACATGAAGCGTTTTCAAGTACTAATCATAATAGTCCATGTTAAATCATAGCGCGCATTCACGTGTTTTTTTCTCGTCATACCTTGCATTGCCGCCAAAAGAAGCGTTCCTTGGCTTTGTTATTGTGTTGAAGGGTTATGGTATCCATCAAATCCGCATATGCCTTGAGCTGCTCATCGATCGTATTTTCCACAGCAGATATCAGATCCTAGTATAGAGAAAAGCGTTAAGACTTGGTAGCACATCGCCCATTGTGTATACGTACTTGATAGGCTCGATCGTGTTTTTCCACATAGTATGAAATTTGCTCCACCACCTGGGCTGCGTACCGCATCTCTTTGGTAGACGCTATGTTCAGAGTATCCAACATGCTCTTGACCTTTTTGATCAGCACCTTTTCAACAATCTTGCTCAACAGTTCGGCGTCTGCATCGTCACCATGCTCTGTGATGCCGTATTGTGATAAAATCGTATGCCAGCGCATTGATTCAAATTCAGTTGACTGAGAGAATGGATCCCATGATACAAGTTCGCAGCGTACAAAGAATTCAAATGCACCGGGGAGACTTAGGCTGCCAAATGCTTTGGTATAATCATCATAAAAGCGTGTCTTCCACGCTTCAAACTTGCTCTTGACGGCTTCCATAGACTCAAACTCTTCACCCACATCCTCCAACATGGCAGGTACTTTGTTGTCTTGGATGTTGTCTACAAACGTTCCTCGTTAGATCCAAAACAATAAACCACCACCATCATCATCATTGCATGCTTACCTAATTTCTCTTCATGTTGCACTGACCACTCTTCTTCCAAATCATCATCTGACCATAGTCCTTGCTCTTGTACCACATCTGCTGGATCCACATCCATAAGATCTTGTCGTTCCTCTATGCGTCGTTGTCGCTCTTCTTTACGTCGTTGACTTCCTTCCCGTTGGTATTGCATACGTCCATTCTCTTGTTGTTCCTCATCCATCTTTTCAGGTACATGAGCAAACTCGTGTAAATCATCCATATCATCCTCCCATCGTCGTTTGCTGATAATAGCGTGTTTTGCAGCAATCAGATCATGTGCCTCCTTCTCCAACGCTTCCAACTCAGGGAACTAAAACATGCTATTAGACACCTTTCATATGGGTGACACTTGTCGCATACCTTTGCATCCAAAAATTCTCCCAGGTCGTTGACATAGGATGACAAGGATTGGAAATATTCGTATCGTTCGCTGCTCCTCAATATATCATTACCAAGATCCAACTCTGCGCTTTGTAGATTTTGCTTGTTTTGCTCCATCTGAGTCAATTGTGTATCATATTCTTGTAGGATCTGGTTGAGGTCGTTGGACACGATATCCAAATGCTGCATAGCCTCGTCCAAAGCAGGTATTTGTGTAGGTGTTGGAACTAGTCAAGGAATAAGAATCCAATGTACATGTCATCTTCATTAACAAAAAAGTCCTTACCTAAGGCTGGACGATAACCTGGTGGAGGAGCATAAGGATCACGTTGTTGTTCTTGTTGGCGTTGTGGTCGAACAGCTCCATGTCGAATAAGGTTGCTCTCCCATCGTTCAATATCTTCCATTTGATCATCATCCTCCTCATCCTCTTGGGCTTCAGCAATCATTTCTCGAGCATTCGCCTTGCGTTCTGCTTCCAATTTGCGTGCTGCCTTTTTGTTGAGTGTCAAGCGTTCACCAACGTATTGCTCATACTCTAAATCCCAATCCACAATGAGTATCACACATGTACAAAGAGCATGTTTTTCTCACCTGCTTCGCCATCATCTCCAATTTCATCTTCCTCCCGAACAAGGCGTTTCTGTTCAGTGCTCTGAATAGAGAATGTAAGTTTCCAAATGAGATGAAAAAGAGCTCTCTTTTACTTACATCATCCAATGCAACGAAATCCTCCTCTTCGTGTACAACAATCCCTTTCCGCATCTGTTCACGTTTCATTTTGGCAGCATGAATAGCGTTCGCACTGGGTATACTGGTCGATCCAACTTGTGCTGTCATAAGATTGGGGAACTTTTCGACGACATCATCCATTGCTCCAATATGTGCTGGTCGACTTGGTGTGCTTTTCCTTAATGATTCAAGAACTTCGCTCGTATAAGATGATGGTTGTTGTTCATCCATAGTCGTTGTATCAATCGTTGCTGCGGTGGTTGCTGTAGTCGGTTGTATGGGCGGTACAGCAAGTTTGCGTTGTCCTGATGCGATCCTTCGACTGGCACTGCTCTTTTTCACTTGAAAAGTCTCCCCATCGCCATCCTCCTAAGAAAAATAACCCATTGAATAACTCCATTACGCGTGTGGATCCCTTCAGTACCTCTTGATCAAAGCTTAAACCGAGCGATCGTGGCTTTTGCTTCTTTTTCTTTTCAATCTTGGTTTGGCTGACAACTGTAACTGAAGAGCGTTAGCAAGATGGGTATACGTGGTGACAGATCCAACCATTACCAGTTTCTGGTTCCTTTTCGTCATCGCTTGTGTCGATTTTGCGTCGAATATTCTTGGCACGAGTCGTTTTCTTGAACATGGTGTGTAGCAAAAAGTGGAAGAGAAAGCGCCCCAGCGGACCTCAATGCACGCCTGTCGCATCTGGCATAATGTAGATTTCCTACACACACACTCTCTCTTCTTAATTCATAGCAATGACTTTACAATAAACATTGATTGTATGAACATGGATGCGATGACACAAAGACACACACTTGCTATCCTTGTCTTGTCCAATTATTATCATGATTCGTCATCTGAGAATATAGTCCATCAAAGAATGATGCTTGCCACCAGCAAGTTGATCCAAATTTTTGTGTAACAAACACAACGGTTGTATTGGGAAGCATCAGCCCCTGAAAATCGGCTGCAATTCTTTTCTTCTTCCTCTTTCTCACCAACCATGTTGACAAGAAATAAAAGAGCGGCGCGAGCCCCTCAACTGCGCCGCCCTCATCCACTACCTTCAAAACCTTTAAAGAAACGGTATAAGTGGAGTCATGAACTGACACTATCACTGCTGGATACTTTAAGCAAGCCTGAACACCGCGACGCGTTTACCTCAAACGGTCTACAATTTTCAAGGGATATGGCAATACGATATTTCAATAATGTTGATCGTGCCATGATGGTGAATAGTAAAATCGTTGGTCTCAGACACAGATATTTCAAAGTAAAGGCCCAGCAGCTTGTTCGCCGTACTCCAAGTAAAGTATTGACATGTTAAATTTGAGAAGGAAAACTATATTAAGCGGGAGTGTGCATAGTCCGGTTTCGCTATTATCATGAATGCCAAAGGGCGTTTGAACCACACCTGATACCATTAGTACTCAGAATACCAACAACATCCGATCAACAACAACGCAATCGGCCTATGGTTGTTCCAAATGGTGATTTACAAAATGACGATGACGATGATACTATATCCTTGTCTTCACTCGATAATGGCAGCGTACTTTCTTCTCCAGTTGACCCCTCAGATTATCATTCACAAGATGATCCCTCACATCATCATTCAGCAGCTGAATACCCACATCATCATCATCATCGTCATTCACGGGATTATCGGAGTCCAGCTACACCACCAACCCGCGAGCCATCAAACCGTGAACGTGAATTAAGGTTAGCAGTGTATCAACTTTATCTATACAGCCACAGCTGATACATTATTGGTATGGGTGATAGGGAAAAAGAGATACAACTACAATTGCAGATGATGAAACATGAGAGGAGCATGGCAAAAATGAGGATCAAGGAATTGGAATTGATGCTTGAGATCACAAAGGAACAAGGGAAATTGCCACCTCCCGCAACGACGTCTCATCCATCCTATCATACAACCGCTATGCACTCATCTTTTGCTACCGCCATGCATCCATCCTACTGTTAAGGCAAAAAGTGTCCACCAACCATGATGCATAATAATACGGCACCTCCCAGCATGATTGAATGCATGCATTTGCGACACCATTTTATTAGTAACAAAGGGGAGAAATATTAGCTACTAGTAGTTGTTGATTCAACTTGTGCTCTTAACAATAGTTTCATGTGTTATGCAATGGTGATGATGTTAAGGATAAGATGTGAGAGAGCAATACCGGTATCGACATCGTTTATGCATGGGATTGGATGAGATGAGTACAAAAAAAGACAATGGGTAATAGATGCAAGCGACATGTTAAAATTCCGATATGATGTGGCGGCTGCTTTGACGTACATACGTAGCACCATCATCATTCTCTCTCTCTCTTTCTCCTTCTCCTGACCACCTTCTTCCAACGCATACACGCATCTTTTCTTTCTTCTTCCACTCACTCACCATGTCGAATGCGAGTGCGACACCTGATCAACGATACACGCGACTGGAAAAGCTGGGCGAAGGCACCTATGCAACAGTGTTCAAGGGCAAGAGCCGGTTGAGCGGTGAATTGGTCGCTCTCAAGGAGATCCATTTGGATGCTGAAGAAGGTGCTCCATCCACTGCCATTCGCGAGATTTCCCTCATGAAGGAACTGAAGCATCCCAACATTGTTCGCCTCCTTGATGTCATTCATACCGAGAGCAAGCTCATTTTGGTATTTGAGTATATGGAGCAGGATTTGAAAAAGTATATGGATATGGCAGCACGCACGGGTGGTGGTCATCATCATGCAGGAGGCTCGGCATTGGAAACGACGATTATCAAGACATTCATGTATCACTTGCTCAAGGGTATCGCTTATTGCCACGAGAATCGAGTCTTACATCGTGATCTCAAGCCCCAAAACTTGCTTATCAACAAACGTCTTGAACTCAAGCTTGGCGATTTTGGTCTAGCACGTGCATTTGGCATTCCTGTAAACACGTTCTCGAATGAGGTGGTCACGTTGTGGTATCGAGCACCCGATGTCCTCTTGGGTTCACGCATGTATTCGACATCCATTGATATCTGGTCGGCAGGATGTATCATGGCGGAAATGTATACCGGTCGACCACTGTTTCCAGGCACCACCAATGAAGATCAATTGCAAAAGATATTTCGAATGATGGGAACACCAACAGAACAAACTTGGCCAGGCGTATCACAATTACCAGAATACAACAACAGCAAAAACAATCATCAAATCATCTATCCTCCTCAGCGCATCAATACCATCTTGCCTAATGTCGACGCTTGTGGCCTTGATCTTCTCTCACGCATGCTTCAATATCAACCACAACTTCGGATATCAGCAAAGGAAGCTCTCAATCATCCTTATTTCAATGAAGTTAGATACTTGCAACAACAACAACAACCACAGCAACAGCAACAGCCATTCGAATAGAAGCATTTCAACCCATCATATTCCCCCAACCCATTTCTTCTTTTTCTCCCCGCGGTCATTATGGAAAACAAGGATGATCTACCATGGTTATTGTTTGTTTGGTATTATGAATGTTTGGTGTCAAAAGGTGGCAAGGGAGTATATAAGAAAGTGTCCATGGCATGCAATTAGGAACATAATACAACATGTGGGATCCATCTACTCAAGTGACACCTCGTCAAATCGCATACAAGGCTCATACTCTGGCATGCAAGAAATTGAATCAATCCCATTATGACATTCGTCAACGAGTCCTCTTATGTAACACCCTACACAAAGCCAATGTCCTCCTTAAGCATCCTTCCCATCTCTCTTGTTCACCACCAGTAGTACAAGAAACCAACAGTGTAGTTGACTTTTCCATCCATCACCATACAACCGCTGCAATCATGCCCATACCCTCTCGCACATGAATACATAGAATGGTATACGTTTAGTTACAAAATATAAAAAAAGAGCTCTGAAACCTGCTTTGTTTGTTGACTAATCCACCTACAATTGTCGATCCAACATTGCGTGAGTAAGACAATACAAATAAAGATGATCATGTGTAGCATTTACCTTGATGGCAGCATAAATCTTTCGGATAAAGAAAAATGTGGCGAAGAATCCAATTGTGCCCATGCAAAGCCCATACACCATGCATATCATGAGGCTGTGTCCAAAGTATACAATAGCCGGCACAAACCCTGTCACCTTGAGACGGGTAAAGTAGTAAAATATTGAATATCTACATACAACCAGAGTTGTGTTATTCAACCATGAGCACTTAAAAAGCATCAACCCAGCACTTACAAGAATACATAAACACCCGAAGCTGCAGACACTGCAAACGATTTCCACCACCATCGATAGTCCTACGTAGATGTATGTATGTGAGCATGTTGCCAATGCCATGATCCATCCATCATCATCAAAATTACCTCGCTGCATAAACTGAAATACGTAATGACAATGGCAATTTCCACTGTTGTCAACACCAAAATGAGGAACACGAGCGTCAAAAAGCCAAACATGTAATAGTACTGATCGCTCCAAATGGACTTGAAGATGAAAAAGAGCTCGATAAAGATGACGGCAAAAGGCATCAGTCCGCCAACCAGCATGCTGATATGCAATTCCAAGTACCAAGGCTGATCAGGAATTTGACGTGGGATCTGGTGTGTTCGTACAGGGTGGTCAATAATCGGTCGACGGGCTCCAAAAACGGCTCCGGCAAACACCAAAGGTGTAGAAACACCAAACCACATGGCAATGAGAGCGAAAAATGTACCGAATGGGATGGCAGAGGATGATTGTTGGCCCCATACAAAGAGGTTGAGAATAAAGAGCACCACAAAGAGAATCGATGGGATGAGCGTTGCGGTCTACTCGCCTATACATGAGCGTCTCTTAAACCACGTTTATGCATTTTACGTACCATCAATGCATTCCTAAACCACTGTTGTCCTTTGAGCACCTTATACATACGAGCACTCGCAAAGCCAGCAACCGATCTAATAGGCACGTTAATCATCATCATGGGTGCGTTGTGTCCCACTTCACATGTCACCTCTTACCCTGCCAAAACATAGAATGCAATACCATAAGAAACCAGGCCTCCTCTAAACGATGGATTGAGTAAGCCAAACGTGGAAAGAACTAATAGCACATGTAAGTAATAATAATGGGATGGCCCAAAGGGGCTGTATATCGACTACTCACCGATCGTGCCTGCCACCATAACGAGGCATTGGACGCCTGAACCTAATAATGGAGCGAGCAGCAATGTGAACTTTGGAGGCCGGAAGACATCACCATGGCATAACTTCCATCCAATTGAATCCTCATCCAAAGCCTAATATGACAACATTTGAGTTTATGATTGGTATGTCCAAGCCGCGTTCCTTTATGTACCTCGACATCCTCATCGGTGGAAGAATTGTAGGATGAAATATCGCGCCTCAGTGTACGAAGCATAATCATGGCGACAATGCCGGTCAAGAACATGGTGATGACGAGCGAATTGCTTATTGAATACCAATGGATGTGTGACTCAAAGATTTGAAGGTAGCGATCCCATCGTGTGGCCCACGTAATATCGGTTGCCTAATCAAATTAACAATCATCTCTTAGCTATCTCTTCTATAGAGCATACCATTTCCCATGTGTACCCACCTCTTTCCAAATGACTGAATAGGTGTAAGTGATAGACGTTTTGCTGGTACCAATTTGTTTCATGGGTGCTGCTGCAGTCTTGTCGCACGAGGATGGGTCGGCATAACTTTCGGAAACGAATGAACAATCACAGCTCCAATGCATGAATCCCAACAACTACTTACGAGGCTGGATATACTTCAAATCCCACAATGTATCTTTGATCACCTTGACTGGATTGATACAATAATTGCAATGTCACGTGGTTGTTGAGAAAAACTTGATCCCCCTACCATGATATACATAGTGAGAAAACCTGTTTTCTTCCACTACAATCCTTTATACTTGTGTACCTTGACTTGTCCAAGTGGAAAATAAGGGAGTAACGCTGTGGATGTTTCTGAAGACGCATTGTACTTTAGCACTGTCGCACCAGGTAAATTATCGACAATCCTGCACAAAGAAAAAACATCAGCCCACCATGAAGAAGGTACCTCCCCCCACCCATGATGAACATACCATTCTACTCGATATTCCTCTTGTACAAGACGTTTGGCTTCATCGGCATCATGCTCTGAAACGGTCACCGTACATAGCTGTTCACATTGTGTGTTGCGACCCACGATAAGCTTGAACGCGTGGTGGTGGTGAGTACGACAAGTGTGGTAATGCAATAGAACCCCTTCGTCTTCTTTTTTTATACAATACCTCGTAATCGCTGCTCATCAGTCTATCGCCTCTCAACACCTCGCCAAGATTCAACCATGTACGCTTGACACCATCTTTGGGAGTGCAGACAAAAGGTAAATCGCCATAAGCAAAGGGAAGTTGGGTATTTTCAGAGACTATCTTGTTGACCAGCAAAGGAACACGGTCGTTGGCATGGTACGCCTTGGGGGTGACTCCTGGTACGTAGAATGCAGAGAGCAATGGACAGGCTGTCGCAATGAGTAAAACGACTGCCACCAACGCAAGCATAATAACCAAAAGCGTAAAAGCAGAGTAGAGAAAGGAGGAGACAAGGTAAAACGGGAAACTGAGGTGAAATTCCAGCGCACTGGTGGGGGAAGGATTATCATCCAAACTAATTGACATAAGCCATTCATCCCCATCCCACCCCTTGAAATAGTAAATGATGATTACACTTTGCTTTCGTTGTCAAGGAAAATGGGTTGGCTGGCAACAATAATGATTACAGTCCTTTGTTGAGTAGCATGTTCATTCATCATAGGTATAGTTTGATCCATCAATAAAAGACATTGGCCTTGCACCATACAACGTTGAATTTGTTATGCATGATAAGCTTGCGGAAAGGAAAACAGTGATGATGCAAAGGGAGATCTTTCTTTGATGATGATAGTATCAGATAGCGATTAGGTTGGGATACATGTTGTCATGAAGCCTTGTATATGTCCAATGATGAATATACTATCGAGCAAGGCAGTATGCGGGTTCCCGTGTCTTTTTTATGCATGTACAGTAGTAGTATCATCACGTGTCCATTTTGATTGTCATCATAATAAGCTTCCTCGTATTGGAACATGTGCATTAGCAAGGGTATGCTAAAGGGTTCTGATAACAAGATCTCATTATTCTTTGTTCTTGGTAATCTTTATACGCATACAAGATCACATCAATACATCCCCTGATGATCCAAGGCACACCGCCACCCTGCATGATGACCCCGGGGTAAATGAGCATGCTATGCATTTGATGGCAATGACAACATGATGACTTTATTATTCTAGGATTACTTTTACTACGCAACCATGGGCTCATGAATGTACATTAGTAATGGAGGTACCTCACTATGAAGAAACGGTCTCATTTGCTGCTATAGCCAATCGAAGATAATAATCCACACTATGTCGATGGTAAAAGCAATATCCGGGTAGAAGACTTGCACGTGTCTCCGGTCGGTGTTGACATTGATCATGCAGATGGCGGGATGGGTTATAAAAACTTGGCATGCAGCTATGTAGTTGCTATTGTTTTTGTTGTTGTGAATGCGTTGATGCAAAATAGCGTGGCTACATGAGGGATTCCATAGCACACACACCAACCATAGTACTGTACATGTGGGGTTCCGATAAACCTTGCTCAAAGGGACCAATGACGTTAGATTGCCACCACTGGTGGGATTTGTGTGACCCTTCCAGTGTGCGGGGTGCAAGCATGTGAAAGACAGATATAGGAGAGAGTATTTTTATTCTTATTCTAAAGCAATCTAGTGTAGCTCTTTCTTTCTTCCTTTCTCTCGTTTATACCACCACCCACCTTTCTTCGTATATTACTTTCTTCTTCAGCACAAAAAAAAAGTCATCGCCACCTACTTTCTCCTTTCCGTTGTATTATAACTTAATCGATACCACCACCACGACTAGATCATGTCACCTACTACTACTACAACACAAAAGCGATGGTTGCCACAATGGGTGCTTCGTCTCCTCGGCTACTCGTCATTAGCAGCAGCTCTCATTAGTGTTGCCATTTTCTTGTACAAACGATTTCCCCCATCGAGTCGACCTCCACGTCGAGCAGTCGGTAGTGGTGAACGGCAGGTAAAGCAACGGGGCGGTGACGGTGACGGTGGTGGTGGTAGCCATGACAACGACCGAGATTACTAATGGGATATATATATAGGCACCGACCACTTGGAGTGCAAGACTTTTGAGAGGATCTAAAAAGAAAATGACCTTGTCGTTAAAGAATGTAAGTGCCTTTTTCATGGATGATGGGGATAGGGTAGACATGTATTGATCATGGGGTTATATATATACACATGTAGACTGTATTATGGAATCCATCATCGGATGTTGACACGCCCAACCATGCATTTCAAGAAAAGGCGGTGGCAATGCTTACACGACTAGCACAGCTGTACGATATTTACACGATCATACATATCAACTCGGATGAAGAACGAGATCAAATCTTTGAATTACTCACCAAGGCTGGATTGCTTGATGTGCTCGACAATCGCAAAATTCTCCAATGCTCAACAGAAGAAGGCAAAATTCACATGATTCGCCATATTGAACCCCATGTACACATTGAAGGCGGATGGGAATTGGATGATGGTGAAGATATCGTACGTAAGCTGCGTCCCTTTGTCGCCAAGCTTGTATGGGTCATTACTAGGCGAAGACGAAGCTCTTTCAACCAAGCTCGACTCAAGGAATCGGATCAGGGCATCCTCGGACCCAATGTAGAGCTCACTGAAAAATTGTTGGATACCTCTTTTGCACGTGAAGTGGGATATAGCCCAGAAGAATAAATTATTGGTATGTCTCATGCATATACAAGTGGATTGAATGGATGGACGGATGGCGTTTGTGAATGTGAATGGGGTATCACTCAAGGTTTGACAAGCTGCCCATGTGATATTTAAATGATGCAGAGAACGAAATTTTTTATCCGCTAGCTACCACTTTACATTCCCCTCTTGCACTCGAGCTAGATCTTGTTTTGTAAATGGAATGTATCTACCGTCTTGTAACCAGTAAACAGCTTGATCTTCAGGGATCTTGTCAATGCCTTCGTTACGAAAAGCTACTTTTTGCTGCTTGAAATTGCCTGTCATATTCATGGATGGCACAAATCGTAGGAATACAGGGATGGCATACTTGGGTAGCTGAGATGCCAAATGATTGTAAAAGTCATCGAAATCGAGTTGCATGCCTTGACGTAAAATTAATGCAGCCATGCCTATGTACACACACATCACATGAGTTTTGGGCGTATCATCGAAGGTCATGCATCACATTTACATACCCGCTCTTCCTGACATGTGTGGAACAGCAACACCAAATACGTTGGCCTCTGCAATTGCAGGATGCTTGCATATGGCTTGAGTTACCTCGGTCGTTGCTACATTTTCAGACTACGTACGTCGCTTTTAGTACTTGCCATGGTGATGGTCAACAACTAGTAACCATGACAACTTACTTTCCAGCGGAAGGTGTCTCCTAAGCGATCCACGAAAAAATACATGCCTTCCCTATTTCTCTTTAACAAATCACCGGTGCGAAAGTAGCTTCAAGAGACGTTGTCATGTGAGATTGATGCCAAGGTTACAAGTATTCACACTTACATGTCACCCTTTTTAAATGCGTTTTGGATCAGCTTTTTATCCGTGGCCTTTTTGTTCTTGTAATAGCCATCAAATCCAGATCGGCCACCTTGACCTGTTAGCCCAACAAGCATCTCGCCTGGTTCCATGTAATCGCACTACGAGAGGTGAGTATTCAGCCAAACTGGTATGTCATATTGAAACTTACGGGGATACAAAAACCTTGAGCATCTCGAATAGGATCTTCGGTAACAGGATCAACCTTTACAAGCTTCAGGTCTTGTCTCAAAAGCTGTATTAACGGCCCAAAGTAGCCAACAGCACCTGCTGTTCGTTCATTCTTGTTGATGTTAAAAAGACCACCAGGCCCTTCGCTTGCACCATAGAATTCATCCACCTCCTCAACGTGGAATCTAATGTATAAAGCAATACACGTTACCCTATGCTTTCTATGATACCCTTGTTCTTTTTACCTTTGACGGAACGCATTCCAAATATCGGGTGCCATGCCATTCCCAAAGAATAAACGCACTTTATGCTTATCTTCAAGCGGATGATGAGGCTGATTCATCAAGTAGCGACAAAGCTCACCGACATACTTTTTTCCAAATCAGTTCATGGTATCCATGCATATTGACGATCAATGATACTTACGTAGCACACGGTGACATTATTGTTGTAAACGTCGTCCCAAAAGCGGGTGGCACTAAATTTGCGTGCCAACACAAATGTACCACCAACATGGAGGCATTTCCCCATGGCCATGTACACTATGATGCGATGAGTATATAATGCATCATCATAAACATGCTTTACTACTTACATCCAGTGGCATGGTATAATGGAAGGCAACAATAAGTCACGTCATTTTCGGATAATCTTGAGAGCGCTGCTGCACCCCAAATGATGCCTGAATGTGTACAATAACAAGGTCAGCACACCGCTCGCTGTATAACACACATACAATGATGATCTCCTTTACCATTTAAACGCGCGTGTTGTACAATGGCTGCCTATATACAATGATATCAATGGTAAGTTTTTGTCGTATGCGATATGAATAAATGTGAGATGCTAACCTTTGGCATGCCTGTTGTGCCACTACAAGACGAGGTGTTCATTGATTAGTCACTTCATCTTCCCATTCCTCTTTTACCGGTGTATACCTTGTATAGATCAAGAAGCAAACATCCTTGATACCAATTCCTTTAAGCAAATGCTCACTTGGATCCTCGGCAGAATAGTGTCGTAGCCTGCTGGGAACAAGTGCAGGAGCAAGCTGACATGTAGCTTCTTCAAATTCGGTCGCTTCTCCATAAGCTGCCAATTGCACGCCACCCTCATCCTGAGCTGCTTGAGCTATTGTTGCCACTTGGTCTTCAAACATGGGATCGAACAAAAAGATCTTTGATTTTGCTACTGTCAAGCAATGCAACAAGGCATCACCCGAAAGGTTGTAATTGATCAAGGAAGGGATGGCACCAATCTTGCTGATAGCCCAAAAAGCGATAAGGAACGTTGGATGATTTTGATGCATCATGCAAATGATATCCCCCTTTCGGACATTTTGATCCAAAAGCCAGTGCGACTATAAACGTCATAGACCCTATGAGCAACACGTGGTGGGTGTTTCATTGTTTGCAATAACATACCAAACGATTCGATGCTTTGAGGGAAACAAAGAAAGAAGGGTTAATAATGGGTAAACAATGATCACCTCCTGCGCCTCTTTATTACTTACCCACTTCCAGCTGTCGATACGTATACTTTCTTCCTTCAAAAACAAGAAAGACGCGATCGGGGGTGGCTTTAGCCTTGTCTCGAAAATGGTAGTAGATGTGCTCACGATCCTTGGCTTCGGCTGCTTGATGTCTACAAGCAATAGGTTACATACCATTGTATTGCATAGGGAATGCATTACAACTTACTTTTTCAATACGGAGTACACTGACTTTAGCATATGCATGTCATATCGAATAGCATACTTTGCATCCAAGTACATGGCACCTAGAGCACCAATCGTAGCGATCGTACCTTTTTTTCCAATTATCAGTATTTTGGTTTGATAAAAGTATACGTGCATGTTACCTAATCCCATGTGTGAAGAGAATAACGAAAGAAGAGGTGTAAACGGATAGCGATGGTAGGTGGATGATAAAGAAAAAAGGTGTATGTGATTAGTGGTCAATTTCTCACATCCACGACGCTCTCTTTTTCGGAAATTGATCATTCACACGGACTCAGAAACGGAGTCAGCAAAAAGTAGTACAGCACACATTGGCAGGATTTAATAATAAGATGAGATAAACAAAGCTATTGAACCTGAATTGTACAAGGTTTTTCAGGGACTGTACTAGTGGATGCCAGGGGTGGAGTGGCTGTTCCTTTGCAATCCTTTTTGTTGTAGACTAGATGGGTCTGTTCACGAATAAGCGCCAATAACCTCTTGTGAGCTTCTTGACGATGATGATGACGATCCTTAGTTTCCTTTGCTGGTGATGAAGTGGATGGGTAAAGTTGTTGTTCCGATGCAAGGGTCATCTCAGACATGTCGCTGGCTAGCATATCAATCACATCTTCACGCTTGGTGGCACCTCCACCCTCAACCTTCTTATCACCCTTCTCTGATGTTGATGATGATGATGATGATGATGAGGCTGTAGATGACTTTTTCTTGAGAGTCGACGTTGACTTTTCTGGTTTGCCACTCATGAAGTTCATAGCAGTACGCATTTCGGGTTGCAAGCTATAGTCGTAGGCAGCCATGTCCGGCATAGCTGCAAGGTGATCCCGTCGACTTGTAATGCTACTATCAGGTGTCGGGTATGAATACACATAATGGTCGTTGGCAGCAGGAAGAGGAGCACCACCACCACCATTATTGATATAACCAATATGAGCGTATGGGTTGGTGTCTGCGACTGGTGTGGATTGTGGATAAGGAGCATTCTCTTCAAACGATGATAATGGCATTGGTACATCCGTTTCTGCTTGATGTGATAAACCAGCAAGCCAACTGTCAAAGTGAGATAATTGCTCATCATTGGTGACAGGCAATGCCAAGTCCCTTGGTTCGACAGCACCCATATCCAACATGTTTTGTATTGTATCAAGATGGTGTGCAAGACCTATAAAAGAATCGATCAGCATCACGTGTATATACGTATCCATGGCAACCACGTCGTTACATACCTTGATTGTAAGTAGGATATTGTATGGGAGTCATGGATTGGTTTACAGGTTGTTGTTGTGGATAGCTTGTTTGGGATGGTACGATGGGAGGCTTCTCATAGTAATCTGCATACATGGGATGATGATGATGATGATGATATTGTTGTGTAGGAAAAGAGGCTGATGTCGGGCTTGAAGGAGAAGGGGCTGCTGCCATATTGTAAGGATAATGTTGGTCAAGACCTACAACAATAGATTGATGAGTACATCACGTGCCGATCATTCTTTCAATCATCATACCATCAGAAGCGGCGCTGGGAGAGGGTGAATGTGTGACACTGGGTGGAGGCGAGAGTGGGATCGTTTGATACAAGGGACCCAAGTAGCTGTTGTGATGTTGTTGTTGAGGGGCAAGAGGTGTATGACCAGGTGCTGTAGTTGATGTCTTTTCCTGCATATGGGTTTTGCCATGCTTTTTAAGGTCTTGTGGACGCTTGAAGGACTTGTCACAGAGCTGGGATAGAAGTAGTACGTCTATTAGAAAAAGGCACACACCATTTACCATACAAGGAACATTTACCGTGCAACGATGAGGTTTGAGTGGAACATGGACACGCAAATGACTTGTAATGTGATCTCGTTTGACAACCGTAACGTCGCATTCGTTCCAATGGCAGGTCAAGCAGAGATTGCCTGTTGATTTGCGGCCGACATGGTCGTTTGTGAGGTGTGCATAGAGTAGTTCAGCGTCGGGAAAGGTGCTTGTGCAGTCTCCCCAGTGGCAAGTAAATGTAGAATCATCCATAGCGACAAGAGAGAATAAAATAGAAAGAAATGAGAAACGGGACGATCTTCAGCCCAAGATGGTCTTGTTCTTTTTTTATGGCCGGATCAATATATGGAGAGTAAGCAAATGAACTATGTCTTGGCATTGTATCAGTCAGTATGTCTTTGTGTCACCTTGAGGATCCTAAATAAAACGATCATCCTGCCGGCAAATGCACCCACTTTTTGCTGCGAACAAGCTTGGCATACATATATCACTTGTTCCCATTAGCGCGGGAATAGCATCATCATCGCCTTTTTACTGGCACACAACTTCTTGGCTGAATCCATGATCATCCCCTACAACTTCTTCTTCTTCCTATTATCCATCAACAACATTATTGTTCATATGAATGCATCTACTTCTACCTATTCATGCTTTATTATATCATCAATGCATAAAAAAGTACTAACTAGACACACTGATAGGTGAGACAAGGTATCAATATTGATAAGGAAAGCTACATCATCAATAATGAAAGTGATATCATCATAGAGAGAATGAATCTACATGTACGTTTATGCGAGCCAATGAGAGAGTGGCTTAGAGTAAGGGGGTGGTTGGAGTTTTGGGGGTGGGAGTGAATTGGGTGCGGTGGGACCAACTATTGTGGTAGTGCGGGCAGTAGGTGAATCCTCCTCTTACACCGTCAAGTATAACGTATGTAATCCATCGAATCATCCATCCATCCATCCATCCATCGATGAATCTCATGTAATATTCATTTTTATTAGCATGTCTTCGAAAACGCCATTGTCTTACGCTGCCCTCATCCTCAAGGATGACAACGTCGAGATCTCGGTATGCGCTATTTCTACTACTATTTTTGTCATGCCTGTTCCAATTTACAACACCCATTTTTATATAAAGGCTGACAAGCCTTGCATCTTTACTAAAGGCTGCTGGCTTCACCGAAATCGAGCCTATCTGGTTCTCTTTACGCCAAGGCTCTTGAAGGCCAAGATTTGAAGGAGCTTATGGGGGTGGGTTGGAGTTTTGGGGGGTGGGAGTGGAATTGGGTGCGGTGGGACCAACTATTGTGGTAGTGCGGGCAGTAGGTGAATCCTCCTCTTACACCGTCAAGCATAACGTATGTAATCCATTGAATCATCCATCCATCCATCCATCCATCGATGAATCTCATGTAATATTCATTTTTATTAGCATGTCTTCGGAAAACGCCATTGTCTACGCCGCCCTCATCCTCAAGGATGACAACGTCGAGATCTCGGTATGCGCTATTTCTACTACTACTTTATCATGCTCGTTCCACTTACAACACCCATTTTTTATATAAAGGCTGACAAGCTCCAGACCCTTACCAAGGCTGCTGGCTTCACCGAAATCGAGCCTATCTGGTTCTCTCTTTACGCCAAGGCTCTTGAAGGCCAAGATTTGAAGGAGCTTATCTGGAACGTTGGTGCTCCTGCTGCTGGTGCCGCTGCTGGTGCCGCTGCTGGTGGTGCTGCCGCTGCTGACGAAGCCAAGGAAGAAGAGAAGAAGGAAGAGGAGAAGGAGGAGTCTGATGAGGACATGGGCTTCGGTAAGGAATAAGACGAATACACATGGATGATGATGATGCTGATACACATTTCATTATAGGTCTCTTTGACTAAACTCGTTATTTGTTCCCTTTCGAATAAATCAATCATTCATTGCTCTCCTTACAATCCTTCGAATGTTGCTATTGTTGTTGTTGTTTATTGAAATGGGACTATGCTTCTGCTGCTGCTGCTGCTGCTACTCTCTATATTACAGGGCACCTGCTCTTCGTAACTTGCGACGTTCCTCGAGCTATGATATCATCATCACCCTGTTAGTCTCCCTTGTCCCTTTGAATCTGTTTTTGTCATTGTACTTGCCCACTTCTTTTTACATTCTCGGTATTGCAAAAAGTAATATTCGCATTTCGACTTGTCGTAATTGTTCTTGTCGAGGCATTTCATACTTTGCTTTTCTTCCAATGCACAGGCATTCATATACTTTGTCGTCTCCTTCTTTTTGAACTTGTCGTTAAAGTCAGGGGGCGTGGATGGATCATCAAAAGTTGGTTTGGGTGGTGGCGGTGGTGGTTTAGTGAGAGGCATAGTTGTATTGGTGAAAGAAAGAAAGCAAGATGAAATGACACAGCAACCACAGACGCGCTTCAAAATCATACCTTGGCTGACATGCTCACATTCAAACCACACGCCTAAACACATCAATTGTGGTCAATGATGAAAAGTGGACATCTTACTTTTATTCATGGTCGTGTCGTACTTGGGAAAGCTCAATAATGGTCTCGTTTTACAGCCATCATTTCTCTCGCTATCCCCAACCTGATATTAAACATGATACCTATCTTACAACATTGCAATCACAAAAAAGAGAGGGGCATGTATTACATTCGACGCTATGATAAGATGCAAGCTCGAAATAAAGAGCAAGGTATATGAATACATCCTTTGTTCAAGACACAATGAATCAATCAGACCCCTTCTTTTCCTCTCTTTTTCCTTTATTACAGCATATACAAGTGGTTGTCCTTTTGCAATCATGTCTACACGACGAAATCCAACAAAGGAAGAAGGAAGGTCTCATAGAACCTTAGCGATGGTTGGCTAACGCAATGAGGTATCCGCTAAAGTAATCCTTTAATCCAACATCATCATTCACAAGTGGTATATTGAGAAGTATAACTAATTCCTCTAATGGGGGTGGTACATCGATTAGGAAAGTCTCTATCCTTTGCGGGATCATTGTGTAAAGATGAAATGGATACCGTGAGGTGGCTATTTATTCAACAACCAAAAATCTAAAACTCGCAAGTTGCCATTGGTCTCCATGTATAATCTTAATACGGACCGCATTTGAGCTGCAGCGTTGACATCTCTGCCAAGGAACTATAGGCAACCATATATTAGCTGATGCTTCACAAAACTACAAGGAACTTACCCCGTGTTCATTACAACGCTTCACTGCATAAATGAGATTACGCCAAGTGTTGTTCCCTAACCAACTTCATATCAATTGCTGAACAACGATCTTCCTTGTACGACCAAAGAAACCTACCGACTGCAAAACGCTGCTGGCATAGATTCGAACGGCCAATCACGACACCACCTTCGTCCTTGCAATGCAGCACTTTCCGACCTCTGTTGCCTTGGGCAGTCTGTACCCGATTCCTCGTCTTTCTATGTTTTGAATAAAAGAGCCTATTTCGACAGGTGATGCTCGTCCGGAATTCATCGATGAAAATGACCAATGCCTGTCTGCAAAGTCTTTTGATAAACTCCTATACAGTAAATGGTAAAGATGAGCATTGAGAAAACCAACTTTCAATGTAGCTTACCCAATGGGGAAGTGGCGCATAACCACGCATATGCCCAAGACTGGCATCTCCATAAGCAACAATCGTTTCTTGCTCAGGCCGTTGCCACCCGACTTCTCGTCTTCTAAACCTCCGCATGCCTCTCCTTTTTGATTTAGATGTTCGATAATCACGCAAGGCCAGTTCGATCCATGGCAAGGAAGGATATCACTTTCGTAGAGTCCAGGCTCATAGTTGCTCTCATTCATCCTCTCCAAAGAAAGAATGATCCCCAATCCTTCCAATCATTATCCCACCTCATGAAAAGAAATCCTCAAGGGAAAGAACGAGCCTATCACGAGAAGAGCGTGTTGGTTAAACACATTCACAAGCTGTTGCAAATCCCCTTTTACCTCAACACGGTGACCATGTTCTTCCAAAAATCCATCGTCATCGACCCATCCTCAACTCAACGCAGGCCTATAGAGGAGCCCTGGACGCGTTCCAAGAAACTTTTCCAGCACACTTGGCTAGTGCAGAGCGACGCAGCGACCACTTGATACAGGCTGGGACTTGAACCCAAAGAGATGCTGATGATGCCCCCAAGTTGCATTGCCTGAACAAAGAAACCTATTCAATTCATTATTAGCACACACACAATAAACACCCTTTTCATTGTTGTTTCATTGTACTTGCCTTTTCCATATACACAAAGACCCGTTGTTGTTGGTTACTGGAAACCGAAAACCATGGTGTAGTAGTGTAGTTGAGCCGAAACAAAACGCCAAACGAGCCAACGCCTTGAGACCAAACTTGCCCTCTATACAAGCTAACACGTCAATGGAACAAGTTCTTCTGCAACAATGCACTTTGAATGTACCTGTTGACACCAAGCGTAGAGCGGGAATAGCAACGAGCAAAAGGAAGCAACAACATCGCCATGGCAACCACCAACCACCCACCACGCTCATTCCTCAGCATTTGGACACACACTCACTCCCTGACAATGCATGTTCAGAACTACATTAACACCTCACAGTCAACAAGAGCACTCTTTGTTAACACGTTACCTTGATTGGAATGTCGTGATTGGGGTAAAAGTAGAGGAGGGAGAAAAAGAAGAGAAAGCGTTGTCTCAAAGTCGTGGAGCTGCTGTACCCCAAGTTTAAATCCCCCCTACTGCTATTACACTGAGGCCACTCATCAATTACCCTATACACACCATCCACCCATCGTCATCATCACCCTCACATTAGACAATAGGTACACGTAAATAAAAGAAATGATCCTCACGTATAGCAAAAGGGTGTGTGCCATTTTGCACTTTACATGATAACGATGATCCAACAACAGCCATTACCTTACTACCATGTTAGCTCGAATCAATGGGAGGAATGGGCTATTGGCTGGCAGTTTGCAAAATGATTTTTGTGAAATTGGATGATGTTTTGTGTTTGAGCGCAACTTAACCAAATCCACTCGGATCAAGGAAGTTGAATGATGGGCATGCTGGGCTGGAGCAGGACAATCGTTCGTGTGCATTGGATTGGGCAACAATGGAGAATGGGAGGACTAGGTTATTAGCTGGCATTTTTAACTATTCCTAAATTGTGTACAAGAATCATGCATCGCCTGTGCTGAATGACTCAAGTTACACCAACACGCCCTCTGCATCTGTTGCCATATTATAGTCATACTACTTTACATTAAACTAAGGCCACTTCTCATATAGCATCACGCTTACAAAGATAAAGGTGCCTGTATCTCCAAACTTTACAATGAAACGTGGGGTTTTTATTAGAGCAATGGGCTCGGCTTGGTCAACAGCACCTTGTGTGAAAGTTTCACGATCAAGCTTGCCAATCCCAGATTTCGCAATGTCGCCACCAGCCAAACTGGATCCAGGGGTCGACCTCTTCGACGACGACGACCAAAAAATATTTTTTAGGCTGTTTGCGACATTGAACGCGAAACTGGCACCCAAGGTGCAGTTGGGCAAGCCGAGCACATTGCTCTAATAAAAACCCCACGTTTCATTGTAAAGTTTGGAGATACAGGCGTCTTTATGTTTGTAAGCGTGATGCTATATGAGAAGTGGTCTTTGTTCATTGCCAAGTAGCTAGACCCTGGAGAGCCAAAGATGCAGAAGGATCTCTTTGGGTAACTCAGCTAAAAAGTCAGGACTTCAGGGACAATGCATGACAGGTACGCAACCCTCACTTTCATGTCATACATTGGCAGTTAATAGCCACTTTTGTGCATTCCCAACTTTTGTGCATTCTATTGTAGGTGGACGATGCTCCTGCTCTAGCCATTCATTTCCATGATTAAAGTAGGTTGATCCGAGCTGATTTGGTTGAGTTACGCTCACACAAGATTACATCGGTTGAGCTACATCGAGCGTGCTTTATGTCCAGAGTGATGTAATCTCTCTTTGACCACAGCTCAGTCAAATCAGCTCGGATCAACCTACTTTAATTATGGAAATGAATGTCTAGAGCAGGGGCATCGTTCCCATGCAGTGGATCTCGCAACAACGGTGATTGGATAAAAGTGGCCGTTAGCTAGCAATATATGCCTGTTCCTAGATGATCTATAAAGTAACTATACATTGACCCTTTCATTCATGCAAACGTAGCTGTGTTACACAACACGACCCTCTGCATCTTTTGCTCTGTCAGGGTCCATCTACTTGACAATGAACAAAGACCACTCTTCATATAGCATCACGTTTACAAACATAAAGACAGCCATATCTCAAGATTTCACAATGAAACGTGGGGTTTTGAATAGAGCAATGGGCTCGGCTCGGCCAACAGCACCTTGTGTGAAAGTTTCGCGTTCAATGTCGCAAACAGCCCAAAAAATATTTTTGGTCGCCGTCGTCGAAGAGGTCGACCCCTGGATCCAGTTTGGCTGGTAGCGACATTGCGAAATCTGGGATTAGCCACGATGAACTTCAAACTTTGACACAAGATTCCTTTGACCCCGACAAGCACGTTGATCTATTAAAGAGCCCACGTTTGATTGTAAAGTTTGGAGATACAGGCACCTTTATGTTTTACATATGCTGTAAGCGTGATGGAGTTGCTTTTTCCTAGTGGATGGTGTCGGCTGCATTAACGGAAAGATGAAGAGCTGAGTGAAACCGCACGTGGTGGTTACACAGACACGTCCTTGACAGGTTGCTACACAAATGGATGATGATGGTGATTGCCTTTTGTGAAGGTACGTAAGTAAAACAGCATCCAACCATGAAGTGTCGAGGTATGTATCACATTTGCATGTAGGAGAAGGTCGAGCTGCATAAACCAATTTGTATATGTAAAAAGATACGTCTACATATTGAATGAGTCACTCATCCTGAAACTCAATGGAGGGATCTCTTCACTTTTTCTCTTCTCAAGTTCATCCCACTCCTCCTTATTGTACGTATCACAAAACCTATATACTTTTTGCATGACCGATAACCGAACCACCTTTATTATTCCATCTTCGAAGCAATAGTATGTAATCCACAAGCTAGCAACCTCCAACAAGCGTGTAATAAATAAACAATGCTTTATTTCATCCAGCTATCTTGCTATGTACTGTACATCGCCACCACCATCCTCGTAGTCGTCCTCCGTCATCATTCGTACTCGTACTCGACACCAGTCGTCAATCTCATCCGTCACACCAACATCCAAAAATACACAAGTTGAAAAGAATGGGATCTTGCAGGCTTCCTTTTGAATCTCGCTGTCGTCATCATTGTCATTGTTGTAGATGGGGTGATCATCGTAATCGTCATTGTTGTGAATGTGGTAATCATCGTAATCGTCATCTCTACAAATAAGAAAGCAGGCAAGTTAGACCATCTGGTACCGGAATGATGACGATTTGGTATACCGTTAGGCGATCCTCTCAAAGGAAGAAAGCAAATCAGAAGGAATTCACAAACCAAATCACCACCATACGAGCAACGTTGGGCGATCCCTTGTTCTTGAGAAGGCACTGCACGAATCACGCAAGGCCAGTTCGATCCATGGCAAGGAAGGACATCACTTACATAGAGTCCAGGCTCATAGTTGTCCTCGTTCATCCTCCCCAAAGAAAGAATGATCCCCAATCCAATCCTTCCAATCATTTTCCCACTTCATAAAAAGAAATCCTCAAGGGAAAGAACGAGCCTATCACGAGAAGAGCGTGTTGGTTAAACACATTCACAAGCTGTTGCAAATCCCCTTTTACCTCAACACGGTGACCATGTTCTTCCAAAGATTCATCGTCGTCGACCCATCAACTCAACGCAGGCCTATAGAGCCCTGGACGCGTTCCAAGAAGCTTTTCCAGCACACTTGGCTAGTGCAGAGCGACGCAGCGGCCACTTGATACAGGCTGGGACTTGAACCCAAAGAGATGATGATGCCCCAAGTTGCATTGCCTGACCAAAGAAACCTATTCAATTCATTATTAGCACACACACACAATAAACATCCTTTTCATTGCTTGTTTCATTGTACTTGCCTTTTCCATATACACAAAGACCCGTTGTTGTTGGTTACTGGAAACCGAAAACCATGGTGTAGTATAGTTGAGCCGAAACAAAACGCCAAACCAGCCAACGTCTTGAAACCAAACTTGCCCTTTATACAAGCTAACACGTCAATGGAACCAGTTCGGCTGCAACATTGGACTCTGAATGTACCTGTTGACACCAAGCGTAAGGCGGGAATAGCAACGGACAAGAAGAAACAACGATATCGCCATGGCAACCACCAACCACCAACCACGCTCATTCCTCAGCATTTGGACACACACTCACTCCCTGACAATGCATGTTCAGAACTACATTAACACCTCACAGCCAATAAGAGCACTCTTTGATAATACATTACCTTGATCGAGATGTCGTGAATGGAATAAAAGCAGAGAAGTGAGAAAGAGAAGAGAAGCGTTGTCTCAAGTCGTGGAGCTACCGGCCCCCAAGTTTAAATCCCCTACTGCTATTACACTGAGGCCATCAATGACCCCACATACACCATCCACCCGTCATGATCATCACCCTCACGATAGACAACAGGTACACGCAAATAAAAGAAATGATCCTCACGTATAGCAAAAGGGTGTGTGCCATTTTACACTTTACGTGATGATGATGATCCAACAACAGCCATTGCCCTTATACTACCAGGTTACCTCGAATCATGAAAGTTCAATGAAACAGAGGTGGTCTCTAGATGGATAAAGCAAAGGGTTGCGAGTTCCTGTAAAGATGAATACTACATGCAATGCAAGATCATTACTCCATAGGTGGTGTTAAGCCATTCATCGAAGCGAGCTGCAGTATGTAGTTATCATTATTACCCCATCATGGTGTTTTTTATTACCACGCAAAGGATTGTTGACTATAACACAAGATACAAAAGTAGCATAACTAAGAAACAACATGAAAGAGTGGAAGGATGCGATGACACAGTAGAAGAAGAAGACGATGCATCTGGATCATCTATATTACCGTTTTTGGATCGATCGGTGCCATTGTTGTTATTGTAGATCACTGAACCTTTAGAAACAACAACGGATGAGTTGACAGCAGGAGCAAAACCAATACGATTACGATCCATATCAAAAACGAGATACAGTGATCGTAAAATTGAATCACCCACAAGGATCATGCTCGATGTACTGAGAGATGCCGTGCTGTCACCTACCCATGGGGCTATACCAAACATGCACAGCTCGGCGTCATCCAATGAATCCGAATCAAGAGGAATGATCAAGTCACGTGCAGCAAGGCTTATTCGCATGAGGCTTGATTGTGCTCGAAGATGAGATCCTATCCCAAATTCCACACGCCGGTCCGTTTTCTTGAGGTCACAATTGATAATAAAGATACCCGATGTGGCATCCAAAATGACATTGTTGTTGGATCCTGCTACCGCAAGCACAATTTGTTCGGCTAATGCAGGTGCCATGTACGTAAGCGTGGTGCCTGTGTCGATAATCACGCCGCGTGTATCTGAAAATCGTTCATTCATTAAGGGCGGGGAGTCGTTGGCATTGTTATCCAGCACACGAATTGCTTGACCATACACCATCCAATAGGCATAAAAGCTGTGTGATGAACCGAGACCCCCTAATCGTGCTACAGGGGCATACAATAATTGTCCATTGTACTTGCTTTCATCAATGCCTCCAAAGATGATTTCGCCAGCCCAACCATCGTCATAAATAGATCCCATGTAAATAGAAAACAATGGCTGTGGGATGAGTCCTCGTTTGGCAAGGCTAAACACAAAGGGGTCGTATGCATGCTCAGAGGAGGTAAGTTCAGGATATCCAATACCGAGTATCCCATTAGCCGCCACAGGATCATCCTCATCCTCATCCAAAATTTCAAACGTTGCATCGTCAGGCATTAAAATGACATTCTCAGTGACTTTTACAAGTCCAAATTGTTGTCGATCCACTCGTGCACCACCAATCTCGACCGTATCTATCGCATAGGTCCCATTGGCACTCCCTGTACCATAGGCAATATCAAATTCTTCTTGCGTCTCCATAAATGTACTTGATAAGCTGTCATTGTATCGTGTGTATGGACATGATTCCTTTGGACATGTTATTGATGGCACCCACAAATCTGCGCTGGGAAGGTACATACATTTTGCATAAGACATGAGAATTTCCTTTTTCTTGATCTATATCCGTCACACAAACAAATAATGGTTTTTACCTGCCAGTATCAAGGGCAACAAGAAACTTTTGGGCTGGGGTGCCTACGCCCACGGTAACCAAGTATTCGGATCCTGCATCATTGTAAAGGCTTGCTTTGCTTTTGTTTGTGTTGTTTGCTGATGATGTCGATCTAATATCCAGGCTTTTTGTTTGATAGGAAGAGAATCGTTTGCTTTTCCATGCATGATGCTTGTATAGCGGTAGTCGAATGGTGTCAGCATCTAATAACTTTGAAACAGCTAATAATAAAAGGAGCACACAGTGGATTGCTCCAGCAGGCATTATTTAGAGAAGAAAAGAAGTATTGTAAAAGAAAGAACGGGTGGTTGTATTGTGTCAAGTATGGATGGATGACGGTGATCAAGCATAAACTGGGTGTGATGTATGTAGGGATCTTCCGGCTATCTCATATGAGCTATTTTTGCTAATCGGCCCTACATACTTCCATCATAAGGTTTTCATTCATGCGTGTAGTATTTTGATCCTCATATTGAAGATAGTAAAACTTTGCTCGTTGTTGATAGAGGTTTATATAGACTCTGCTTTTGAGATCGTTAATGAAAATGTGGCGTTGGCATATCTTTCATTAAGATGTGCAGGCCCGCAAACATGACCGAAAGTAGGTTCTCTGGCATAGTAGGGGTATACATTGCAAGGTTTAAATGTCATCATTAGCCGATGCAGCATGACCTATAGCAGGATCGAAAATAGAAACATAATGCCATGTTGTTTATTTTACATGTCCCATTTCCATGATGTCTAAAAGTACACATGATATAGGTAGTAGTAGGTGTATCCATTTCCTCCTCTCCTTATAACCATGCAATCGTGTATCCAATGAGAGTGGTGGCGATGAGTACAGTTGTTGATGATAGTAATGGCGATGATGATGATGATGGAGCCGCCGCTGACGTTGTTCCTACACCATTCACTGTGCCTCCTACGTTGTTGGCAGTGGCAAATCCAATTTGGTTGTTACCAATATCAAAGACAAGATACGCCGTGCGTAGAACCGAGTCACCGATGAGAATCATATTGCTTGAAGAAGACGATGATGATGTCTGGTGACTTGATCCTAGAGGGGCAATACCCAACATACAACTCATGGCTGTATCAATTGAATTGGTATCGAGTGGGATCACCAGCTGTGACACGGGGACGGTGATGGTAAGTGGGTTATTGGAAGCACTGCTAGAATCTGACATTTGGATCTCGAGCGTAGTGCCTTGTTGTGCTGCCTTTTTGCATTCCACAATATAGGTTTGCGAAGAAGAATCGAGTGCATAATTGCCACGTCCCACCAAAGCTGATGCTATATTGTCTGCCATGTCGTTTGGGAAATACGTCAAGGTGGTACCTGTATCAATAACGAAGGCCGCCGAGTCACCTGATAAGCTGATTTGTGCCGATGAATGATTGTCGTTGCTAGAGACTTGGATCCCTTGTCCATGCACCATCCAATAATAGTAATTGTTGTTGTTGCCAGCTCGTTTCTTTAGGGGAATAGAAGATGTGCTGATCTGTGCAACAGGGATGTAGGTAATATTGCCAGTGTACTTGCTGCTGTCAATCCCACCAAAGATCACCTCGCCAGCCCATCCATCCGCTGAAGCGCTGTTCATGTATACTGAAAACAAATGCTGTTGGATCAAGTTTTGTTCCACCAAGTTGAATACGAAAGGGTTGTAGGTAGTGCCCAATTTGTTGGCTGATGCTGTCAATGTTGGATAGCCAAGTCCAAGGATGCCATTGGCAATAGGAGTGCCTTGGTTATCATTATTGGAAGGGCTGCTGCTATCGCTGCCACCCACCACAGTTGGGTTTGTCAAGATATCGCTTGTGCTGGTTCCCAAACCAAATTGCTGATTTTGGACGCTGACACCGCCTATTGTCACTGTATCGGTTGCATAGGTCCCATTCACGCTGCCAATACCATAGACGATGTTGAACGCGCTTTGTGTGTTTTTGAATGTGGAGGAAGCGGACTCGTCAAAGCGTGAATAAGGACATTGGCTTGTCGGACATGCACTAGATGGCACCCAAAGATCCCCGCTAAATAATAGATCAACAACACGCGTCTTTTAGATTCCCTTGTCGTTATCGACCCATGCAACTTTTTCTTTTTTCGCTTTACCTGCCAGTATCCAATGTCACTGTAAAATTTTGTGGGGGAGTGCCAATGGCTACTTGGATAAGATATTCTGAACCTTGGTCATTGTAGAGTTGTGCAGAAAATGAACCATCACGTTTACGACGACTTGAACCATGAGGATGTTGTCGGCGTAAAAGAGGTAAGCGAACAACCGAAGATGGTGTGATGGAAGAAGCGTCAGGCAATGGTGATGCTACGGCCCGAGTGGATGTGATGGCAAAGATGACCAAAAGTGTTGTAAAGCGCATGTTGCTCTTTGGATGATGATGATGATGACGAAAAGAGGGAAAAAGAGAGTGAGGAAGAAAGCCGAAGCATTGCCGTTCCTGTGCAACATGATTTCTTATGATGTGCAAACTAGCCCATTTTGGCCAATTAACGATACTTGTCTCTCCTTTTTCCTTTGATCATAAGCTCCAAATAGGCTTCCATAGTAGTGTCATCGTTGCATCTTGATGTCTCTTCAACGTACGATTGATCCATGTACTGTATAAGGTTGCTGTGGCCCAGTTTCCTTTGGTATTGTTGCAAACCCCCCTTGCTGTATTGGAAATGAGATCTTTTTTCTTGCTATGTTGAGCATTGTTGCCGAATATTGATACATGCAGCACACATGACATATACACTGTATGCATAAATCTGCTGTATTATGTCACTTTGGATCGTATTCCCATACAGCAGGTTGCTGACATTGACAATGGCGGGTGATTGTATGCTGTTGATAGAGTAAATCCATGGAGATGGTGTTATGATGTGGTCGATGATATGGATCAGCTTGTTGATGATGGTAATACATAATCGCTGTTCGTATATTGCAATCGACATGCATGATGGTAAAACGGTTCCCACACCGCGCAAGTACCACGAGTCGATGGTGAAGCCACATGGTTGCTGTTCTTGGCGTCCAGTAGTCCCAACATCATGTGCTTTCAGGGGTAGAAATTAAGGGGCAGATGTGGCTTTCATTATCCTCAACACGGTGGGCACGGAACAACGAAGGGCACCCGATCTCTTTCTCGTTGTCGTTGCATACAAGATAGATGAGATGTTGATTGTGAAAGGTGGTTCAACAACATTTGGGCTGGTGTGTATCCATTATTTTTAGCATGAAAGAGCCCAGTCGTTTAGGGAAGGTGTATGTATGTTGTTGCCGTACAGAGGTCTCGTGGTTGTTTGGCGAAGGCAAAAAGTTGACAGGGCCTTATCCTCCTCTTTTCATTTCGACCATGCGCTGCTGCTGCCGTTGCCTCCACTACCAGCGGTTGTCTCAAACAAAAGCGATGTGTGCTGCTGTATCCACATCCATTTGCCGTTTATTGGTGATAGTGAATAATTGCGCTGTCTACGGTATCATCGTCTAATCATATCAATGGACGAGCCATCCTGCCGATATCATCGCATCATTGCTTGACTTTCGGGAAATAAAGGTCTATAATGCAATACGCGTGTGAGCAACGTGATTTGTCTTGGCAGCAGCAATAGTAAAAATAAAACCTTACCTTGGGTTTCTTGGCGGTTGACGACATGCATCCAATCCCCTGTTGTAATGAAAAAGAAATGAATATTGATGGGTGCCACACTTGAGCCTGCTACTGACCATGCTTTCAGTGACATGCGCATACCAAAATTCGATTCCTGCATCATGTTGATGTTAACGTATGAACACCAAGCGACTATGTTGTTGATGCTACTTACGTCCGCTCAACTTGTCTCTGCATAATGTAATCATGCCAGCCGACTTATCGTCATACATCCGCAAGAATGGTGAATCTATATCGAAAAAATCAGCCTATTATCCAGGGAGTTCCCGATGGATGACATACATACCCAAAAAGTCCTTTTGCAAGCAAGTTGTCACCGCACTTTGAATGTTGTCTTCTTGAGTGATCCTTTGAGCACATTTGGTTGTAATCATTGTGCGCATGATTTGTTCGCCCGTTCCTAAAATGGTCCTCATAAATCAATTTCCAATGTCGTGGACCCTCCAATGTTGTACATTACCTGAAGTACTGCATGCTACAGCTGGCGACTCATCGGTAGCATCTTGAGCCCAACATCCACTTCCATACACCGCAGCCTGATCCAGTAAGTTCATCATTGTAGGTAGCATGATGATTGAATAGGATAACTCACCTCGCCCACTCGTCCAGGAACCTTGAGTGAAATACCACCACTACTAACACCAGCAGCAACATGACCTTCTGAATCCACACCAATGGCACCGACAGTATCATGCACCTCGCATAGCATCGACATGTGCTTCATGTATGTATCAAAGGCTTCCTCTGCAATCAAATTGACGTCCGTATAGAGTCCATGGTGCTTAGCCCAATCGGATGCCCCTTGACCTGTCAACATGATAGGTGGCACACGTCCCAAGGGTAGCAATTGTGTCGAATCATCAGCCAGCTTTTTGGCAGCGAGAATTGGATTCTTGATACCAGTCGTTGCTCCCACTGCACCAAATGCATTCGTTTTGCCATCCATCAAGCTTGCATCACACTCCACAGTGCCATGTAGCGTAAGATTCGATCCATATCCTACATGTATATATATACACCTTGCCTCGTCAACCACAACAGTAAAGACTCTCCCCACTTGTCTATCTATAGACACACTACCTGCATTCGTCGTTGGGTCATCTTCCAGCACAGTAATGGCACGGGCGACTGCATCGGATGCATTGGCACCTTGCTTTAACAACTCCATGGCAGCTTCACATGCCCTAAAGGTATTACCCATGAGCCATTGTCCCTTTGAACGCTGCTGTATTCTTACCTCGCCAACACAGCTCGATAACGTGGTTCTTTGGATCGTGACAAATTCCCTGGCAAGTCCCAATGACAACAAGTCGATCAGCAACATGGGTTGAAGACAAAGAAAGAGATATGAAAAGATACGTGCCTGCACCTACGTGGACGGCTATAAACATTGCATTGGGAATAGTGGGCACACACACACTTGATACAAATGGTCCGAGAGCCACCCCTTTGTCGGAATGATCCGTTCATCCAATGTCTCTTGTTGCATTGAAGACTACACATACACTTGAAAGTATTTGCCTTTACAATCTTGAATCATCATCCTTATTCCAACATGCTTCTCCTTGGAAATGACGATAAAATTGGTCGATTCGGATTAGAGTTCATAGCTATATTTCCATAATACCATGAAGCAGTGTATCACAACATCACCCGCATGAATAAATTGTATGTATTTCTAATGGGAACACCTCGCTGTTGCAAAAGGTGACTATGATTTAATGATACAGCAATAAAGCAATACTATATGTGTAAGCAATGTAGAATAGTAGAGTAGATGGATAAGGGGAAAAAAAGAATGCCGAAAACTATGCAATAGAATGTTGATTGCCTTTACATTTACATGCAGAAGCACTTGTTCTTCTTTTTGGGCTCCTCATCATCCTTAGGTGCAGGCTTGGGAGCAGCAGCAGCGCGAGTGGTTGTGGTGGGAGCTTCCTTGGGCTTATCTTGTTGGGAGGTCTTTTCCTTCTTTTCTTCCTTGATTTCTTCTTGAGAGGCAGCACCTTGGCCTTTGTGCATGGTGTTCAAAAGTTTTGCAAAGTTTTCACCTTGAGTTTCTGCAATAGAGAGTTCTTTCTCAGAGGGTTGACGGGAACCATCACCGTTGGCTATAAAGAACGTGACACACAGGAGTTCGATATCCCAAGTTAGTTAATCTATATATCATCCTCCTCCATCACCAACCCCGAGTAAAGATTTCAAACATACCAACAGTGCCTGCACCATAAGCTGAACCACCTACAACTTCTGAATTGTCGAAAAGATGTGTATTGGCGAATCCAAAAGGAACGTAGTTGATGCCGTGATGTGCAAGATAAGTGATGGTTGTCCATGCAGTGCTTTCCTGACCACTTTTTTACGCGTATTGTTGATGAGCCCACTGTTGCACAAATGCTTCTCTCAAGTAGTCCCACCACTTACCCATGCTGCGATGCAGTAGAAAAGAAAATACCAGCAAATTTGCCAGCCAAGGCACCTGAAGCCCACAATTGACCAGTGGCATCAAGGAACGACTTCCATTGGGCTGTGTATGGATAAAAAGTTAAATCATGCAAAGTAGGAACGTGTAAAGAAAAATCCCTCTCACATACCAGGCATGGAACCAAAGCGAGTGGGGATACCGAGCATGAAGCCATCGGCTTCCTTGAGCTTATCAACAGTAATTACGGGATCATCGGATTTGGGAGGGGCGTGCATCTTTTCAAGGACATCTTCAGGCAATGTCTCGGGCACCTACAAACGTGTATGTATGTGAGCAACATGTCATTTTTTGATTTATAATCATAGCAATGATCATTTTTTCATTGTCGATCAAATGGGTTACCTGATAAGTCTCAACTTCGACGCCTTGAGATTCAAGGCCCTTTTTAATATGACGAGACAAGGTTTGGACGTGTCCGTATGTAGAGTAATAGAGAACGAAAACTTTGGGCATTTTTTGTTAAGAAAGTGAAAGAAAGGTCAAGGTAACACTGATTGTGTAAATCTCGCGCCGCTTGGTCATTGCTTTATACCTCCGCCCTATCCCCTTGCTTTGTAAGAAGGGAGTAAGCAAATCTTTGTCAAGTTTGACAAATCAAGCGGAGATGATACACCCCATCCGCACCCGTAATATATATATGCGAGATACCTTCGTTCCTGATCAACCTGATCCACGCTGCTTTGTGCTCTTCCTTTATTGTGTATCCTACTTGAGTAATCAAGGTGATCAAAATTCGTGCATGGTGTCGCTATTTCGTTTACTTGGATGGTATCAGAGATGGGACACTATTCATACGCAACGCAATTGAGTGATTGAAAATGATGCTTGTTGGTGCACGTGGTGATGCTCTTATTTTCCTTAATATGCATCTTGTATTGCCGCTATTCAATCATTGAAACGTCATTGTTCATGGAGATCACCAATAGGCATAGGTATTCAACCCCGTTGGATGAAGGTGTGTAGGGTACACATCACTGAGTCAGCAAATTATTCAAAGGAATGGGTCACATTTCCCAGTTAGACACAGCAAATGCATAAACGTGCGACTTGAATGATGTTCTTGAATGGCTATTAGTCAACTACCTCCGCTTGCTTACAATCCAATTTGGTCAAGAGACAATGATGGCATGTCTTTATGTAGTTGACAGTGAATGAGTGTCTTCCAAAGTGCATAACAAAGAAATTCTTTTGGGATTCAAGAAGGTGGTCATTGTCACTAAGATAGAAACGAACTTTTTATGTATAATAATGATACTAATAGGTGTGGGCATTATTCATTGCCTAAGCCTCTTTTCATGCATGATGATTATGGATGGGTGGTTTCCATGAGTGTGTTATTGATACTTGCCAAGCACATGACAACGATATAGAAAAGGATCATCACGTACATACAATAAAGATCGTTCCTGCAGCGGGATGTTTCATTTGGGGCTCACAGTCACTTTCTCAATGTTGGGCTAACTTGAATTTCAGCAGAAAGGGCGGAGAGCGGTTGTCCAAAGAGAGAAAAAAAACCTGCACACACCTCTTCTTTCAACGCACCGTCATGGAAGGGGAGAAACCACACAAGGCTCACAATCCCGGCAAGGCTGGTAAAAAGGCCGAGCGTAAGAAGGCGATTGAAGAAAAGAAGAAGAAAAAGAGCAACAATCCAAAGGCATGATCCACCCTGTCAACTTTATCCATACGATCGATCTAACCTTAACGCTACTATAGGCTTTTACATTCGCTAGTGCCGGCAGAGCCGAACGATCAGCACGTCGCAATTTCGATCTCGGTGAAAAGAAGCTCCATGTGCCATTGGTGGATCGATCGCCCATTGAAGCACCACCTGTAGTTGTTGCAGTCGTTGGACCACCTGGAGTAAGTGTAGCCATAGGCAGCAGCTGCAGCAGTAATAGAACATGTTTTCCTGATTACTTGTTGTTCTAGTGCGGCAAATCGACATTGATCAAATCGCTTGTCAAACGATACACCAAACACAACCTTGCAGAGATCAAAGGTCCCATCACCGTTGTCAGCGGTACGTACTATATGATTTCGATATGGGATGACAGTTAGCTGATAAGATGGATAGGCAAAAAGCGACGATTGACGTTTATCGAATGCAACAACGATATCAACTCGATGATTGATGTGGCTAAAGTGGTTGATTTGGTCCTTTTGATGATTGACGCTAGTTTTGGTTTTGAAATGGTGAGTATGAAAGGAGGAGGAGGAATGAAAGGATGGCAAGATACTCAAACATGATGGTCTATAGGAAACCTTTGAATTCCTCAACATTCTTCAAGCACACGGTTTTCCCAAGGTGATGGGTGTTTTGACGCATCTTGACAAGTTCAGAAACAACAAAAAGCTACGAGCCACCAAGAAGCGACTCAAGCATCGTTTTTGGACCGAGATTTATCAAGGAGCCAAGCTATTCTACTTGTCAGGTGTCATCAACGGTCGATATCCCAATCAAGAAGTGCAGAATTTGTCTCGATTTATCTCTGTCATGAAATTCAGACCCCTCATTTGGCGCAATACACATCCTTACGTCGTTGCCGATCGTGTGGAAGACTTGACAGATCCAGAGTTGATTCATTCCAAACCCAACTGTGATCGCACAGTAACATTGTACGGCTATCTACGAGGCACCAACTTGAAACCCAACATGCGTATTCATATTCCTGGTGCTGGTGATCACACTTTGGCGGACGTTTCAGTGTTACCCGATCCATGCGCTTTGCCTGACAAGGAGCGCAAACGTCTTGATGAAAAGCACAAGTTGATTTATGCTCCCATGTCCGATGTGGGAGGTGTCATGTATGACAAGGATGCTGTGTATATCAATGTACCTGGTCACTTTACCAAGAAATCAGCATTGGCACCTGCTGAACGTCAAGAAGGAGCCGAAGAAGAACATGATGATACACCAGCTGGTCCTGGAGAGAAAATGGTGATGGATCTTCAAGATGCTCAAGACACTTTGGCTGCTCGTCTTGCCGACTCTGAGTTGCGTATCTTTTCTGGTTCGGCTCCTATGCGATCAGGTGATGTCCCAAGTGATCAAGAAGACAATGAAGGTATGTATACAAAACAAGGGTCTACAATATCGAATTCTAATGTTTATTATCAGGCATCACTGAATCGCTAGAACAAGATGACACGGGTCGTACAAGAAGACGTGCTGTCTTTGGAGATGAGGATGAGGATGAGGATATGGATGAGGATGACGACGAGGATGAAGATAGCGATCAAGAAATGTTGGACAGCGATCAGGAAATGGATGATGACGAGGATGATGATGAAGTCCCTACTCGTGGTCGCGCTCTCACAAAGTTTGATACACGCAACATCCCTCGCAAAGGTGACAAAGAGGATAAGGAGGAGCGTGACAATGGCCAGGATGTCCAGTTTGCAGACAGCGACAGTGATCTCGGATTCGATGATGAGGATGATCAAGAGGATATGGTCAACATTGATGGTCGCCAAAAGAATGATGACGATGACGACGACGACCAATTGGCTGGTGAATTACGGTGGAAAGCCAATCTCAAGGAAAAAGCCAGCGCCATGTTTAATGCAACACGCCGTGTCAATCTCATGTCACTTATCTACGACAAGACCGACATTTCACCTGAAGATATTGCTAGCGGCAATTACAACCAAGATGATCAAGAGAATGATGATAACGATAACGAAGATGAGGAATTCTTCACTTTGAAACGTGAAGCCGCTGATGAAGCATCTGAAACTGTGGATACCAGTCGCGAGCAAATCAAGATGGATGATTTAGAAATCTGGGGAGATGATGATGTAAGGATGTTTTATGGTCACGTGAGAGAGACTTCATGCTAATGCTATCTCTTTTTATTTTAAAGCATTTGGATACGATCCGTTATCGTTTCATTACTGGTCAACAAACGAATGGTGAAGGTGAAGAGGGCGAAGAAAAGGGCGAAGACGAAGAGGATGAGGAAGAGGAAGAAGTCTATGGTGATTTCGAAGACTTGGAAGATGAGAATGCAAGTGGCAAGGAGGATGCCGATGAAAATGACCAGGAAGAGGATTCAGTGGAAGCCGAGCGTGAGCGTATTGCCAAACGAAAGGAAGAGCTCAAGAGGAAATTCGAGGAAGAATATGAAGAAGATGAGGAGCCTCAGATGGACTTTTACGAACAGCGAAAGGCTGAGATTGATCGTCAACTCAAGATGAATGTTGCTGAATTTGAGGATGATGATCCACACACACGTGCTCTTGTGGAAGGTCATCGACCAGGCACCTATGTACGTTTGCTCATCAAGGACATGCCATGTGAATTCATTCAACACTTCGATCCCACTTATCCTGTCCTCGTTGGTGGTTTGTTAACCTCTGAAGATCAATTTGGCATTGTCCAAGTCAGAATTAAGCGTCATCGATGGCATCGCAAGATCCTCAAGACCAATGATCCTCTCATTTTCTCTATGGGTTGGCGTCGTTTCCAGAGCATCCCCATTTACTCTCTCAATGATGGCACACGTAATCGCATGTTGAAATACACACCGGAGCATATGCATTGTCTGGCAACCTTTTATGGTAAGGGATCAAACCTGGTTATTCATTCATCGCATGCGTGGGCTGACAAAGAGGGGTGCATTTTAGGTCCTGTACATACTCCCAACACTGGCTTTTGCGCTGTCAACTCTGTATCTGACAACAAATCGGTATGTGAAAAACAAATTGTACTATGATGAGTGTATGCTGACACATTTTATGTACAAAGGCATCCTTCCGGATAAGTGCTACTGGTGTGGTTGTTGATATCAGTAAAACAGCCGAGATTGTCAAGAAGCTCAAATTGACTGGTGTTCCTGCCAAGGTCTTCAAAAACACTGCATTTATCAAGGACATGTTTACATCTGCATTGGAAGTTGCCAAATTTGAAGGTGCTACCATCAGGACAGTATCTGGTATTCGTGGTCAAATTAAAAAGGCTTTGCCGGTAAGAGAGAGAGTGTGCATGTGTGCGTATGTGGTAGGAAAGGTTCCTTATTAATATGGATGTTCGGCATTTATAGAAACCTGAAGGCCAATTCCGTGCTACTTTTGAAGATAAGGTGCTCATGAGTGGTAAGTTATTAGACGAGCAAATCTTGTGTTTTACAAGATAACTCATATGCCATTGAATAGACATCGTGTTCCTGAGAGCATGGTACCCTGTCAAGCCTCGCAAATACTACAACCCTGTTACTTCATTACTTTTATCTTCCAAGACTGAATGGCGTGGTATGCGTTTGACAGGCGAGGTTCGTCGTGAGCTCAACATGCACGCACCACAAAACATCGACTCTGTATATAAGGTAAGAAGAGATGTCATTGTATGATCCACAAAGGCAAGGTATTAAGGAATTTCTTGTTTTAGCCTATCGAGCGTAAGACGCGACGATTCAACACACTCAAGATCCCCAAGGCTCTTCAGGCTGAATTGCCTTTCTCATCCAAACCCAAGCAATTGAGGGCTCAACGCAAACAAACATATGCTGCCAAGCGTGCTGTTCTATTAGAGCCTGAGGAGAAGAAGGTCTATACCATGATGCAGCAGCTCAACTCACTTCGCAAAGACAAGGAGCGTAAACGTAAAGCTAAGGATATGGAGCGCCGTGCAGAGAATATCAAAAAGAAGGCCAAACTCGAGGCTGAGCAGCTTGAAAAGGATAAGGCACGGAGGAAGGAGTACTTCAGAAAGGAACAAAGAAATAGCAAATCAAGTGCATAAATCACCATCACCACATAGAACAATAAAATTGCATGTTGTAATAATATTAATTATCCTCTCTATTCACGTATCATCTGAGTCTCTGTTACAATCTCACCATTCTTAAAGGTGACCGTGTCACGACGTTTGTTCACATGGATACTAGCTACCAAATGCAATGGACGTGGTTGGTTGCCATTCTCCATATTCTTGTGTAGGATTTCCTTGATTTGTTCAGCGTTGATGCCTGCAGCCATTATAACGTTCAAATAGCCCAAGTTTGGCAAGCACACCAGATTTTCTAAAATGCTTGTTGTAAGGATAGGACCTCCAAGTCTCAGTGATTTCATGGGTAGATGTGGATGGTTGTATCGTAACTCCTTAGCAAACTTTGAGAATATGGGCTGAACATCACCGTCAGGGCTGAAGGCAAGGCTAAGTTCAACGATGGATGGCAATTGTGCGATCACGTTGAGTAGATCACCATCAACGATGCTGGCACCGGCATATTGCTTCTTCAAAATAACATCATGATGATGCAGGTCTAGCTTGGTAAGTCCCTGCATTCTGCTTGTACAGCGTTTCAATCCTTGAGATGTGACATTATTGTCTTTGATGTAGAGATCAAGTGTCGTAAGGCCCGAAGGTAACCTATCCAAGACGCTGTCGTCGATCGATAGGTTATGTAGAGCTACCTTTTTGAGGCTTCTCATGGAGCAACCTTGAATAATTGTACGTGTTAGCTCGTTGCAGAGTGCGTGGTCCATTATTTCCTTCATTGGCAAAAAGTTTGCGGTCAATGTGAGATCTTCCAGGTTGGGTGTCTTGATTTCGCCAAGTGCCTTCAAAGCCAACTGGGATAGGGATGATATGTCAGCGTCCAAAACTCGTACATGGGGTGCAACACGCATGGCTAATGCTGCTAACTTTTGATCAAAGTCATCACAAAGGTTGCCTTTCTCTAAGAACATGGTGCGTATTGACAACTTTGGAGGAGGAAAAGGCGCACCAAAAGCAAAATCGTACTTTCTATTATCGTCCGCAATGGTATGATCATCAAGCACCAAACCTCTTAGTTTGGGACAGTAAGCATTAAGAGCATCAACGACACCATCTAGGCAACGTGTCGTATCACCACGAACAACCAGATTGCATAATTCAGGACAATGCGGGAGGAACGTGGACAAAAAGTGTGCAAAGGTGTATACCCCTTCCTTATTATGATGCAAGATTTTCGATGTCAACTTGAGTTGTTGTAATGCCAACGGTGTTCTTGGCCGCCATATGGATGAAGGTGGGATGACTTTTTCCGCTTTATAGTCGATGTCCCGTACTTTGGATTGCCCATTCCAAAGCTCATGCAAATCGAAAACCAGGTTGATGATGCCAGGGCATAGATCGAGTACTTGTTGAATGAGTGGATACAGTTGCTGTGCAACGTTGATTAGAGCCAAGGACTTCATTGTTTTGATGTTCATGCGCAAAAGGCGTATCATCCATTGGGTCGTTTTGACATTGCAATTGCCAACACCTACACATAAGAGCAACAATATAAGTTTTCCTTTGTGGTATATAAAAGAACAATGAAAAGTACTTACTTAATGCTTCAAGATTGCGGCACTTAAGACGTACGACCAAACGTTCGAGAACTTGAGGTGCCAAATCAAAATCATCCCACTTGGCTATTATTGTGCATGTTTTCACTTGATCTCCTTTTTCAATGCGCGCAAACAAGCTATCGAGGCATTGGGTCGATATGCCGCTCGTAAATCGGAGATGGTGCCACATGCCCTCCCAAGAAAAGAGATACGTTCTCCATGTGTGACATGTCGCAGCACATACCACACGATCTCGTAATGGAAGAAATGAAAATACGTGGTTGGTAATACGCTTGCCTAAACGCTCCAATAGGTGAGCATTGGTTGGGAGAATGACGTTGTTGTATAAATGATCCAAGGTGGTCTCCAGGCTGTGATACTGAGGATGTTCTTTGTTTGCATTCGTTACGCCATTACGATAAACCCGCAACGCCTCCTCCATGTTGGCTTTAACGACGTATACATCACCAGCACATAGATATCCATCAGCAGATGCTGGTGTAATTTCCATCACTTTACGTGCATCAGCAAGGGCACGATCATGTTCCCCATCATTAGTATATGCAAGAGCACGGCTAAGCAATAATGTTGAGAGCGAATTGGTAGCCTCGTCAATGGCAGCCGTAAAATGGTCTGATGATGCTTGATACTGGTTCTTGTTTAGCTCAATTTGTCCTTGATTAAAATGCTCAAGCAATGCATCCGGTGATATACGCGCGTTTTTAATGGCATCGACAAGGTCGGGGTGCATGATGTGAATAATGAAGGGGGACAAAAGCAAGACATTGGTTCTTGTTTATATTGCAAACGACATGCTGTACCACTGTTGTTGCTGAGCAACAAATCTACTGCGGGAGATGATACCGCTTGTGGAACCTCGTACCATCAGCGTACTGCGAGAAAAATGGTTGCCACGTAGTATCCATGGTATCCATGGTAACAACAACGACTCATTACATCCATGAACGAGAGACCCACAACGCGTATATAGCTTACACCAAGTACACACATAGCCATGGATATTTAAAAATGAGGCGAGCGCTATACGTGAGATCAAGCGGTACGTGTGCACAATGAAAGAGTTCACGGCAAGTTGTATGAAGCCGAAGTAGTAAACAAAGTCTTCCTATTAGATGCTATCATTGGGATTTCCATCCTTCTATCTGAACCAAGACATTATTGTTGCATCCATAAGCGAGTTTTGAGGTCACAGATTAGCTGCGAAAGAAAGCTGTGGGAAAGAAAAGTTAGTTACACAAGGCGACAGAAATGATGTATGGTTTGCATTAAAGTGGCACCAGCTTGCACCCTGTAACGTTGACGACGTCAGCGTTTTGACCATATTGTATGGGGTTTTTAATGTGCGCAATAGCGTCGTGCGTAAAGCTTTCTCACAGCAGCAGCAAGGAGATGTAATATGGCAGATGCAAGGTATTACATACATTCCTTGTGCCAAGGTCTTTGTTCATCATCGCCACATGAACGCATTGACCTTGAAAGCAACGTGACACAGTCATCAGAGCTTTGATCGATCATCGTCGAAATGAGTCTCACGAGACAGCGGTCATCCATTCCTGGTATTCATTCCTTTTATGCATGGCACACACGATATCACGATGCATAGATGTCGGGTGGTTGATTCACCACATATCAATTAGAATCAATGTCATCACTTGGTTCATTATTCTCAAAGCTATAAGCGTTTTCCAAATAGGGCAAACCGGATGGAACTTGCATCCGTGTCCACTTGTGGATAAGGTTTCTATTCTTGTTCCCTGCATACAGTATGTCATATGGTGGGTGAGTGTCATTGGTGATCATAGATCAAAGCTCTGTTTACGCTATTGCGATGGATCAATGTGATGATCCAAGGTATTATGTCATCCACCTTGCGTACAAATCACGTCAATACATGCTTCCAGTGATAGCTAAAGACATCTAAATAGGATGGTATCCAAGCACTTTGGCCCAATAAAAAGACCTGTATCTTTTTGCATCAGCGTATACAGGCAAGTGTCATTAAGCGAGCTGTTCTACTACAGTGTCACAGAAAAGTGAATGACCTGACGCACGTCAGTGATCCGTGACAGCATGTCAGGCCTTGAGCACAATATGGGAAAAAGACTCAAAAGCCCGTGCGCCGTAGGTGTTGCCAAAACCGAAGCGCTTATCCAAAAGGGGACTGATCAGAGTTGCAAAAGCCATCAACATTGTCATATCCCTCAAATGAGCCAAACATGTTTGTATCACACGCACGTGCATCCGCATGACATGGCGGGGAGGAAATGAAGGAGGAAGGAAATGCCATAAAACATCTTGTGCTGAAATTTGTATGATAGTCCAAATACACAATAACAAGTGTAAAGAGTATTTTACGGATAAAATGGCTGGTGACATGTATGGCAACAAATGTCAAAACATTGGGCATTTAGGATGTCATGCCGGTGATCGACCCTATGCCCCATATAGATATGGTATGTGCGTCATTACATGACAACCGGTATAGCCGCCAGATCTTTGTTCATCATCATCATCATCATAACCCTGAATGCATGACGACAATCAAAGGTCCTTTAGCCAATCGGCTGATCTCAGCTGACAGCTTGATGCAACGAATACGAATAAACTTTATTCATCGCTTGACGTATCAGGGGAGGTGTACCGTGATCTCACATCTTCTCGTTGCCTAATACGTGCAAGAATAGTCTAAATCTACTCACGTATGTGTGTGACATGGAAAAATTTGCGTAGCTTTTTGACGTCAAATACACCCATAACCCCAACTATGCTTGATCCACACCAACAATGAAGCTTATGCTTTATTCCTTGTGATGATAATGATGTAGTTCGATGATGAGCTGTGTAACAAGTGGGTAGGGATGATAGAAGAATATAGAATATTCCCAAGCTCAACTGAAAAGCAAAACGGGGAGAAAAGGGAGGGGAGGGACCAGGTGGCAGGAGGCAGATGCAGTGCAACATTTATTCGATCGACTTCCTTTTCTTCTTTATTTCCCTTTCTTTCACACAATGGAATACAATTTCACCACCTCCAGCGGCTCAGCTAATTCATTATCATCCACAACAATGGCACCAGCAACAAACACATCAATGCCCTTGACACCACCTTCACCAGGAAAAGCGATCCCTCCAAAACACCCAACTACTGCTTTCATCACCAAACTATGGGAGTACGTATATTGCATATCGAGACGCGGAAGTAATTTTTTGCTAATACAGTGATATGGGCAAAAACTAGTATTGTTAACGATCCCACAAATGACTCTCTCATACGATGGTCGGGCGATGATGTTGTTGACGTGTTGGACGTGGCAGCCTTTTCACATCAAATACTACCGCAATACTTTTCGCATAACAACTGGCCTAGTTTTGTTCGGCAGCTCAATAGTAAGTATCTCTTTCAATATCCAAAAAGCCGTTCTCTCGATCACTTACAGCTGCACTTTTATTTATCTCCCCTTTGTTTGTCTATCCTCCCGCCCCAAATCGATCTCCTTTTTTTTGGGTATCCCAGTGTATGGATTTCGTAGAGTAAAAGAATCCGTTCTCATGAGCACCAACACCAGCAAAGCAGGATCCAATGACACATACCAATTCATGCACGAATTCTTCCGCAAAAATCAACGACATTTGTTACATCGCATTCGACGTAAACCACAAAACAGCGCAATCCATAACTTAACATCATCCAGCAGCAGCAGCAATCACCATCATACCCAACCCAATAGGCGTTCAAATGTAGCACACGAGGCCATGGAAAAACGATTAGATCTGCTTCATGAACAATTACGAGCCGTTGAATCCAAATACACCGCCATGCTCAATGAAACCCAAGAACTTCACAATCTGCATTCTCAGCAGCTGAAGGTAATAATGAAACGACACAATGGGCACTCATGTAACTGGTAGCTGAATCTACATACATCGATAGTTGCTTTCCTCTGTGTTGAATACGATTGCCGATACCCATGAAAATAACCCAGGTATGTGTGCGCTATCCATCTGCTGACTCTTCAACTGATGTCTTCTTTTTGCAGTCATTGTGGATTTGTATGACAAATTGGAAAGTATAATCGGTCGCGCTGAAGCCACATTGTCAAGTCCACGTACAATCCAACTACCACCCCTTGCTGAAGCTGTACAAAACGCACCGACCACACCGACCACACCCTTGCTTCCTCCACTACAAGATCATGAAATAAAACAAGCATGACTTTGTACACATGATGATGATACCTTTGCATGTGCCCTTTATTATACCCCTACTCCTACTGCTTTTGCACACGTTCTAAATAGGCTTTCCATCCAGCATCACGATATCGTTTGGCTTGGTACTCGACTTGATCGGGGTTGCCATAGATACCACGGCCGACAATGATCACATCACAGCCACTTTCCTTGATAACTTGATCAGGTGTACGGTATTGTTGTCCAAGACCATCGCCCTTTACGTCCAAACCAACACCAGGTGCCATGACCACAAAGTCCTCATCATCATGCTCGTTCATTTGATGTTGAGCAATAAAGCCAAATACAAAGTCTTGGTTGCGACGAGCCATGGCAACGGATTCGGAAGTGTAAGCACCTTGTGTCAATGCGCCCTTGGATGACATCTCGGCCAACAATAACAATCCTCGACCCAAAGGAAGACCCACATCTCTTAAGCCATGGATGATGCCTTCACCGGGAACAGTGTGTGCGTTGGTGATATGAGACCATGATGCAATCTTGTAGATGCCCTTGCCATATTGATGCTTCACAGTGTTGCCTACAAAGATAAATGTGTGTTATTCTACATTGCTCTTGATACACAATCAAAACAATGATATAGACTTGCCAATATCAGCAAACTTGCGATCCTCGAATATCATAAAGTCGTGTTTCTTGGAAAGCTGCGTCAACTGATCCACGAGATCTTGATCAAAGTCTTCAACGATATCAATGTGTGTCTATCCAATCGTGCATTGAGAACCAGGCCATTGTGACACGTATGGACGCGAAAAGTGCAGCTGCAGCGGCTTACCTTGAGGACGCAAATGAAAGGACCAACGCCATCGGCAATAGCAAGCAATTCCTTTTTGGTGGTGACATCGGCAGCAACAGAGAGGTTGGTTTGCTTTCTTTCCATGAGCTCGAAAAGAGCACGAGCACAAGCGTTGGGGTGTCGAGCAGCACGTTCACTGTATGTCTTGAAGGTGTTCATAGTCGCAAATCAAGAAAGAGAGTGAAAAAGGAAAAATCTGTTTCCGAACCGAACCTTGGCTGCCAGGATACAACGGCAGATAGGATGTCGCGCCCCGCTACTGCATTATTGTGGAGTTACATGCAATGTTGTCAATCACACACGTCTCGAGATATCAACACTCATGAAATAAAGATTGCATGATTGGAATTAAGATTGTAGAAGTTCATCTTGCCTGATATCATAGCACAAGGAATGGCATCCATGCAGTAAACACTCTTCCGTTTAGGATGAATTAGAGTAATTGGGACTATGGGTGCTTTATTGGTCAATAAACAACACTTGACATGAACATCTTTTATCTTGGGAATGGGATTGTAAAACGTTTTAATGGATGGCAAAGCAATTGTATTGATTCAATTCATGATAAAGATTTCTTTCCTTGCTAAGAGCTATTAACCCTATCTGCAGCCTTGTGTATGTTCACCATGGATCGCACCTAGCAAAATGCTCAAAACAAGGAATGTTAGTGAATCGATCTCGAAGCCAATAACCCATAGAATACTTCCCTAAAAAAGGATGGGGCCACATTATTAACGTCCCTGTGGCGTGGACGGATTACCAGCATAACGTCGCAGCAATCCAAACGAGCTGACAGTAACGCCAACAGCCATGACGGATCACCAGCATAACGTAGCAGCAATCACAACGAGCTGACAGTAACGCCGAAGCAGCCATGGCGGATAACGCATAACGTCGCTATATCAGAACGAGTGCCACTATCCCGTTGCAGCACCAATCACGGATCACCAGCATATCGTCGCAGCAATCAGAACGGTAGCCAACCTTCGCCGTAGCTACGAAAGCGGATAAAGCATAACGTCGCCATATCGGAACGAGTGCCACCATGTCGTTGATAGCACCAATTACGGACCACCAGCATATCGTCGCAGCAATCAGAACGAGCAGCCAACATTCGCCGTAGCTACCAAAGCGGATAGAGCATAACGTCGCCATATCAGAACGAGTAGCCAACCTTCGCCGTAGCCACCAAAGCGGATCACCAGCATGTCGTCGCAGCAACCTTTACGAGTGTCACTATCTCGTTGCAACACCAATCACGGATCACCAGCATAACGTCGCAGCAACCTTTACGAGTAGCCAACCTTCGCCGTAGCCACCAAAGCGGATAAAGCATAACGTCGCCATATCAGAACGAGCTGACCTTAACGCCGAAGCAGCCATGACGGATAACGCATAACGTCGCTATATCAGAACGAATGCCACGATCTCGTTGCGACACCAATCACGGATCACCAGCGTATCGTCGCAGCAATCAGAACGAGTAGCCAACCTTCGCCGTAGCTACCAAAGCGGATCACCAGCATGTCGTCGCAGCAATCAAAACGAGCTGACCGTAACGCCGAAGCAGCCATGACGGATCACCAGCATAACGTCGCAGCAATCACAACGAGCTGACCTTGACGCCGAAGCAGCCATGGCGGGTTCACCAGCATAACTTGACAGTAACCATGACGACTAGCACACCAGGGTTGAGCTGCAGCCAAAAAGAAGCCAATGTGAGACCACCATTCAGGCACAAGAGGCAAGTCTACTGCTACTGCAGACTCAATTCAATCTTACCTAATGCAGGAAATGTGGGGTAGATGAAACACGAACCAAACGGGACCATAAACAGGACTTGAATCGAGCAACTTGTACATGCGGCGCCTAAAAACACGTGCTACAAGCAAGAGCATGAAACAAGATTAGTACCCAATGTTTATCAAAGCAAGATGAGCCATTTTTACTATACCTTTCGGTTGGATGACCTGGATTACGCTTGTTCTTGAAAAAAAGGAGGAAGAGATGCGGCTGCGGAGGAGATAGAAGACGATGGAGACAAATAGAAAATGAAAAACTTTTCAAAGCGTGACGGCGTTTTTGATTGGCCGCTGAGTGCTCTTGATACCCTGCCCAACCAACACTTAAAATCAAAGCTGCCAATTCTGGAGCTTGGTATTAATACAACTTGCCGTTTTTACCCCTTTGGATCAGCACCAACCATTGAACACGCCCACCAAATATACATTTTATCGGCTGTATGCCTAAAGGACCATGAGGAACTACTATAAAAACTTTCAACTTGTTGGGTAGTTTAGCAACCAATCTCTATGCTTTAATAAAAAGTGGGGTCCGTGCACTGTATTCAGAGCAACGATGCATGATAACAGCGTAAATACAAGCAGGCAGCCTTCATTTATACCATACACCATACGACCATATGAGATGGTTCAGCTTACAATGTTTGCTATCATTCTTTATTGGTGGTATCGTTGAAAGATTCGTTTTTTATCAGTAACCTTCGCTTGAAAGTTTTGAAGAAGTGATGATTGTCGTGCACCCATCAACCGGACTTAACATGTGTATGGTTGTATCCTTATCCATCCGTAGCATAGAAACAACGATCAGCCTTAACGTACAAAGAGCTTCAATCCAGCGAGTATCCGTGGCAAGACCGTGCCAAATGACAAGAGAGCAGGGAAAAGGAAAAGAAGAGTCTCTTGTTTATTGTTATTGTGTCAATATATTTATATGGACAAGGCATGTGATATGCAAACATCTATGTACAACAGCTTTACCACACGCCTAATCGATTTACATTAATGCATTATCCCAATGTATGTGTAAAACGCAATAGCCTCACCATGTACCAAGACACCAAATGTAAATGTTTCCATTTTGTGCCCTTGTCTCTTCATGATTTCAGGTATCCTGAGCCTTGCGATGGCAACCAATCATCTCAAATTGCTGGCCATCCATGTTGTGCATCACGTAGCCCGTATCGGTATATAAATGCCCAACAGGATCCTGATTTGATACACGTCTGATAACGCCTTCTTTGCAGATTTCGTATGCGCTATAATCACTGCCGTCACAGTGTACGCCGATATTCACCCATGCAGCATCACTTGTGTCCGGTAAAGCAACTTCTCGGATTCGTGGGTCAAATGGTGAAGGAGATTCTCGTTTTCGCCGTTCATTTTCTTCTGCTGTGACCCATTCCAAATTGCATGGCCTATTGTCACTTCGCTTCTTATTCTTGTGGTCGACGTACATATTTGCTCGAAGGCCATGGAAGGTGATCATCACTAATCGATGGACCAGCTGTTTGACCCATACTCCCTCAGGGCGTAAGCTGGCGCTGCCATACGACAAGCTATCGTGGATCGTTGCAGGAAAATAGATTGCCATGAATATGAGCTCGTAAAGCGAGAACACACGTCCGAGATCGGATATCAAATAAGATTCTCCCAAAAAGAGGATGTCGTGCTGTATCTTTTGCTTGATCAAACACCTGCAACACGGCATCAAATTCAAGCTGGACCTTTTCATAGGGCGAGAAATCGAATTTGCTATGAGTTGCATCTCTGAGCCCGAATCCTTGATATGTGGTTTCCCATGCAATATGACGGGGAAATAGCTACATCGACAACAAGAAGGTGGCGTATACATATGAGTAATGGCTCATCAAGCAACATGATCAAGTTTTACCTCATTACAAGGATCCAGCAATATCACAATGACGGCCACAATACAAAGAAGCACTACGAAAGACAACAGAGATCAGCGCTTCTTCACAAAGTTAGAATGGAATACGTACAAACCTTGGACATTTGACCTTGTAAGCAATCAAAGAAGTATGGCAGAGGAAAGAGACGTGTGAGAGTGTGATGGGCGGCGACAACATCCTTTTATTGTGCATGCTGGGCGTGGGTATTGTTTATGTTTGTTAGGGATGAGCTGATAAAGTGATGGGGGCGCATATACCAGAAGAGCCTACCTGTAGTAATGTTGTCAATGTATCATACATCGGCCAGAATAGGGCAAGTGATAAGAGATCTATCAAGGAACTTAAATTAAGAGTGATGATGGTGACATTGGGGTATACATGTATACGGATGTAGAAGGAGATCATCGATGTGAGGAATAGGTTGATTTGAGGGGGGGGCTATCATCGGCATTATGTGGAAAGGCAGTCATTTCGGATTAACTGAAAGGGTTGATTGTGTTGCATGCTTGGTCGAGCCATGTTGTTATCCCGCCGCCTTTTCTCTACATGCCGTGTCCTTGCTCATGAGAACCCCTTGGTAAGCAAATGGACGATCAAAGGGTGCTTGGTGTATTAACGATCTTGACAGGGCTTACCAGGACACAAACGAGCACCACCACCACCCACCATACCTCGTGCACAACGTGGATTGCCCAAAAAGATGCCCATTGCTGGTGTCAAGAATGTCATTGCCGTCGCGTCTGGCAAAGGAGGTGTTGGCAAGTCGACTACAGCTGGTAAATACAAATTGGATTTGGATGATGGGATACGAGATTAATATGGGGGTTGTTGCCATAGTGAATATCGCGCTTGCTGCTGCTGGCATGAAGAAGCGTGTTGGTATCTTGGATGCCGACATTTTTGGTCCTTCGATTCCGTCGTTGATGAATCTCCGTGGAGAACCCGATATCACTGAGAAAGGTAACGAAGGACAAAGAGATAGCATGGATACGTATACTAAAGACGCGTTTTTTTACGTCAACAACAGGGGATCGCCTTGTGCCATTGACCAACTATGGTGTCAAGTGCATGTCGATGGGATTTCTAGTGGATAAGGAAGCACCTGTGGTGTGGAGAGGATTGATGGTAATGATGATGGATGATCATACTATGGAAGCATGGTGGCTGATCATGGTTTGACAGGTCATGAAAGCATTGCAGCAATTGTTACACCAAGTGGAATGGGGACATCTTGACTTATTGGTGATCGATATGCCACCAGGCACGGGCGATGTGCAATTGACCATTAGTCAACAAGTGGAATTGGATGGTATGTTATGCTTCATTTTGTTATTGGGCTATTGATTCACATGTACGTGTGTATTAGGTGCTGTCATTATCTCAACGCCACAAGACATTGCATTGATTGATGTTGTCAAAGGTACCAACATGTTTAAGAAGGTCAATGTGCCAGTAAGTATGATGAAGGATGTATTATTGAAAAGGAAAAAAATACTAAGGAGGGATGATAACTAGATTCTGGGGTTGGTGCAAAACATGTCACTCTTTGTATGTCCCAATTGCAATCACGAGTCGCATATCTTTGGTCATGATGGCGCTGCAAAGATGGCACAAAAGATGGATATCCCATTGCTCGGTGAAGTTCCTCTGCATGCAGACATTTGTGAGCTTTCCGATTCTGGTAAACCCGTGGTCGTCTCCCAACCCGATAGTCCCTTTGCTGGTCATTACCGTGACATTACATCCAACATTCTGAGCCAATTGAAATAGATAGTGTATTCCCCCCAATAAATGTCATCATCATATATACATCATCACCGTTCATCCACTGTTTCTGTCATATCATGATCCAATGCATCTGCCATATTCGCATGTGATCCAGACGCCGCCACCTCTTGTTGCTCTGTAGTCGCCATGCTCGTCTTTTCAATCAAGGTGACCTGCTGGCAAATGATCGTTTTGTAGGTCTCATCCATGTATTTGATTGACAAGCGTGGTTGCCTTTCTTCTGTTTCATCTTGTGTTGCTCGCATGGTGGATAACAATGGTAGCAGACCACCCGTATCCCGTTTACGTTCGTCGATTTCAAAGAGTAGATTGGTTGTGATAGCGTCGTCCAAGGTGCCACGAAACAAGTGGTTGTTGACTTTGATGTACGGCTCGCCCGATTCAAGATCCTATATCCACATAGTATTAGACACGTCTAAAAGCAAAGAATCATCATAATAAAAATACTTGCCAGTATGGATATCTCGGCATGCTCAGAAGCAAGACGCTCAATGGTCTCTGGTGCCATTTCTGGTCCTAGATCGAGAATGACATGCATGGTCTACTTTCAAGTAAGCAACTTGCAATGTGGTGCACTTTGGCTGATAATTGACTACCTCTTCTTCATATTCGTCGTCGACCTCATTCATGTGCACGTCCTCACTCATGGTGGAAAAGAGAAAAATGTGTGGTGTTCGGTCAAAGAAAGAGAGAGTTTGGTGCATCTCACACATGCCGATCCCCTTCCTAAATGGCTTATGCATCCCACTACCTATTTTCCCCTTCCCTAAAATACGCATGAAAAACATCACTTTTGATATCCATACATCTCAAAACATAATACATCCACAACGGTCTTGTATTCAATGGCCTGTACTACGGTTAAGAGGTGTTGCGTGATAATACAGGTTCGCAGCAAGAAAATGTGCTCTCGACAACAATGAACCATAGTACAAATAGATGTGCGTGGACCATTTTGCTATGAATGACTATCACAGAGGTTGTCATGGCCACCACTGGCCACTGCTTTTTGTTTAAAAAAGGAGTCTATACATCAATGCCTTGGTAACAGACAACGTTGCCAATACTATTTGTGGGATCAATGTGGTCAAGGCATGATAACACGTTACTAGAAGTGGAGCTATTTTTGATAGATGCGTTCATTGTGTAGCAAGACAAAGAAGAAGATATAGAGCAAGGATTATACAAAATAACGCTATGTTTGTTGAAGGAGGAGGAGGAGGAGTGTATGTCATTTATCCACTGCTGCTTTGATCAGCTTTTCCAAAAGTTGATAGCTGAAGCATCGTTGATTCGATGCCAAACTCTGGATGATGAAAGTAAAAATGAATTGGTGGCAAACGAGCTGTTCCAGGTGCAGGTAACACGCGACCAGCATCACTCGCAGCTGCACTAGTGGTAGTAGTAATGGTGGAAGTGGTAGCAAGAGATTGTTGTTGAATGGTGCTTGTGGGAGTAAACGCTGAAAAGTAACTGCTGGATGATGTTGCTCTGGTGGGTGGCATAGTCGAAGCTACAGTATGCGGCTGATCATGTACAAAGGATGAAAAAGGAGGCAAGCGTGCTGCATGGGTTGACACTTGTAGCGAAGGTTGTGGTTGATTCGAGAAAGAAAAAGCTTGTTGTGGGCTTGAATGTGCTTGCATATGACTTAAAGATGATGATCCTTCAAGCATATTTGTATAGGTGGAAGATGATACAGGTGGTGGTGGTGGTGGCATCTGAGTACGCTGCTCTGGACCCGAATCAATCGCAGCTGATGATGCTGCTAACGTCGTTGAAGTAGTAGTAGTTGTATTGGCAGTAGCCGTGCTTCTTGTGGTGTCATGCTCAGCTGAAGAAGATGGTTCATTTTGCTGTTGTTGTTGTCGTCGACCTTGTAAAGTACGCATCGATTGCCTGTGGTTTTGAAACCTTTGGGAAAACAAAGATGGGAAAAGAAAGAAAGAGAGGGGAATGAAATAAGAACCTGCTGGTCTCTCTCTTTTCAATGCAATGCATGATTTACCAGAAATGAACGCTTTCTTCAGTGAACCCAACCAATCGAGCCAACTGTTGCTTTTGCTTCTTGTCAGGGTATGCAGTTTGTCCATTGTAAAACCTCTCCAAAATCTGCAGCTGACGACGAGTGGTTCGTGCTCGACGTCGTGCAGGTGTTGACAAGGCCACATTAGCAGGAGGTGAATAAACCGATTCCATATGAAGTGGGGGATAAAAAGATAGGAAAGAAAACACTCTGCCAACAAGATCCACGATATATATGTATCCTTTTCTCATTCTCTTTGAATATGAATCACGCGATGATGATAAACTGGATTGTACCATGCCCATAATTTGAAACAAACAATGATGAATGATTGCATCACGGTGGGCTCGGCGTATCTCTCCCTCTTGGGTTACAATGATAGAGCTATCAGTGCACGGGATTTCGAACCGTAGCCACAATACTATGCCCGTATTAATGAGTAAAGAAAACTCTTTTCCCGCCGCTCCGCCACAACGTCCTTGTTTCGATCTCATCTCGTCGGGGACTTGTGGGATAACGTATCTGCAGTGAATAGCAACAACACAACGCACCACCACCACCCTATTCTTCATCCATGACATAACCATGAGCATTCTCATACCACTCCGCGGAGATAAAGTCGTTTTATATCCATGCCACTTTTCATTTACAATCAACATAGAAAAACTTGGCTTATATCTAACGTGTCCAAATGGGATGCTCTTGTTGCTGCTCGTAGATCTTATCGTTCATGTTGTTGATAGTGGCCAAGTTGGATCCCATGTTGTTCATTGCCTCAATATACTCTTCTTCCTCAACAGAGCCATGCACGATACCATCACCCGCTATTAACCAGATATCAGATATCATGTGCCATACATAGATCCCCTTTTGTCCAAAAATACTTACCCTGCAGGTATGCTACGCCATCCTTGAATAACATTGTTCGAATAGCAATGCAGGTATTGAGATCCCCTGAGTAATCAAAATGACATAGATCATAATTCACTCATCTATCCATCATAATGCAATGCTTACCCATCATAAATGCCACGCTTTTCCTTCTGCAAACCACGAATCTTGGGTGCAACGGAAGCTGTGCCAGCAAAGAAAACGACATGGAATGCATCAAAAGGAGCCTTGTCATCATGACATACTCGAGACATCCATATGCATGACGTGAGAATAAGATCCAATTCGCATAATCTTGTCAACCTTGACACTTCTTGGTCTGCAGATGTGATTGACGTCATTGCGACCGAGATCGACAAGCATCAGGTGTTCAGCACGTTGGGTGTCGCAAAGCATAAAGATGGCGTCAGAGGCCAATGGAATCCAGTAATTCACCTTGAGCCAAAATGGCCCTTGGCACCACCTATCATGATACACATTAACATCCCATTCTTCGTCACCTGAAGACCAATCATGCTTACCAGGAAAATGAAGGCGATCCAGCGAGCTTTGCATATCTGATAGGTTCAAGCTCACGTTTCACAGCCGTCAAAGGACCACCTCGCGTAAAGGTCAAGGACGACAACCTTTATATACAAGCTTGTTAGTGCCATTATTTAACATGGAATAATAAAGCAATGGAGTCTTGTACATACACTTTGTATAGCAATGAAGCTTCAGCAAGGCACCGTTTATGGTATTCTGTGGGAGCGTTGCGGTTGATCTTGGAGCTCCATCACGATCATAGGGCATGCTCTTGAGTCAGTTCTTGTTGCCATGATGGACCCTGCTCACTGATGAGGTATTAGCGATCGGTGTGTGGTAGCTCGTGAAAGTAGACGACCTTGTGATGTGTGAAGGAATAAAGAAGAGTGGTTGGGTTTACTACTACTGCTCCTGGCACCAATTTGATTGCCCGCCCCATTGGTTGCATGAATCAAGACCATATCATAGCTATAAAGAACAACATCAACCCCAATGCAAACCGGCTGCTGATGGACGATGTAAAAGCACTTGCATTCATTTCATCCAAATGTATACCATGCAACACCGTTTCCTTGGACATTGACAGGTGGTTCAGGTGATCATCGTTGGATGTGCATTAGGAGGCGTACAAGTGATAGGTTTCCTTGATAGATTTTATCACGTGCCCTAATTTGGCCGATGCATGCATAGACAACATTACACGTAGGCCCTTCTGGTATAGGCGCCCCATCACTTTATCAGCGCATGCGTCAATTTATCAACCCATCATCCCCAACAAACAGAAAGACCCACGCCCACAGTGCACAATAAAATAATGTTGTCGCCGCCCATCATACTCCCACACGCCTCTTTCCTCCGTCATACTTTTTTGATTGCTTACAAGGTCCAACGTCCAAGGTTTGTGTGTATCTTTCAACCTGTGAATAAGCGCTGATCTTTGTGGTCGCTTTCATAGTGCTTTATTTTTATCTTACTCTCATTGCCTTTGTATGGCCATATTGTATTCTTGTAATGAGGTAAATCCTGATCATGCTGCTTGATGAGTCACTACTCATACATGCTACCTTCTTACTTTCGATATAGCTATCTCCTCATGATGTATCTGCAAAAGTTGGTTTCGGTGCATGATCTACGTCGGGTGCTGAAAGCGACCTGGTGCATTTGACATGGTGCAAATACTGTAGCAAAGTCCACCACATTTCCGGTGCAAAATCGGATGGGATATCAAGGACGAGCTGTGCTTGTGGAATTAAATGCCAGAAACCGGATTCGACCATCTGGCTATGGCCATTATTTTCAGCAGTTGCTTCGTGCATTGACGTTGCCGAATTCATTGTGGGTGAAATGCCATTGAAGGCTATACAAGGACATCAAAGCTCTGGATCGACATGCTACAAGGCTGACGGTGTGTTGGCTCTCAAGGATGTTACTTCTAGAGACTTCCGGAGCTATGGGAATGACGACAAGCCAAGACATGGATTTGACCATGTGAAGGGTGTATCAGCGTACAATCAAAGTCATCGAAAAGATGTGAGAAGAGCACACGAACGTTTTGCACTTGGGGACCACCCACCACCCACTCACAATTCACGCCAAGTCATTCAGAAATCTGATTGCCAAAAGCCAGCTAGAACAAGAAACATGTGGTTTATTGCCCATCCACACAAGCAACGTTCACACGCGTATATCCAAGGTTCATCACACAACGAGCCCCATTCTCACATAAAGACCACTTTTGCCCCATATACGAATCTTGAAATGAAATGAGCTTCCTCTATACCTCGCTACCCTGCCTTTTCTCCCATACGCAATCATTGATCCGCAATCGTGCAACTCTGAGCACTATATATCACATCACTCCATAGACACAAAATCCTTTTTACAATCACATAAAAGATAATTGGCTTTTATCTAATGTCTTGAATTGCATTTGTATAGTACGTTTACTGCTTTTGTTGCTGCTCATAGATCTTTCGTTCACATTGCTCGATAGTGGCCAAGTTGGATCCCATTTTGTTCATCGTCTCAATATACTCTTCTTCCTCAACAGAGTCATGCACGATACCACCACCCGCTAATAACCATATGTCAATCATCGCGTAACACACATAGATCCCCTTTATCCAAAATACTTACCCTGCAGGTATGCTACACCATCCTTGAATAACATTGTTCGAATAGCAATGCAGGTATCAAGATCTCCTGAGTAATCAAAGTGACCCACCGATCTATAACGCCAAGGATTAGATCATAAATCATCGATCCACCCATCACCTTGAAGTGCTTACCCAGCATAAATGCCACGTTTTTCCTTCTCCAAACCACGAATGAGCTCCACAGCACGAATCTTGGGCGCACCAGACACTGTGCCAGCAGGGAAAATAGCACGGAATGCATCAAAAGGCGTCTTGTCATCACGAAGGGTACCCGAGACATTCGATACAATATGCATGACGTGAGAATAATATTCGATTTGCATAAGCTTGTCGACCTTGACACTCTCGGGTTTGCAAATGCGATTGACATCATTACGACCGAGATCGACAAGCATCACGTGTTCAGCACGCTCCTTGATATTGGAAAGGAGTTCGGTGGCAAGAGCTTCATCTTCAGCAGGTGTCTTTCCACGCTTACGAGTACCAGCAATTGGATGTGTGTAGGCAACGCGATCCTGCACCTTGGTCAACATTTCGGGAGATGCACCGACCACATTAAAGTCCTTAAGGTTGACGTAGAACATGTAGGGCGATGGGTTGAGTGAACGCAAGTGACGATAGACATTGAAAGGATGCAAAGAGGTGGGACGTTTGAGACGTTGTGAGGGAACAGCTTGGAAAATATCGCCTTCCTTGATGTGATGCTTAAGTTGTGTGACGAAGCCTTCGTAACCACTCTTTCCAACATTGGATTCGGGCTTAAAGGAGAGGTCGACAGGTGGTTGTGGGATTTCTGGTATGCGTGGATCGTTCAACAAGCTCATTGTGCATTCGACTTCCTCTGCTGCTTTCATGTATTCTCGCTTGATTCCTTCGGCGTCTGTTACATCACTGCGGAAATGGGATACGACCAATGCGACGTTTCGTACTCGATCAAAGATCACCAAGGTGTCGCAAAGCATAAAGATGGCGTCTGGGATACCAATGGGATCAGGTAATTCACCCTGGATACTTGGTTCAAAATACTGGTAACAATCAAAGCCAATGTAGCCCACGGCACCACCTATCATGATACACCATCATTAACATCCCCATTCTACAACACCTATAACACACTTACCAGTAAATGATGGTAATCCAGGGATCTTTACGTATTTGATAGGTTCAAGTTCACGTTCCACAGCCGTCAAAGGATCGCCTTGTACTGCTTCACTAGCACCCACTCGAATCAACTTGTAGGGATCTATCATAGCACCTCTTTAGTCTCTTTGACAACCCTTCCTTGTCGTATGGTAATCCTGCCTACCTGCACCAATGAATGAATAACGGCCAATGTTCTCTCCACCAGCAACGGATTCAAGCAAGAATGAGTAATCGCAACGGTCGGCGACTTTGAGATAGGCTGAGACGGGTGTCAAGAGATCGGCTTCGAATTCTGCATAGATAGGAATGGTGTTTCCCTTGCCCGATTGGACAAGTTCTTGTACTTCTTCGAGGGTTGGCTTCAATGTAAGAGACATGGTTGAAAGAGAGAGAGCGTGTCAGTGTCAAAGAGTAACTCGGACCTTGGAATAGGAGCAGCGATTGCATCAATCAGGGGCCGATATGGCGGCTTAGACTTTATTGAATGAGTCAATACACGTTGCATCTTTGACACACTTTGACTCTATCAGCTTGCATAATGAACATCCATTCTTTAAATACAATCAAATTCTGCTTTGTCCCATTAAAGTTTATATTTTTGGTATAGCTCAATTACTCAAGTGAGCCTTGATGTTGACCCAAGTGGATAGATGCCATATAATGCTTTGATCATTGTGGACTTTGTAAATGGGATGGTCAAGCGGATTTATCTATTATCAGTATTTCAAAGAGTAGTATACAAAGAAAAAGGGATACAAAATAATAATAGGAATAGCAAGTAAAGAAAGCCAACATAGGATAGGTCAGCAAGAGGATAGGAAGGAGTGTAGCCAAAGGAATGGATTGATCATAATGAAATGTTGTTAGTATGCATAATACACCTAATCCTTCATGATCGACTTACCTTCGTAAGGATGGAAGTAGCTTCACCCGAAGGTACTACCCCATATACAGCAAGTATAGTGTAAGCCCAGGATAATCAGAGTTATGGAGCGAAGTTTTACTTGAAATAATGTTCGTCCACAACCTGACTGGCGAATACACGTTGGATATCCATAGAAAAGTAAACAGACTAAGCAAGGAAAGCGAACTGGCACAAGGTAAAGCACGGCACAAGGTAAAGCACGGCACAAGGTAAGGCACGGCACAAGGTAAGGCACGGCACAAGGTAAGGCACGGCACAAGGTAAGGCACGGCACAAGAGGTAAGGCACGGCACAAGAGGTAAGGCACGGCACACAAGGTAAGGCACGGCACAAGAGGTAAGGCACGGCACACAAGGCCAGAGAACAAGGTGAGGGGACCACCAGCTACAATGGACATGTTGCAATGAGTACATTAGGAACACAACACGAATGAATACACAATACGAACCCCTCGAAATGATATGAGAGAGAGAGAGAGAGAGATAAAGATGGCCTAATATGTGTTAGATGGGCCGTTACCCATATTATATATTGTTTCTCAATGAGCACGGTTCCGCGGAAGGCGCCAGAAAAAAATCCACCCGTCATTCATGCATCAATCCTCACAGCATCAGAGAGTACAGAAAAATAAAACAATGAGTCATCTTTATCGCACCTATGGGATCCCCTCGCAGAAGAACAAGATAAGGGTAAGAATGACATTTGTTGGGGATCAATGCATGAATTCAGGAGCATCACGAGTGACAAACGGGAGAAAACATGAGTCCAAAAGTATGCCTCGACCTACATGGTCGCGTGTACAAACAAAAAAAAGTGTCATTGTTGATACTTCATTGGTGTACGAGGAATAGATAAGCAATGGGACATTGCGGGAATAATGCATGAATCTAAAAGTATCAGCAGTGACAAGGTGGGGGGGGGTCTCCAATGACCGCATGTTGAGGAAGAAAAAATGTCATTGATGATCCACCATTACTTTGTGAGAAGAAGACAAGCGAGGATGCGTCATTGTTGATCCATTGACGGTTGGCATCAAGGCGTTACAGGAATGTGGAAAGGTCACTACATGAATCAAAGGATGCCAAGAAAAAAAAATACATTGTGTCAAAATCTAGGGGTCAATCCCCCCCTCCCCACAAACACAGAATCCCAACAAGAAACACTATTGTTGATGCATGAATCCATTGGTTCACAGAGCTACGAGATAAGGGTGGCGTGTCATTGTTGATGCATGAATCCATAGCTCAATGAGTATGGGACAATGGAATGTGGCGGGTCATTCGATGTAGTAAAAGTACCCAGAGTAGCGGAAAAAGTTGTATGCGTCATTGTCTGATTCTCGGCCCACATAGCCAGGTGTAAGGAAAAAACTATACTTGATGCATGAATGTATTGGCTCATGGAGTAGGAGATAAGGGTGGCGTGTCGTTATTAAGTCATGGGTCCCAGGCTCATGCATGAGAAAGGGAGTATGTGAGGGGCGTCAGCATAAACAAAAAGTTATCCCGAGAAGCAAAGGAAATGTCTAAATCTACATCTCGACCCACATGGCCTACGTAAAAAAAAGCTTTGTTGATACACAGGTATGTATGAGATAAGGGGTGTCATTTTTGATGCATGGATCCGTAGCTCATTGAGTAAGGGAAACGAAATGTGGGTACCCGACAACACAACAAGAATAAAGACATCATGTCATTGTCTCATTCTCGGCCTACACAGCACGCTGTAGAAAAAAAAACTATGGTTGATGCATGAATGCACTGTCCAAGGAGCATGAGATAAAGGTGGGGGTGTCATCATTAAGTCATCGACCCAAGCTCATGCACGAAAAGAAGGAGTGTGTGGAGGTCAATTTGTCAACAAAAGCTATCCCAAGCAACAAAGGTAGAATGAAAAATGATAAAGCTACATATTGATGATATATGAAATCCATTGGATCACGGAGTTGTGAGATAAGGTGGCGTGAATTTTTATGCATGCTCCTTGTGTAAGGACAAAAAGGTATATGAGTACCTGAAGAGATAGCGTGTCAGTGTCTGATTCTCAGCCAGATAGCCAGGTGTAGAAAAAATATGGCTGATGCGTAAATGTATTGGTTCAAGAGGGGTAGCAGATTTCATTATTGAATATTGGATCACAGGATCATGCACGAGAAAAAGGTGAATGTGGATTTAATATGCAAGCAAAAGGTATCCCCGATAGCGAGATCAAAAATAGGAAATGTCTACATCTACATCTCGGCCGTATGGCCCTGTAGCAAAAAAAAGATATCGTTTATGCCTGAGTACAATGACACGTGGCTATGAGATAAGGTGGCATGCCATTGTTTCATGTATGGACTCATAGCTCAAGGAGCACGAGCAAAAGGAAATGTGAGTCAGCAGATGAAGCAAGCCTAAACCGGTATCGAGGGCGTTGATACATATGAAATGTGTACATCTTGACCCGCATGGCTCCGTGAAAAATGTTTATGCATGGAGTATGTAAGGTGCTGTGTCAATATTGGACCATGGATACATCGATCAATGAGTATAACGTAAAAATGGAATGAGAGTACCATGAGTAGCATGAAACAAGTATCATTGTATGATCCTCTGCCCACATAGCAAGATGTATTGTTGATGCATAAACGGATTGATTAGTGAAGCAGGAGGTAACATTGTTGGGTCATGGGTCCCACGCTCATACACGAGAAAAAGAAGCGTTTGTGGGGGGGGGGAGAGGGTTAGCACACGAACCAAGAGTATTGCGAGTAACAAGTCAAATAATTTCCAAACGACAGCATCTAGGCCCACATGGCCCCTGGACCAAAAAAAGGTATCGTTTATGCATGGAGTACAAGATAACAATGGCGTATTGTTATTGAGCCATGAATTCGTATCGAATGGAACATGGAAAACAGAGAGATCGGGAATGAGGAGGTGTTGGGTTCATTTCATGCTCCTACACTATCGCGAGCTGTGAGGAAAAAAGGGCATGTCAAACTCTACCTTTCGGTGTACATAGCCACGTGGGGCTGGAAATAAGCCTATCGTTTATTAACGAATGTATTTTGTTTACATACAGGATCTGGGATAAGGAGGCATGTCAATGCTGCCATGAACCATGCACCAGAGTAGCACAAGAAAACAGCTTATTTTTGCATCTCGGTTCATAGGCATGTGTAGGAAACCAATGACTGTAATGGATCATGAAGTATGGGATAAGGATGCGCGTCGTTCTTTATGCATGGATCCACAGCTAAAAGAGCGTATACATAGAGAGTCACTGGATAATCAAAGACCTCCCGAAGTTCAGAAGCGAGAAAAATTGCGCCAACTTCTGCATATAGACTCTCATTGCCAATTGTGGGCACAAGACGCTTTGAAACAATAGCACATTGACTCAGAGAGTACAAAATAGGGAAAGTGTAAAGAGTGCGAAGACCGTATCACATGTACAAGCAGGGGTGTATATTAAAGTGTTGTAATCAATTGCTCTTGTCGAGATTCCTTCTTTCTTTATACCTATTTTTTTTTTGTTTAAAATGACAGACTTCATTGTTGATGAGATTGAGATATTAGGTCCAGAGTTTTACTATTATGAGGTGGAAGGTACATAACAATCGGTACCACTTGAGAGGTGTTTGGTCAAACTCAATATTATCCAAGCAGATGGCGTGCTGAAGCAACACGTTAAAATCGATCATCTCTTTACCGTGGCCAATCTTGTCTTCGGCCCAACCCGATGGTCCCATAAGGTTGAACGAGTGGGAACGAGAGACGTAGGTATACACATTGCTTCAATGAATCATTGTCTCATTCAAGGTAAAATATGATATAGTTACCATCGAAATCTGGGGTCTACACCATCGAAGCAACGCACAGATGCACTGTTACGGCTTTGGGCAACTCTCACTCTGTAAGCTGATCAAATCAGATAACAGAACATTTGTTTACTTACTTATCCTACCCTTCAAAGGAAGACGGAATCTATATTGCAACCGGGAAAAATTATGGCGATGTAGCCAATAAGGTGAGTGATTACATCCATGTATCCTCGTAACAATGCTTAGCTTACAGAGTTGTGTTATCCTAGGCACATGCAAGTGCTCGCGAAAAGGCGATAGCAGCTGCATTTGCCAGTTTCGGGCACATTTTTGGTCTGGGAAGCTACGATCAAGAGATTATGGATCACGTGAATGCCCAAGACCTTCCTGCTCGTGTAAGTGTTTATGATCTTTCTTTTATCAAGTGATTTGGAGATACTCACTTCATTTCTCCAGATCCCCTTCGACCAATTGAGATATTTCCACCATCCTTTGTATGATTACAATACCACGAGAATACGGCCGACTAGCAATATGCCTGCTATACCTTCACAACCTATGGTCAATCAACCTGGTATTTCAATTGCTGGGACACCTCAAGCACGTATTGTTATTGCTGGATCACCTCCCCCTATTCATGCTATTGCTGGATCCTCTCACTCTATGGTAACCGAAACATCTCCTTCAACTGTGGATGTTGGTGAATCATCCGGATCTCATTCTCATGCTGCTGTAACCGGGAAATCTCGTGTTATTCCTGCTCCTGGAGGGTCTAAACGTAGTCGAGAAACGTATTCTGGTGAAGTACTACAAGACAAGCTCACTGCTGCCATGGCTACGGTGGAATCCCAGGGTAAGAGCGTATCATCGTTCGTTTCCAGTACGATTCTTACTTCACAAACAGTGACAGCAAGCAAATCCTCAATCACCATGAAAAATAAAACAGCAGCAGCAAGTACTTCGTCAATCACCACGCGAAGTAAATCAGCGACAGCAAGTGCATCTTCCAGTACCAAGCCACGTAAAAGCAAAAAGATTAAAGCGACCAAACCGAATCAATCCGTTCAATCAGCTCCTGTGCCGGATATCAATCCACCCAAAACATCAAAGTCTCCACCACAATCAGACGATGATTTTCAACCCATGGAGAAAGTTTTAAGAAACCCAGAGACCAGAAAAGGTATGAACCCGATTCTGGTTGACTATATCCTTAACCGCATTCAAAAAGATACACATCAACAAGGTGAATCTAGCAAGAAACGTAGTTAGATGAAATCTCCCGATAAACATTTCATGTCATTGTACAGTGAAGGGAATTTTCGTGAATAATGGGAAAGATGGATTACAGCTTCACATGCAATGTTGTGACAAAGTTGATTGTTGGCAGGGAAGGAATCCGATTTGATAGAAGTAAAGAAAAAGACACTTGGATATGACATGCTTTATCATAAACTTTCTCGTGACACCAATCAAAGAAAAAGAAGGAACCCATGGGAAATAAAAGTTTGGCAATCTTCATCAATGTAGAAGAAAACTTAAGGTTTCTTTTCTTAGATGAACATACAACGTGTTTGTCTCGTAGCAACTCCACAGAACCAGTGGTTAATGCTGTAGTGGTCAGTCTTACATAAAGATTGAGCCCTCATAGATATACCATTAACCATTTGGTGCTAAGCTACAGTGTCCAGCTAATATAGCATATGGATACACCTTTCAGATCCTAACTATCTTAGCAAACAGCGGCGCATCTTTATTATCGATGATAGCATGTATATGGTAAACTAGTTAATTTAAATCATCAGTTATCGAAATCATCCGGGAATTCAGTGACGATGGTCAAATACCCAAGGAACGGCGGATGGGATGGTTCAAAGCCAGCCTAAAGATGTTGGCCACTTTGCATTATTCTTTTCCTCTGGCGATTGTACCGCACAGAATCACCAAGGGTTCAGGATCGATTGAGTATCAACACGACAACAACAACGACTGCTCCATTGACGCCCATTTACCGATCAGAGTTATGCTCGAGGACTTCGTGATGACCAAGAGCGATGTTGACATCAAGATGAAACAAGCCAAGCTACGGTTGGTCTTGGTGCTGTTGGTGACGTCGAGTAAGATCCTTGATTCAGAGGGAAGTGACTACCTGTATACTTATCATCGATATAGTGTCATGACACCTTGGCTTTTGCTGTTACAAAGAAGCGTGTTCCCATTGACCGAGTTAAACTGTTCTTACCAAAAGATAGACCCGTTGAAACCATTCAGTGGGTAAGTGTACTGCGAGATCGATTGAAAAGGACAATTGTGAATGACGTCTGTTGCAGAAGATATATGCACCGCATAACAGATCGGCATATCCCAAAAACAATGAAATGGATGAAGATGGATACAGATACTATCAAAGCAAGTGGTAAATGCAAAAATGTAAATGTACGTGTATGTTGCTGATGAATAGTGTTTCTCCGATGAATAGGCATGTGGATGCAATAGTGGTCTTGGCTCAACAATACGATGTCCACACTATTTTGCAACCTACTATTGTCTTTGTCAACGAGGCTGAAAATCCACTGGTCGCACCTAAATACGTTACAGCTGGATCTTCGATCACGGATACCTTGCGAAGCACGACGTAAACACACAAGACGTATTCAGCATCATGATGAATTGGGAGCTTACGGGGAAAGCGCCTCATCACAATACAGCGATATACAAGACATTGATTCCATTCTATCAACAACAGCGGCAACAAAGAGCTACGCATCCACCAATACGGGTCGTACACCTTCGGCACTCGTGGCGCGTGATGTTACATCTTACCATTGTATGCTCCCTCCACCACGACGCCATTACACCAACGTCGAGTAACAGCCGCCTATCCGGTGAAGAGGATGAAGATGTGGAAACAGAAGACGACAACAAAATATATGCGCAGAAACTCTGCATCATTCTGTATCAGGCAGCAATACGGTACCACAAATTCTGGCGCATCTACCCCGTGAATTGGAAGTGAATGTGATTATCGATGACGAAGGACACGAGTTTACATTGGGCAGCAGCTATGAGAGAAATCCACAACGTCAAGGTGTTGATCCATCTACGACCGGATGTCTATCGGGGGATACAAGGGACAAACAGCATTGATGTACAGCGTTTTATTCACCAACAACTTTGATCGCAAGTCATTTTATCATCTCCTTGACATGTTACAAAAGACCATCTTCAGTGTTGAGAAAGAGGATCTTAGCGTGTTTCATCATATGGTATCGACATCGAGTTGGAAAGGAAAGGTGCATGATTCATATTATTATATGGAATGTCTCATCGACAAGCTCTCCCAAATCCAATTGGAGTTGATATCGATTCTCAATGTACATGATGTCTATGGCGATACCGCATTGACAATGGCAGCAAGGACCGGGAATAAGAGATTGGTACACATCTTCACATATGCAGGTGCAAGCACAGAGATCGTCAATGAAGAAGGCATGACAGCTAAAGATTACCTGCGATGAAGTGGAACGAAGGATGCTATTACAAGACAACCTAGCAGCAGCGACAACCTCACCCAACCTGACCGTCAACAGCGTCAATGAGCAAGCAGCAATGGCACATCTTCGACAAAAATTCAAATCCGTGTTCAAGATGATTTTATCCAATGATCGATCCGTAACCGGCAATTTACAACTATTTGATGGATTTGTTGGCAGCTATGAAAGGAGATCTCGCATAAAAGGAACAAGCAGTCAAAGAGAAGAAGGTGGACTTGGAATTGACACACAAGCGAGTGGCGAAAATACGACGTATCCTTGGTCAGATACTATTCGATCCCAAAGAAACTCACGTGATTGGTGCATGAACACGAAGAAAAGGAATTATCAACATCAGACGAAGGAGGCGACTTGGAAAAGACTATTCAAGAACTGGAATCAGAATTGATCACCATACATTGAAGGAAAAGCTCAAGCTACAATCACAAAACCCAGGAAGACTATATCAAGATTACAAACGCCTCATCTCGTTATATGTAGCGTAGCATTGAAATGTAGACATTATGTTATCACCATTGTGGGCTTGTTTTTCATCAAGGCGATGCTATATAAACCATATTCTTTGTCAATGATACAAGATAATATTTCTTTAATATCCATGCTCCCGGAATAGCTGGCCAATGTGAAGAGTATCGTATACGTCAGGTGAAAAATCTGAAGCTCTCCAAGCTCGCCCTAGTTCATCAATCAACAATGGGCGACCAGTTTCTGTTGTATGCATCCATCCAATATCAGAAGGGAAATTCATTTAATATCATGTTGTTGCATTACCACGATAATAATTTCGACTTGCCATCTCTGCACTGATACGTCTAGCTTGTGGTGTTCTTGTTGAGTTTCGAGAAGCCGACACGAATGCTGTACAATGATAAAACCCGTCAACTAAAAGACAAGGCTGTAATAATACGATTTACCTAAAGTCTGGCGACTGATACCAGGGTGATGTCTCCTGTATCTAAAGTCTTCATCAACGGGGCCGAGACGAAGGTTCAAGCGTTCCAAAAGGTTTGGTTGAAATTCCATGATTATTGGTGATCAGAAAGGTGAGCTTGAAAATGGATCACTTCACTCGTTTTATTTAAATGCGATGTGACGATTCGATGACGAATTAGATCACGTTATCAACACATCTACGGTTTGCTTGTATAGACGCTCGAATGATATCAAATGGCTCTTGTATTATAATGAGGGATAGATTTGCCTACTTTTATGATCATAATGGGTCGTGCATTATAAACATTGTTGCACCCAGGAAAGTACACAGGCGAGATTAGAGGTACTTTGGACACTCGCTACTTGGTCGATAAAACGAATCGCCTTGGCTGGGTCACAGAACCGGGTCACACTGCTTATACCCGACGCAATTTATCTATTGTTCGCCTTGCAAATGAGCGCGCCAGCGCTCCGCTCCACGCATTTTTAACCTCTTGCTCTTGTACAAAAACCTACCTACCTCATACGCCGATGCCTGTGGTCTAGTGGTGTCCTTCTCATAACGACAGCTTGATCTTCTTTGTATCTCCTCAAGTCATCCATCAGGTTCCACTTTTAGTCGTTGTTGTAAGCGTTGGGTCGTTGCCATGGAGACACGTAGACCTTGACATGACGTACCTGACACTGTTTGCTTTAGACGATGCATCCCATTGTGTAGTTGTCGATCGCATAATATTGTCAACACCACACCTTCATTGTCGTCATTGCGTTTTTCACTGCCATCCTTGTTCTCGGCCGCAACTCCAAACATAGACAACACGACACCATCATCATCATCCTTCAATCTATCATCATCGTCATCATTCCTGCCGGTTTCGTTGCCATCCATCTTTGTCTTCAGTTGCCAATCCATATCCACGTCCACATCCACACCCAAGAGTAGACGTGTATTCACGCTTTGCTGCCACATGCCAGGAGATCAAGCGTATTGAGGAATGCTATACAAGAGCATCGAATTGTCGTAGCATCTCTAGCCAGTAATCATGGTATCCGACCCAAAGGTGCAGAACTTGTATATACCCTTTAGCAACAACAGTTTAAGGTTAGTGGATAATGGATACAATGATGTGGCTCAAGATAATTAAACGTGTGATGATACGTAGCTTTGGTGCATGAATTGAAAGAAGAATACGAAGGTAGTTACATTGTGGCCGAAGGAAAGCTCCTGCTTCTTTGATCCCAAAACGCAACAACATGATGGCAACCCGTATCCACTAAGTGATTCATCAATCGGCCAATACATCAATACAATTGTCGATCTGCTCTCTAGCCAAGTCTCCAAACGCTGAAACATTCAGCCTCATCCCTGTGGTGTAGCCGCTCAAATCATGGAAGAAAACAAGGGCTTATTGTATCAACAAAGAGAATTCATGCGCAAAACGAAAGTGGATCGTGGCACTGGTGTGATCGATGATGGATTTATGGTTGATGGGAATGCTTAAGGTGGCCGACTACTTCTTAATCCTTGGTGCAAAACATGATCTATGGAAATGGATGGAAGAGCGAGGTATGCAGAACCTTCTGCTGCAACGGAGGATCAAATGAAGAAGCATGGTCAATGGCAGAAGGACTCTCTACAAAAGCACTGCTTGAATGGTTTGCCAAACGAGTGATAAGGACATTGAACGATTTCCCCCACTGATGGCCACAAAGTTGAATACTGGTTGGATCGTGTTGAATTTGGTGATGGATGCCCCAAACCATTTGCGCTCAAGGCTTTTTGCTTTTGTTACAAAACTTACGTGTGATACTTCTTCAAGCGGTTGTCATGTTGCGCACATTTCCTGGTTTGCTGTGTTGGAGTCTATTCAATCATGATCTATTCACGACCCCGAATTACATCGATTCATGCCAAGGTGGATATCAGACGAGTGGTTAAGATGATGATGAAAGGATCGAAGAGTATGGGCCAAGTGATTACGGTAGGCGATTTGGAACAGAGTACGTATGTATATACTTTTCTTTATTAGTGGCATGTATTAATCAACGAGTAAAGAGCCCAAACGTGTGATCAGGGATATCTTTCGTGGGTTGCCTGGTGAAGAAAGTTATGAACGAGTCGAGATGGATGATAAAACGACAACAAGGACATGGATGGTAGCGACAGCAGGAACGCAACTCACACACAGCAAAAAAGATCCGATTTATGTTTTCAGCACATGAAGTATGGAGAAAATGGGATGATGGTTCATACACAGGCACACCAGCAGTGAAAGATCTAGAAGAAAAGTATCATGCAAAACAGCGAGATAGTACCAAAGGTAGGTCTTGATCCATCGCAACTTCAATCACACAATATTGTGCCTAACACACGTGCTTTTTAGAGCGAAAACGTTTAGTAAACGGAAGAAGATTGTCGATGCCATATACAAGATTCAACAAGAAGAGTATGTGCCTATTACCGAAGCTGTGAATCGCTTTGAACAACGGCGTGGAATTGGATTTTGGATCGATTATGGAAGGAGCATACCAAACAATCATGCCGTAGCGCTGGATAATTCATGCAGCAATGACCATTTTTTGTACACGTCGAGCATTGTATAGCAACATTCACATTGCATATCGTTCCTCTCCCCTTGTATTATATAGTAATATCACACATCACTTGCCTTTTCATGTATATAAGTAGCCTCAGTCACCTTTATTAAACCCGTGTTTGACAACAAAGAAAGGTCATAAATGGTCATCCCATGGTGGATACAATGATAGTGCAATGATTTACCATCCAACGTGGTATACAAGGTTGTGTAACATAGAGGTATGCATAAGGGTACTGACAAGGGAGCATTTCAAATCATAGGTAAAATGGGAGCGGTCACGCCACGAATACTAGGTAAAATGACCCAGCCAAAAATTGGCTGCGGGGTTTTGTGAATCGGTGTGAATCGATTGTGAATCTGTGAATCTCGTCGGTTAAACTTGGCAGTAGGCGGATTTTGAAAATTTCCTTTTTTGGAAACCAGTGGCAGAATCTACCACTGGGTTCCAAAAAAAGGAAGAATTCCGTCTGCTGAATCCGCGTGCTGGATGGTAAGTATACATGTGCTTTATATCCTTGTGGCCATCAACATCTCACATAAGGAGGTTGTTTTTTTCGTTGTCATGAATCGATGGTAAACCCTAGAATTCAATGGTTGTTGTCGGGTCATCATTATCATGCAAAGTGTAAAATGGCACACACCCTTCGTGAGGATCATAGCTTTTATTTACGTGTACCTATTGTCTCTTACGAGGATGATGATGGGTGGATAGTGTGTATATAGGGTAATTGGGTGGCCTCGTTGTAATAGCAGTAGGGGATTTAAACTTGGTGGTCGGTAGCTCCATGACTTGAGACAACGCTTCTCTTCTTTTTCTCCCACCTTTCCTTATACCATTCACGACATCTCGATCAAGGTAATGTATTATAAAAAAGTGCTCATGTTGGTTGTGAGGTGTTAATGTAGTTCTGAACATGCATTGTCAGGGAGTGAGTGTGTCCAAGTGCTGAGGAATGAGCGTGGTTGGTGGTTGGTGGTTGCCATGGCGACATCGTTGCTGCCTCTTGTTCGTTGCTATTCTTCTCTACGCTTGGTGTCAACAGGTACATTCAGAGCTCAATGTTGCAGCCGAACTGGTTCCATTGACGTGTTAGCTTGTATAGAGGGCAAGTTTGGTTTCAAGACGTTGGCTCGTTTGGCGTTTTGTTTCGGCTCAACTACACTACTACACCATCGTTTTCGGTTTCCAGTAACCAACAACAAAGGAGTTTTTTGTGTATATGGAGAAGGCAAGTACAATGAAACAAACAATGAAAAGGGCGTTTATTGTATGTGTGCTAATAATGAATTGAATAGGTTTCTTTGTTCAGGCAATGCAACTTGGGGGCATCATCAGCATCTCTTTGGGTTCAAGTCCCAGCCTGTATCAAGTGGCCGCTGCGTCGCTCTGCACTAGCCAAGTGTGCTGGAAAAGCTTCTTGGAACGCGTCCAGGGCTCTATAGGCCTGCGTTGAGTTGAGGATGGGTCGATGACGATGGATCTTTGGAAGAGCATGGCCACCATGTCGAGGTAAAAGGGGATTTGCAATAGCTTGTGAATATGTTTAACCAACACGCTCTTCTCGTGATAGGCACGTTCTTTCCCTTGAGGATTTCTTTTCATGAGGTGGGAAATGATTGGAAGGATTGGATTGGGAATCATTCTTTCTTTGGAGAGGAAGCATGAGAACAACTATGAGCCTGGACTCTACGTAAGTGATGTCCTTCCTTGCCATGGATCGAACTGGCCTTGTGTGATTCGTGCAGTGCTCTCTCAAGAACAATGGATCGCCCGACCTTGCTCGTATGGTGGTGATTTGGTTTGTGAATTCCTTCTGATTTGCTTTCTTCCTTGGAGAGGATCATCTAACGGTATACCAAGTCGTCATCATTCCGGTACCAGATGGTCTAACTTGCCTGCTTTCTTATTTATAGAGACGACGATTACGATGATCCACATTCACAACAATGACTATTACGATGATCACCCCATCTACAACAATGACAATGATGACGACAACGAGATCCAAAAGGAAGCCTGCAAGATCCCATTCTTTTCAACCTGTGTATTTTTGGATGTTGGTGTGACGGATGAGATTGACGACTGGTGACGAGTACGAGTAGGAATGATGACGGAGGACGACTACGAGGGTGGTGGCGGCAATGTACAATAGCAAGATAGCTAGGTGAAATAAAGCATTGTTTATTTATTACACGGTTGTTGGAGGTTGCTAGCTTGTGGATAACATACTATTGTTTCGAAGATGGGATAATAAAGGTGGTCCGGTTATCGGTCATGCAAGAAGTACATGGATTTTGTGATGCAATAAGGAGGAGTGGGATGACCTTGATAAGGAAAAAGTGATGTGATCCCTCCATTGAGTTTCAGGGTAAGTGACCCGTCGTCCTTTCTCCTATATCCAACCCCGATAGTGAATAATTATTGTCATACTCATGCTTTGATACCCCTTCAACACTGGATGTTATTTACATATGTACCTTCTAAGAGTATATCATCGTCATACTTTTCCAAGCTTCCTCTCTACTATGGAAACTATTCGTAGCAAAGATCATGACTACAACATTTTATTCACAAATGAAGATGTTATCTGGTGGATAATTCATATTTTCAAGCAGGAATCTATGTCTGATATTTCTCGCAGCATTGATATCTCTGTTCCAAAAAGTATTGCAATTTTCGCAGTATTTGATGGCATATATGATGTTTCCAAGCGTACCATCTTCCTGTTGTTCGCGTACGTTTAACATACGTATGTATCCATTCCCTCTACATTCGTTGTGTGAACATGTCTGTGATGTTCTGTACTCACTCGTGGGCACAACAAGAAAATGTCTTGATAATGTCTGCTTCAAAGTCTTGACGGGTACAGCGCGATTGCCTGGCATTGCGTGATAAAAATGGGCTGCCCCATAAGCGATGACTACATCCTTCTTCGAGAGGTGTTCTGTCTTCTTCCAGATGTTATTCGCAAATGTATCCAGCACCTTCTGCTTATTGATCCAAGAGTGCCACGTATCCTTTAAATTCTCCTTGTTGAAATCGATAGCGTCAATGAATACGCCTTCGGGTAGAGAGGCTCTCAAATATTGCTCGTATGTTGCTTGCGATGATGTGATTTTCTCTGGTAAATCTCTGAAAAACGTGGCTATAGCCTCATTTTCTTCCAGTCGTTGTCTTTGGTGGTCACGTGCCAGGTTATGAAGGGTCTTCGCGTGGTACTCGCTGGCTGAGAGCTCCATGGTTGAACGTGGATGAATTGAAGAATGACCACAAGAAGCATTTTCCAGCACAAGCAGACTACGAATACCAGGATCTGCACCCCAGACAACGGATTGGTTGCCTTCCTTGAGAATCACCTCAGACGGTTTGGGAATAGGCTGGCGTTGTCGTCTCTTCCTTGAGCAAACAAAACCACAATGAACGCCATTTGTTGTAATGAACCCGGTAAAAAACTTGTTGATCCCATCGATTCCTTTCAACTTTGAGATATCGAATAGCGTCTCCCAGCATTCTTCTTTGTTGTGGATAAAGTCGGTTTTTCTGAATTCACGGAATTCCTGAGGAAACGATCGGTTCATTATGCTGTACAACGCATAGCTATCGATTGATATGTGTAATTGGCGATAATCATGGCTGGGGATAGATGAGAATTTCCTTATCCATCCTTTGGGTTGTTCGTAAACCGCAGGCATGAAAACACCGTTTTCGATTTCTCTAATTGTCGTTGCCGCTGCTTCTGTTAAAAACTGGATCGAGCGCTCACTCAAATTTCTCCTCATAAAGCCGTTTGGTGTGAATTCTCGCCTTCCAACAATAGCACGACGTAGTTCTTTTGTTGTTGCGTCCATTACATTGTTGGATGGTCTTGTAATCTCTGTATTCTCCCCGTTGTGGATTCGCGATGCTGTTGCGGCGCACCAATTCCATGACGGGTTATCTGCTCGTCGCCTCACTGGTTGAACCTCTGGCCGTTGATCAATGTATGCCATAATATGCAAATGCAATCCGAATGCATCTCGTACTTGTTGCTTAACATCAACCTCTGACAATGGTAAAGGCAATGTCGCATTTGCAAGAATCTGAGTAGTCTCTTGGTATACGCGAAATACTCCCATCCTGTAACAATAATTATTTAAACATGAGGTGACAATCCATTTGCAAGTAATGACTTACTGTTGTTGTTGTGAGGCAGTGACCCTCATTCGGTTTGATAAGCGATGCCATAGATCACCGGCATTTTGATACGTGTGCCAATCCATGTCGGTATCACCTTCAGCATCGTTTTCTCGCCATAGCGTATCCACCATTTCTGTTGCAAGCTTTTTGATCCCACTATAGCCCGCCAACTGAACCATGCCTTCGATATCACCTAGTTGCAACCATATATATCGCTTCAATCTTGGCTTGAAATGAACAAATACGTTTGTCACAGCTGTCCGTGAGTCTTCTCCCGCTGCGTAAGTGAGAACTTGATTCAACCCAGAGCGGCTCGTCCATTGTTGATTGTTTCTGATACGATTGTAAATCGTCCATGCTGGCGTTAAATGTGCTCTCACATTCGGTCGGTTCTCATTATCAAGGCAGCTGACTGCATAAAAACAATCCATGTAGAAGCTCATATGCAGAGGGTGTTTGTTGCCTGGTACGTTCATCATGCCATCGAAGTTGTTGGCGTTCATAATGACGTATAGCTGTGCTAGCTTATTCGCTTCGAATCGAATAATGGACGTACGTCGTACTGCTTCCTGGATTGCTTCACTCATCACCTCAGGGTATTTGGAAATGGTATTCAGTCCGATGTTGATGGTGAATTTCTCTGTTTTCTCGGGTTCGACATCTTCGCATTGTTCGTCGACGTCGTCGTCATCGTCAACACGGACACGATTCCTGTTATACAGGCATTGTTTGGCTGTCCGGCGCTGGTGTGGTGGCTGTGCTCCGCATTGGCACCACTTTGGTTCCTTGCTAGACGTAGTCTGTGTGGGTTCTGTTGCCATTGCGAAAGGATATCAGGAAAAGAATACTAGACTCCCAAGTATAATCTTTTGGTTTCAAAAGCCATGTTCGCATCATGAGAAATAAACAAACTTTGTCATTTGGTTAGCTTATCATGTGCATCACAACATATCCTTAATGAGCAACGATGAGACGTTCCTCTTCAAATTAGGCATCAAAAGGGATCAAAGTGTCAACCATGATGAAGGTTGTATGTATACAAGCTTGGGAAAGTTTCATCTATGATGCATCATGGTTTCTCGTGTGTCATATAAAGACATTAAATTGCCACACATAGGCGTGTTCAAGAATACATAGTGGGTACGCGGTAAAGCGTGAGTAGTATGTACGTGTGCATAATGCTGGCGGTGTTATCTGGTGTGATAGGCAAGGTGATTTTGGTAGCATATCATATCATTTTGTGCTTGGGACGTTCTACACGTGTAAAATTACTTTCGTTACGATCCGTGTTGAGCAAACCAACCACCAATGCGGATTTATGCCCGACTTGGTGGTTACACATAATAAAGACTACCAAGTTGACCACACACACTGCTCCATTGTTGTCAGTTACTTTTAACAAAGATTCATTTCAATATGGCACAGGCATGTGATTACTTTATTAAGGAGTAGAGAACAGTATTGTGCATCTAGAACAAAGAGCCATATAATAAGGCAACAATAAAGACCATGGCGGATGGATAATGAATGGATGATGTAGTAGTCAATGCTGCTGCTGATTGAGCTGAGGATGGGTTTTCAGCAACGTCTTCCTCATGGTTACCGGCATTTTGTTTCTTTGGCAACAAGGTCGATCCATTGTCGTCGCTGCTGGTGCTGCTGCCGTCATTTTGACCCACGGCTGGATCCATGTTTTCTTCCTCCATGTTGGATTTACAACCCCACACAGTACCCTTGACAACGCTACCGTACTTCATAGTCTTTTCAGCATCCATGCACGAAAAGTTCTCGTTGGTTGTTTGGATGCGCATGCCACCACGAACATCTTGCAACGCTGGGAACTCGTATTTGTCAAAACCACCTGCGAGATCAACCGTACCATGCACAGCTGACAAACTTGGGTACCCCTTGATGGTCGAAAGTTGAGTATTGTTGGCAATGGAAAGAGCACCGCCAACAAGTTCAAGCTTCTTGAATGACATGTTTGCAATATGGTTATTGTTGGCAATGACCATGGTGCCACCAACACGCTCCAAATTATCGAGATTCAGTGATGTCATGTCGCTGTTGTGGAACGACAAGTCGCCTTCAACGTGAGCGACCGAAGGCATGTTGACGGTACCAACTTCTCGGAATTCAGCAGCTTGCAATTCAAGCAATTGTGGTGCCTAAAATAAGGTTAGCATGCTATGCTAAGGTTATCATTCTTGGTAAGAAGGTTTACCTCAAAGTCCAATTCATGGCTATTGCCAACGACAAGAAGACTCTCGGAAACACGTGATGCAGGCAACTCGAATCGTTTCATAAGGGTGTTTTGCGAAAGAGTTAGCTTGCCCACCGTATCAAAAGTGAGACCGTTGACAGTGGCAACAGGCGTATCATCAATGGTGACTTGATTGACTTTGGCCAAGCCTGCTGGGAAATCAATAGCCTCCACTTCTGGGAGTACTCGTAATGTAAGGCGTTGGACTTCGCTAAGAGCAGGTAACTCGAGCTTGACTAGGCCCAAATGTTGTGTAATCTTGAGTTCTCCCGATACGCTCTTGAGATTGGGTGCACTAAAGCGTGAGAGCCCACTTGAATCCGTGATAATCACGCTCCCAGTCACTGTCTCCACGCCGTCTAGCACAAGGTCACTTCCAGATACATTGGATACGGTGATTGTTCCTTGATATTGCTTGCACCCTTTGATGGCATCCAAATCACCTTGCCCAGTACCAATGATGTCTTGGCTACATACGGATTGCTGTTTTTGTTGTTGTTGTGCTGCTATAGTAGTAGTAATAGAATCACCAGCGTCAATGCACGTGTTGGTTATATGACCCAAACAATAAATCACACCTACCTTGAACCGCCAAAGCCGCTGTGGATAACGCAAATAGTGACGACGCAAACTTCATGATGATGGTTGCAATAATACTACTATGTATGGATCATGATGGATGATGGTATCCAGGGTGTATATATAGGAATGTGTGATGGCGATGTTTGTTGTAACTTGTCGAAAAGCATCCGACAAGTGGGGCTCATGTGATGTCAGGAAATATAAGGTGCACTTGTTTGTTACAAGTGGGCTTTCTCTCTTTCTCTTTTTCTTTCCTGTTTGCTTTCTACATGGCGAGTTTCCTAACACTAACCTCGACAACACACCACGAAGAGGATGATTCCGCGGTACACTATTATCTTCCATATGGTTCTACCCACGAGAATCTATTGATGCTATATGATGTGGATGGCCCTCATTCAACAGCCGAGCTGATACATGCACACGATCCCAACGAATTTGTACGTCTCACTCCCGATGATGTGGTTTCCCAGGAGTTGTGGCCACTGCCAGCATCTTTGGAACCAAGTCCCTCGACACATGAGCCTCTCAAATACTTCCTCCAAGATGAGAATAGCACAACCACTGTGGTGTTTCATCAAGAACCCAATAGCATTTGAATTCGTATACCATTAAAAAAGAAGTCAACTTTAACTGTAATCTTTGGTTCCTTGATGCTACTATCTAATTCTTCGTTTGTTTATTGCTCATGTATGTGTACATACGCTTGTTCACTTGTACCGTATGAAGAAATCAGGTGCGGATATCAGTAATGGCACCTGCTGAGTTATCACATTCATGCATACAAGAAAGCGTGCACATGGATAGCTTCTGTAATGATATCAAAAACGTGCTTGACACCCATGGCACAAGACTCTTTATGTTTGTATTCTTGTCATTTTAATGTTAAAATCAACCAAACGCAATACACAACAAACTCGGGGAATGACCCGGGACCATAGGTCCCACCAAAGAGACAGCAGCAGGAAATGAGGGAAGAAGGTTTATTGGTGTTATCCATATGTAATTTCATCATCACAAAAGGCATGATGTAAGCTCTAGCTTATCATTGTAGAAGGCTACAAATACGTTCCCTTGGAAACACAATATACAACGTACACTACCATGTGGTCCGAAAAACATTGACAATGGGAGGCTGTGAAAGGCACACATTGTGTCACCCAATCATGCTGTACTTTACACAAAGGAAGAACCATCTTGCTATGGGCGGGGCTCCTTACTCTGCGCATTAATTCAACAGGTCCAACCTTCTCTTTCTACAATCTGCCATCGAATTCAACCATGGCAAGCACCCATTGCATGTACGACAAAACACAGAGGAATCTTGGCATTGAGTCTTTGTCATTCAAAGGTTGTTTGGACGCAGCTTGCTTTCCCCCTGGCGATCGTCGACAAGGCTAGAATCAGTTTATGCATCGATACGGTTGCGAGGTGCTGTTCAACGCGTGATCCGATAATTCAGCATACGAAACTACTGTCCTTGGCAAGGCAATATGTGTGAGTGCGAATTACAATGGTGCAAAGCGGTGGCCAACAAGCTTATGGATCATCATTTGGCTCATTGTTTGATGGTAAAAGTATGGATGCTTCCTTTTGTGTATTGATTCACTAAGCGAGATGTGGATATATAGGTGGATACCCAGGTTCTCATGTATGGATGAGTGGCTACCATGTTGAGGGGATCCTGCCAAGATGATAGCTCTATGCGAAGAGAGGAGGGTCGTTAAGAAAGCTGATAGCTGGATCACTTTTTCATCCAAGGTAGGATCGTGGCACATGCGTAGAGGTGTAGGATGTTCACACTATGATGATAGCCTTTGAATGTTACATTCCACATCGCATGAGCAAGGCGTTCAAATCCATCTTTGGAGGTGTCACGTGGTTACCTGGATGTTTTTGCATGTATCGGATCGTTGCACGCAAGAGTGGACGGCGATGGATCTTTTGTGGTGTTTATGGCGGTACCGTGGTGCTTCCAGCTTCCATTTGATCCGCTCTTTACTTGACCATCATATCTTTGTTGGTCACACGTTGATCCAGCAGCAATTACAAAACGTCTGATGGCTTGATGAAAATTCTCTCGGATGGTGATGGTCATTTATGTATTATTGCTTGGATTGGAATGGTGATCTCAAGGCACAAAAGGATGTTACCTGAAATTAACATAGAGTTTCTATGGATATACGCATACAATCATAAGCGTAGAATAGGAGATAGTATTCTAAATAAATTACCCGCTGGACTTCTCACCTAGATACCTTCCATTCACATTATGTAAATATAAATACCATTTCAACAACAGATACAGCAGCGGATTAGACACACAAAATGTACACAATGATGGATGTTGTAACAATGCTCCCAAAGCAGTGATAAGCTATTCATTGAGAAATCCAAAGCGAGCAGCCCGGCTGCTAGGATAAAATGAATAAGGACAATAGCAAGAGCTATGGCTATGTTATTAGCTACATGTAATTTGGCCTATCATTGATTGATGCATTCATGTTGCTGGGAGCAGCTTCCATATGTACTTTATTGGCAGGGTTTCGGAATTAGCAAAGGCCTTGGCTGTGATGGGAAGCACCAACGTATGTCAATGGTAAGAAAAATGGCCAAGATCTGGTGTAACCCAACGATGCTGTACTTTACACAAAGGCGCCATTTGATACATCTTGCAAGAACACAAGCTGACCGATAGTATGTATCCCAATAATAGGCCGATTCGAGACACTACAGATAATAGCTGACCAGTGATCCATTACTCCAAAATGCTAAGCCGAGAGTTTATTCATCCAAATTTGCTATTTTGCTGGTACAATGTGGTGGCATGATGGCGAATGTCTTTGTAAAGCACTTGTTGTAGTAGGATCTACGTAGCAACTACAGGAACTTTGAATGATAGCGTCGCCGGAAGGAACACAAAGGATGCGTACTCATTTTTGATGAAGCCACTGGTACAATATGTTTGGCGTAGAGTGGCTTTATTATCCATGCTGGATGAGTGCCAATGATACAAGCGTGGTCATCATTCTTCTTGCTTCACTTACACAATTACTGGATGTGTGATTTTCTGCATAAAAAGTTAGAGGAATTAGGGCAACATGTTGTTGTTATCTTTAATACCTGATCCGCAAAGATAACAAAAGGAGGATGGCTTGGGGCTGCTCATGCATAGAATGTCAATAATAGCTTCTTGAGTGAGTGTGGTGTATTGAGGAAGATGTGCTTTTTATATCGTCGTTCCTCTCTCCAAAGACTCCGCACATCATTATTGCTCAGCAAATGTTCTCGACAACAAATCACCCAGGGTCACCAAACGCAACGCGTGCCTATTTTATCGTTTCCATCTCTCCCAAAATAAACAATCCCAATACCCGGAACTTACAATCAAGAATGAATAACAACAATATGCTTTACTTTGGCACAAAAACAAATACAAGGAAACTATTTTTTCTTGCGTCCACCTTTACCGCCCTTTTTCTTTTTGTTGGATCCCTTTTCATTGCCAACTGCAACATAGTCATCGTCGCCTTCATCATCAGCAATAGATGTCTCTTCAGGCTCCTTTTCCTCCACAGGGTCTTGCTCCTTTTCATCATTCGATTCCTTTTCTTGTTCCTTTTCCTTTTCCTTGGCATCCTTTTCCTCTTCCTCTTCTTCGGTGGTGTATGCAAACAAGTCCTTCAATTCACCACGAGCAGCAGCGGTGATAAGTGCCGAGAGAATGCAGGCAGGGGATAAGTACAAGAGAGCGGGTTGAGCTGCGTGGAACACGTGCATAACGCCCATAGTAGTAGCAAGGCCAAGAACATAGGCAACAAGACATGACTTGAAATAGGGCTTGGGGAATGCCAAAGATCGAAATTCACCGGTAGGATTGCGGTTCCACGACATGTGTCGGTCAAATCGAAGGCACAATGCCACAAAGATACCTTATAAATACCCCAATCCTATTAGTCTCTCTCGTACTCGTATACATCCATATAAACCCACACACGTACCTGGAATGACGATGTCTCCAAGACCAAGCATAGTGAAGTTGTGTTCTTCGTCAGCAGCACCGAGTACGTAGCCAATGATGTTTCTAGGCCAGATAACCTTGATAGGTGCGTCAAAGTTCTTGGCAACGCTCACCATGACCTCAGTGCCGAATACCCAAAAGATGTCATAAAAGAATAAACCACTGAGCATAATCATTCCAGTCTTGAAAGAATCCAATGAGAGGAGTTGAATGGCATTGATGGAGAAGCATAAACCAAAGACATTGGATGCAATCCAGTTCTTGGTAAGACTGTAATATGCGGTGAGCACTGCTGATGCACCCAAGAGAATAAAATGCACCACGGTGAAGCTAACATGGGTCATGCCTAATACATAACAACACCTTGAGTGATCCACTCCCTTACACATCATCATCCACCATCCCATTTTACTTACGTTTGCCTTGTTTGCTCAAGATCAGCTTGTACTTGTCTACGTTGCCCTTCAAGAGGCTTACGGGTACCACCTTTTTTGTCACCAAGAGACCGGTCTTTGCTACGGCCATGCATCCCATAAGCGAAAAGTAGCCTGTGATCAAGTAGTTGATATAGTCGGTGTTGAGGTAACGGAACATGAGGTACAAGGAGAAGAGCACAGCTGAGCCCATGACAGGGAACATCCACGCATCACTTGAGGACAAGCTTTCGGATACAGATTCGTCTTCGTCATCAGAGTCATCGAGGGGCGATTCACTTGGTTTCCGCTTTGGCGCGTTGGCAGGCCGTTTCATTCCTTGAAGGGAAGCGATCGATCCACTATAGATTGGCACTGTTGCCATAGCCATAAGAGCGCCATAGGCGATATAGAGCCCTGTTTCTTCTTGTGATAGGCTCATGGAATGAATAAAAGAAAGGAAAAGTGTTGTATGTATAAAAAGAGAGGAAAAAGGATGGGACTAGAAATGAAGGGCGAAATGATGCAGCAGTAAAGTGGTCGACATGATCGTGGCGCCATGTCAGCCATTGTAGGCTATATGATTGGCCCACGTCTCATAGGCTTGATTTACCCCTACTTTGCGCCCTAGTACATCTCCTTGTTTATCAGGCACATCGGTCGTCTTATTGACGTTGTCAGTAGCCGCGCGTTGTATACCGCCTCAATCAGGAGATTGTGTGCATAAAGACACCGCCTTTAAAGTTTAACAATGACATCTCATCCTTTAGGTAGCAGCCATGTAAAAAGTTGGTTGTTAATGTACGAGAATTTTATCAATGAATTGCATATGCTATAAGAATGTGTGTTTTGATTGAGAATGGGGGGCGTGCAATAAGAATAAAGAAAAAGGGAAAATGCTACACATGATATATCTAGTTACTATAGTAGTGATGAGAAGCAAAAAAGAAAAGGAGACGACGCTAGATGAAGATGATGTAGTAAAGAAAAAAGAAGATGTTTCCTGCATCAAGCAAAGGAAAGAAAGAGGGTGGGGGGTAATGTGTGTGATGAGAAAAAAAGTGATACATGAATGAAAAAGAGAAAAATGTACATTTCAATCAGTCGATAACATCAAAAGTCTCCCGCAATGGTGGTGCCATTGGTGCTTGTGGTCTTGTTTGGCTTGATGAACAGCGGATTTTTGCTGAACGAGAGACGAATGCCTCCTTTGATCGAGTTGGACAAGCAATGACCTTGAAGCTCATTCATGGCTTGAGTCGCATACTGCACATCCTCGAATTCCACAAAACACATGGGACCCTGAGCCTTGTTACGGAACGACATGCGCTTGAAAGCATGGCACTTTGAGAACAAAGAACGCAACTCATCCTCGCTTGTGTTGGCTGGTAGATTGCCTACATACAACGTGTTGCATGGTGGATTTTGATCTGCTGGATTGATAGGTCGATTATTAATGTTGTTGTTGTTGCTGTTAATGGTGGTGGTGTTGTTGTTGGGAGGAGCGGCGATGGTAGTCGTGGTGGCGGTGGCGGTGGTAGTAGTAGTGCTGCTATTGTAGCTAGGCGATGACAAGCTGGGAGAACGGAAATCGGTAGGAAAGTTGCCACCTGTTTGAATAGAAAGAGAACCAAGACGACGAGAGATGATGCTTGGACCATTATCAGCCATGTTGGTATTGTTGTTGGCAAGAAAAGATGAAGGTGGTGATGATGTACTGAATGCTCGCTCTGTTGGCACAGGAGATGATTTCGAGAGGTAATCAAATGGATCAACATGATTGGTAGCCGTGGTGGTCATTGTCGTTGTGGCAGGATTGGTGGTGGTTGCCGTGGTGATGTTGTTGGTGGTAGTAGTATCTTGCATAGCTTGTGTCATTCTGCTGGGAGGGATTAAACCAAATCCTCGTGGTGGTGACATCAAATCAATGCTACGTGCATCAAATGATTGTGATCGAAGACCAAATAAAGGATCATTGAATAATGGAGTTGCTGGCACAGAACCATTTTGAAAAGGATCTTTGGCGAAAGGATCAGTTTTGTAATAATCGATTGGTGAGAGGAGATCGCTTGGTAACGGAGAGAACGAATCATAGGATGGCGGTAAATGCATTTTCTTGGATAGAATACTCAATGGTGACACCACCGATTCATTTGCACCACCACCACCATTTGTTGTAGTCGTTGTCGTTCCAGTGACACCACTTGCATTACCATTACCACTACCACTACCACTACCACCATTAGCAGCAGCATTAGCAGCAGCAGCAGCGACAGCAGCAGCCGCAGTGGCAGCAGCTTGAGTGGGTACCACGGATCCTCGTTTGATATGCAAATTCTTCTTGGCCATCTCTGCCTTGAGTAATGTGCCGCGTTCCTGATCCACACGTTTGCCGTTGAGAACTTCGACAGCTTCCATTGCCTCCAATCTTGTATGAAACCTGGCGAATCCAATCTATTCATTTCATTAGCCACTATAGATTGTGATATGGGTCACACACACACACACACACACACATACCATTTGCTTTTTGTTATTGTTACTGCCAAGGTTTTCATCTTCTTGATCCTTGCTATGCCACTTTAATGATGCAGCCTCGAAACCCGGCGAGAATGTGAACATGTTTTGAAACTCTCGTTCTGTCATATCGTCGGGAAAGCCAACAACAAAGATCGTAGTGACACTTTCCAACTGAGCTGCAATGCCGCCATTGGAAGTTGCTGTGCTCGAAAGGAAACCAGATGACGGAGAGGAGGAAAGAGGATGGATGCGAGAGTCGAATGTTGAAGGGAATGGCAGCGTCCCGGTGGGTTCACTCGCCATGATGATTAGATCGACAATGGTGAGAAAAAAGAGAAAAAAGAGAGTTGCCGAAATAGAAAGACCGAACGTCGTTCACAAGCAGCCGATAGAGAGAGAGAGAGGTGTTTTTACTCTTTCTGTTTCACAACCATGTCCATTGATGCCACGCCTTACAACGATCCAAGGTCAATGTCAATGCACCCTACGCTAGATTCGCCCGAGACTAACATTGCCATACAGCTATTTCAAGGTGTCCTTGCAGAGTCCCATGGTTGTAGGTGTTGCGGGTGGTGCTGACGCAGGAAAGGTATAATCAAAGTAACCCTATTCAAACCCCCACGTGCACGTGGCTCACTATAGATCACTCCATATGTAGCGAGATGTTTGTCAATTGGTGATGGATCACTTGAGCCAAAAGTATTCCACAAAGACGGCTCTCATTAGCCTCACAGACTTTTATCGTGAGCTCACCGATCAAGAACGCGCACAATACAAGGCTGGGAAATACAACCTGGATCATCCAAGTAAGTTCCTTTCCATATTGTGTATGATCGCTTTCCTTAACATTTGGTGATCATCTATAGCTGCCTTTGATTTCGACCTCTTGCATGATACCATCACCTCTTTATTATCGGGAAAACCCACCAACGTTCCTGTATGGGATTCAATTCATCACACAAAGTATGCTCATCTCTCTCCTTATCAATGAATTTCATTATGCTGACCTATTTTCATTAGAGTCGGAACACGTTTGGTTGAACCAGTGGATGTCATCTTACTCGAAGGCACCCTCGTATTATACTCAAAACCAATCCGGGAGCTCATGTTCACCAAGATCTTTCTTGACGTCGATAGCGATCAACGCTTGACAAATAGAGGTATTATGCATATCATAGAACGATAAATGGACTTGTAACGATGCTAATTTTTTTCTTTTCTCAGTGTCCAAGACAAACGTGCGGAATGGTCAAGAAATGTCGATCAAGGAGGTCCTTACCGAATATGTCGATTTTGTTAAACCCATGTTTGAAGATTTCATTTGGCCAGTGAGTTTATCATTTGGGATCATGTTACACTCGTTCTAACACTAAATCCTCCTTTACTAGACCAAAAAGTTTGCTGACATCATCATACCAAGAGGTGCAGAGAATAAGGCTGCTCTTCAAGTCCTCGGCAATCATCTGGAAGATCATCTCAAGAAACGATCCAATGCGAATGATAACAACGTACAACAACCACCAACATGGTCCCGTGGTCATCATCCAGAAGATGAAAGTGTCGATGTATTTGCAACCACTGCAGCTAGCTCATACAAACAGATTCCCGAATAAACAACATTTACGCATACTGCATTTCGTTCATAAGATCATTAGTCATTCTTTGTGAAGAGGAGGTTACATCGCAGGCGATCCAAGTTTTCATGTTTGCATGAGAAGTTGTTATAAATGCGATAGGTGATCCACCGTTGAACGGTTTGAAAAGGAAAAGTAAAGATGATATTTATCACCCCAATCATGCAGGGGGTGTGGTGGCCGAAAACATTTACACTTGTGCATAGTGTTTATCGATCACAGTGCCGTGAGCTTCCTTTCTGAAACGAACACTCAAACGAACAACGCATAATCTCGTGGAATCAAAGCACAGCAAGTGATTCGTGATAGCGATGTATGACATTGTTTGATGAGGATGGATTTGGCCACCTCGTTTACTTAAGACCCTGATTCATGCAATGACAATCAATCACGCCAAGGCTCTTTGTCCAGGCGTCCCATCTCATTAGCCACCCTCAACAAGCATTCCATTATCAGTCTTGTCTCCTTTTCATAATCACAGAGTTACCCACATCGCACCGTACACATTAAACATGTCCACGCCTGCATTGTACTCCCACACATTTCTTTCCTCCATCATCACATCAATCTTTGATTGCTGACACCCCCCCCCAAAACCCCTTGGTGAGTATCATCGTTGAAAGTTCTTTTGGTGATCCACCCATGTAATGGTCGAAGTAGACAGTGGATATGAAAACCAAAGGTTCTTGTCCCACGTGTCGTATATATCCAATCCCTTCCATCCCATGTACCAAACCAATATCCATATCCATATCCATAAGAAATCGTATGTATTGAAGCAAGTTGCTACACGTAAATAAAGCTGCTTCTATACAATGGCTATCTGCTGTTCGCGTGAAAAAGGCTGTATGGCAAGCTGCTGCAAGTGACCGAGACAATGAAATAGAGACCTTCACGATAGCTGCTGCTGCTACTTTGTCGTGGCAGAGGAGTGTGCAAGAGAGCGCGTGTTGTAGTAGACTAAGTGAGTGAAGGCCATGCTGATGGCAACTGCTGGAATGAATGCCGTTACGATTGGTTGTGGCAAAAGAGTATGCAATGAGAGTGCGTAGCATCAAGGAATGCGTGTGTTGTAGAAGGGTGACAAGAAGGCTGTGTACACGCCATGGACTTGCCATTCAGTCAAAGACAATCGGATCAAGACACCTGTTGGATTAACATGGTGGATTGAAGCAGGAAAATCGTTCGCATGGTGGTAGTTGTATACTTGAATGGGCCAACCGTTGAGAATGGGAGGAAGAGGGAGTGGAAGAGGTGGAAATTAAAGTAGGCTGAGCTGTAGGACACCTCTTGTATGAATGCATGCACACTGTACATCAATCCTTGATTATGAGATTGCCCCTGTTGATCCTGAAACTTTCACACAAGGTGCTCTGGAACATGCTGATCAACTTCATTCATTTAAAAGTCGCAGACTTCATTGTGAAGATTTAAAATACAGGGCGCCCCAAATGGTGGATGATGGGAACAAAAGAGCGGACGGCCTACCGCCCCGAAGTTGCCCACCTCCAACTTGAAAATTGGCCAGAAGGGTGCTCTCGAGCATGCTGATCAACATTTTTATAATAAATACATCACGCTTCATTTGAAAATTTGGAATGGGAGCTTCCCAAAGTTTGAAAGGCGGAGACATTCGCAGGGTCTGTCTTTCATTTATTTTCACGTTTGCTGTTTTGGCGTAGCTCAGTCAAATCAGCTTGGATCAAGACACTTGAATCATGGGAATGCTCGGCTGGTGCAGGAGCATCATTCCACTGTCACACAATGAACAAAAGTTGCAATTGAGAGGAAGTGGCTGTTAGCTGGCAATACATGATAATGCATAAAGGATCATACATTGACCATTCCAATCATGCAAAGTAGCTGAGTTACACAAAGAGATCCCTCTGCATCTTTTGTTCTGCCAGGATCCAGCTAATTGACAATGAACAAAGACCACTTCTCATATAGCATCACGCTTACAAACATAAAGACGCCTGTATCTCCAAACTTTACAATGAAACGTGTGGTTTTTATTAGAGCAATGGACTCGGCTTGGCCAACAGCACCTTGTGTGAAAGTTTCACGTTCAATGTCGCAAACAGCCCAAAAAATATTTTTTGGTCGTCGTCGAAGAGGTTGACTCCCCCCAGATCCAGTTTGGCTGGTAGCGACATTGCGAAATCTGGGATTGGCAAGCTTGATCGTGAAACTTTCACACAAGGTGCTGTTGGCCAAGCCGAACACACTGCTGTAATAAAAACCCCACGTTTCATTGTGAAGCTTGGAGATACAGGCACCTTTATGTTTGTAAGCATGATGCTATATGGGAAGTGGTCTTCGTTCATTATACTTCATAGTGTGGACCCCATCATTGTGTTCACATCTTTCC